GGTATGTACATTTCAAAAAACTTCGATTTCGATGGTAATATTTGCAGCATCACCTTTTCCAAATTCCTGAAATCGGATGATGGGAAACCGCTGGTGTTTGAGCAGCTTCCGTTCAGACAACCGTTGTTCATCCTGTATTCGTCTGGAACTTCGGGGCCGCCCAAGTGCATCGTTCATTCAGCTGGAGTGAGAGCTGTGTCCTTTCCGACTCGACGCATCTGACCCAGTCTTCCTTACGAAAGGGTGTATTGCTGCAGCAGAAGAAGGAAAGCAGGTTGAATCTGAGCATCAACACAGGCGACACCCTGTTCCAGTTTACGACTGTGAGCTATCTTCACATCTTCGCCTATCCTTCGCTCACGTCGGCCGTTCTTCCAGACTGGTTGGATGATGTGGACGTACATGTTGATTGGCCTATCCTGTGGAGCGAGGATCATCCTCTATGACGGCTCACCGTTCTATCCGAATATCGAAAGCTACTTGGAATTCATTCACGACCAACGGTATGCACTGCTCCCAGCAGACGAGACCACTCATAATTCCGCTCAGCATCACCGTGCTGGGTACGAGTCCTCGTTTCCTTGCAGAGGTGCAAGGGAAGGGAATCCGTCCTCGTGCGTATCCAAGAACTAGCAACCCGGATGACCTCAGACATTCCCAGTCTCCATCGGGTCTTTCGAATCATTGAGGACGGTCTCTGTGACTGGAGCTGTTTTGACCACGCCAATGTTCCACTGGACTCAAGCTGCTTTCGGAAAGCAGATACATGTCATTTCCACTTCAGGCGGAACCGATGTGTGCACTGCATGTGGGTCATATTTTCCTTGTCGCTTGGACGTCACTCAGTTGCTTCAGTCGTTACTGGGTGCTCCAGCCTTCCCGTTTATGCTGGTGGTGCGTCGCTTGCTTGAACCCCACCATTGCCAGACACTGAATTAGCAACGGCAGAAATGCAATGCAAGTCGCTCGGCATGGACGTGAAGGTTTTCGATCCGGCGGGAAATGACATCGAACAAACAGGAGAGCCGGGCGAGCTGGTGAGCTCTCCTTCAGCCATTGCAGCACGATTCACTTATTGCTCTTTTCGGTATACTAGGTCTGCCTCAATCCCCATCCCTCTCTCCCAGTCCAATTCTGGGGCGACAAAGATGGTAAAAAGTTCCGAGACGCTTATTACAGCACCTATCCAGGAGTCTGGCGGCAAGGAGACTTTATGGTAGTGAATCCCAAGACGAAAGGGCTGATGATTTTGGGTCGAAGGTGTGTGTCTCATGGCTGACTCGGACAACCCGAGATCTGGCATCTCATTGATTCCAGCGACGGTGTTCTCAATCCTTCGGGCGTACGATTCGGCTCCGGGGAGATATACAATGTGCTCGAGCAATTCACGTCTGTGATCGAAGATTCGCTTTGTGTTGGGCAGCGCCGGACGGAGGACGAGGATGAACGCGTTCTGCTGTTCCTCAAAATGCGTTCCGGAAAGACGTTCGACAGCAAGCTGGTGGCGGATATCAAAGCGGCTATCCGGCAAGCATTGAGCCCACGGCATGTGCCCGCATTCGTATTCGAGACAGCAGACATCCCGGTGCGTAGCGGGACCGGGGCTTACCGTGCTCTTTCCTGAATCGCATCTAGTACACCGTCAACGGCAAGCGTATCGAGATTGCTGTGAAGCAGATTGTCTCGGGATATAACCTCAAGCCAAGTGGAACGGTGGCCAATCCAGAATCTCTCCAACTGTATTACCAGTATCGATCCTTGGAACCAGTCACGACGAAGACCCGAAAAGCCAAGTTATGATAGAATGGAATAAACACTCGCCATCAGTCTATGTACGAATCTAGCTCGAAATAGATCAGACTTGGCTCTCGTTCTCGAACGACGTTCCAAGGATTTTTACAATCGCCTGCATGGAATCCTTTTTGTGCAGTCGCTCGTCCGGCCATCCAAAGCTACGGTGGAGATTTCTCGCTCACATTACGTCTCCTGCGATCTTCATCCCATCCGAACATCGCCAAGGAGTTGCTGGGCTCGCCTTCGCGCTTCATCTCATCCGCATCACAGTCTGCTTCGCAAAAATCCGATTGTTACGCAGGGGATCGTTCCCAGGAACGAAGACCTAGCTGAGACTTTGGAAAGCATTCATATGCCAACCGAATTGCTCCTCGGTGCCCATGGCCTGACTTCTTGGCCGAGCGTGAGGAGGTTTGAGATGATGAGAGTCGTGATAGAATTGACCTGATGTGGCGTGACTTGCGAACCGCAATGGACACATGCTGTGACTTGTCGCGTTAATCACATTCTCCGTCACAGCTATGCAGGGCGCATCGGATATGGCGGACGATTCTTAAGGACATCGAGTTTCCTCTAGCGAAGTATCTCCTGCTCTAAATATGCCTACCTGTATTTTGAATGTGCAGCACTCCTGACGGAGACGACAGATATAAACGAACAACTGGTACCAATACGAGCCCAGTTCAATTCCGAAGGAAGTGCATACCCAGACACTGCTCGACTGCAAGCTCGTCCGGATACATCTGGACAGCGGCATGGCGCTGGAAGAGCGGGTAGAAGTCGTTCTCTTCCATCAGTCCCGTATTGGAGAAATAAGTTTGAGTGTACTCCCAGTACTCTGGATACCACCCAGCCATCTCCCAGTCTACAATCGCAACGATACGGCTTCCCTTCACAAGGATGTTTCTCGGCGCTATGTCGCAATGGGCAAAGGACGTCTGGTACGTCCGATTCAGACAGCGATGAAACGCAAGTGCGGCTGCGTCAAAGCCCACATCTGAGGGGGGGTTCTTCATCATCCAGTCCACTCCTACGAAGCGTCTGAATTCACCGACAGAGCTGAACGGTCCGAATCCGTCTCCATCCGATTCAATTCGAAAGTCTCGGCAAGGACCCCCGTCGACTGCCTCGATGTAACCTGGACGGGGAGGTTTCAGCGCGCGAAGCTGACTGAGGTATTCACGCAGTTGTTCCATGATGACCAGCCGGTCTGGCACGCCCATTGCATCCCACACTGACTCGAGTTCACATCCTTCCACGTAGTCCATCACGACGTTGAGGCGATCGAGCTTTTCCGTGTAGTGGCCCCGGTTACGCGTCCCTCTGTCCACAAATATACGATGCACGCGGGGGACAGGGATGGTTGTGTTTGCAGCAATGAACCGTATGGTGAGAGCTTCATTCAGCGCGACTTGCCACGTCCTCTTCACTACGAGCTCCCGGTTCAGTCTTGTGACGGGACCGCTGGTCCAATACTTGCGGCCTCCATACTGCAGTCGGATCTTGAAGAGAAACGATGACAGCCGTCCGAGTCGAGGTATATCTTCCTTCCTCGATATCTCTGAGGCCGACTGGGAGGAATTGAGCGAGTGTGTGCCCAGAAGCATTGTTACTGTGGTATCATGGCAAGCCTACATGTGACATTAACCTTGTGACCGGAGGACTGAAACAATGGTCTACACTGACAGTTCAACGTTGACAAATATTAAAGTCTGTGGAATCTCCTCATTCGTATCGCACAAAGCCCACCAGTTTTGATCAGTTGGTTTTTGTCACCGCTTTCAAGCTCGACTGGTGAAGAGTTTTATACTCACGCGACATTTACGGGGTATACAACAGGCTGACACATTCGTGTGTACAAGACGTTCCATGGGTGAGGACATAGACCAACATTGCATTATACTGTTTCTAAAGTAGCAAAGTCGGATTTGATCGGGATCCCCGAGACATCGCAGGATGGAAGCGGCTTTGCAGGATTGGGCTCTGCATATCTTTGAGCAAACTCTGACCCTTGCTTCCAGATGCTGTCGCCGTTTGCAGGTAAATCTCCTAGGAAGCCGTGTTCGATAAGACTCTATGGAAGCAGAGGTCAGCACTCAGTACTCAGCGACGACACTGATTCGAAATCGCGTTGTAGCACGCCCGGCCTCACATCGATAGCGTCCGAGAGCCAATGTCGGCATCGCCAATCGGGATTTGACTGCACCACTGGAACCGCTTCCAGACAAGCGGAGAAATTGGCCACATCGCTCGACCCGATCTTGCCGAGGAAGAGGGCAGCAACGAGTCGGGTGGTACGCGAGAAAGTGGTACCGTGTGCATACTTCCAGACTGACTGGCCATCCACGGCGGCGGTCCGGTCGAGTTTGTTTGTGACATGGTATCGTTGGGTGTCCGGCTTCGCCTCAGGCCTGCTAGGGTCCGCTGGGTTCTTTGGTACCAATAGGAAAGCAACGGGATAAGTTGCGAGCTCGCCACGGATCTGCTGGCCTCGCGAATAATACGCGATGTACAACCGATTTTTGTTACGATTCGAAAACATGTGAGTGGGAGAGTTTCAGCGACGTACGTGTTTTATCAATGGGACCTCGTCCGTGTTATTTATGAGAGCAGTCGGCACGGGAAAAAGGACGACAATTTATGGAGATCCGAGTGAGATCAGTGCCCACCGTCGGAAGATGTGATTCATGGGGGTACTCGTTTTCCGATAGAGCACGAAACTTCAGCGCCCGCGAGTCAAGATTCTCACACCTTGTCGGAAATTAGTACGACTTCTCCTGAGATCGTGTGTTCCTTTATAGTCTGACTCATTCTCGCGATATGCCGATAAAGACATTCCATAGGAACACCCAAAACGGAGCAGCGAACTCTCATCCTCGAGACCAAAGACACGGATCGCTACTTTGGAGATCGTTCTGTAGATGATTACATAGCACGAGGGAAATAACATTGGCAATATTGCAGTCAGACTGGCTGAGTCTCTCGGACGGACTTCCCAACCGCAGCAGTCTTGTCCCACACACAGAGACGAATGGAAGCTGCGGCGGTTCTGGCACGCGATCATCCAGCATTCACACTCAGCAACGTCTATGTAGCGGAGTTGTCATTCGATCGATGAGAACTGTTCTTTCACAATGACCAGAGCACACACGATCGGAGAATGGAACACGAGATGTCTTCGCACGCGATCGTCATTGAGCGTCCGCTTCGTTGACTCAAGCACTTCCTATCCAGTTACAGAACCCTGCAGTCTACTGATTACGAGACAGGTCTTTGAACGATACAACACGGAATATCGCGCAGACTCACAATGCACCAGCCTCGCTAGTGGATCGATCCTACGGCTGTTGCGGTATCAGGATCTTGACGCGAAGAACTGGTCTGCGTCCGGCAGATGACTGGACGACTCCGACAAACTCATGATTCTCCTAACTTGCTCCTCGAGTTAACTCATCGACACACAAGCAAGAGAGATCAGAGATATTCTGTGGGATCGGCTCAGCATTGGACTATCAGCTGGGTGTACACCGATGCACACCAAACAAGCAGACAGGAGCCTGTGAAGATCATGCAGCTATTCTCTGAGACTGCGACTCATCAGGTCTCTCATCTCACGCCGCGACAAATCAGGCCCTCAGATCCCGAGTGTTCGGCCCTGAATCATGATTACGTGAAACTTTGGGACAGTGTTCGATTTGTGCGGGGGGACTGGACCTATGCTCGGCGCCGGCTCGCCAGGAAAGGACAAGAGTCTTGATTCGATGTCGGAGTCTACATCCAGTCCCTACGCACACAAAAGACACCAATCAGGGTTTCCAGATCGCACAGAACCGCAGGCGAGAGTACATCATCGCCCAGTTGCCAGCCGCATCCTGGCAGTCCATGCGCAAAGCGTCCACAACCTCGTCGATGATTTCCGCCGCTTGGGCGTCGGAGAACGCGCCGAGAAAGCTCGTGCGCGCGAAGCATTCTAGCCAGCCCTTGACGCCCTCGGGCAGCGGTGTCACCCGAGCTACGAGTGTGATCTGTTGGATCTCGAACGAGGCCGCAGTCAGCATCTGTGGACGCCGCATGAGTTAATCAGCATGATTCACCTAATGAGCGTGAGGGAGTGAGAACGCACCTGGGAGTAATCCTCGACCGACGGGAAGAACCAGGGATCAGCAACGATGGGATCCTGGCCGCGCTTTCTCAGAGCTGCATGTAGCGCACTGCGAATGCCTAGGACGATGCGCACAAGTCAGCGACGACCAGCCTGGGTAACGAACGGAACGGATCCGCACCAATGCAATTCAAGAAGCCGCCCATCTCAGCGACGAATCGCCCTCCGGGTTTCAGCACCTTCTTGACTGATTCGAGTACACCTGACGGGTCACGCTTGCACCAGTGGAGCGCAGCGTTGCTGAAGGCAGCGTCGAACTTCAAGTCGTTGCCAGCCAACTCGTCGAGCTGACTCGATTCGAGCGCCTGGATATCCGCGACAAAGGCGTGTTTGACCCCGATTTTCTTCGCTTGTGCGATCTGCAACGAGCGGTCAGCTCGCTCACGCACCACGCGGTATATACACCATCCACATACCATACTCTCGCTGAAATCGACACCCACGACAAGCCCACCGGGCGCCTGATGCACGACATTCTCGAGCTCAAGGGTGATCTCTCCGCTCCCACACCCGAGGTCGACGATCTTCTCCCCAGGCTGTGCAGCGAGCATATCGAGCACAGGGGCAGTGAACGCCTGAGAGTACACGAACGCGGCGGCTTTATTGTATAGTGGAGCGGACCAGCCTTGGGCGTCGTACGCGTCGGAGACGGATTTTTCAGTCATGGGAGAGCTGTTGTTCTGGTGAATGCGGCATTAAGAGCCAGACGCGTCGACTTATATCGTGGTATAATGAGAGCCTTCGGTCGTTTTCGGTTCGGCCGAGACGTGAGATGGTTTTCACGTGATCTTACATCTAAAGTATAAGTAAGGATTGGTGCGTATGTATGACTGACATGACAGATTCAGGCAGTAAAGAGGATATGCTATGAAGACTTGGCATTACACGCACGTACCCGGCAAACATGAAAGCCCACCGAATCAACGTCTATCTACGTTTCCGTTGCTTCGACTTGACCGGCTCCGGAGAATGGTTATGCGCATGTTTGCCAGCCTTCCTCGCCGCTTCAGACTTGCGACTGGGGGCGGGCGCGCTGGGCGGGTCCGAGATATCCGAAATCCGGGAATTCGTCTGTCTCTGAAAAGAGCAGATCAGTGAAATGCAATCACACAGACCGCGCAAAGGCACGCAACCAAACGCCGCGATGGTCGACCTGAGTCTTCGGGCAAGCGACTTCGCTTGCCGAGTGCAGTGACAGGCTTGTCATCGTCGCCATGTTCGTCTTCAATTTCTGAAAGCTCCGAAGTATTGACACCGTCGAATTCAGACTTGCGCGAGGTCGGCTTGAGAATCGGCTTGGCTGGCTTTGCTTTCGTGGCATCCTGGTCAGAAGGTAGCTGTCTACCTTCCAGCACGTTTTCAGCGCAAACAATTCACAAACCCGCACCTTTTCGTAAGGACTGGATGACGACATCCACAAACTTAGATCTACCATCGACTTGGGCGCGTCCCCCCGTCCGCGTTCCTTCAACAATCGTGCCAGCGTTGATTCCAGCGTATCGATCCGCTTCTGTTGTGTCACAATCATGTTCTCGCGCTAGCCAATACATGAGCTTGGTGAGGAACAACAGAAAAAGACCCACTCACACGTCGAAGCTCGTTCTCCTTGTCAACCATATCCTGTTCGTGCACCGATTGAGTCATCTGCATCAGCGAGCTCACGAAGCTCTTCTCCGAGTCGCTCTGTCGCGATTCATCAGAGAGATAGGGAAATGCGACCTAGCCAAAGAAACAATACACGCACCAGATCCCCGTCTTGGTAACGCTTGTTGATCATCCTTGCTCGATGCTGCAACTGGGAGTTCTCTGTTTCGATCTGCTCGACACGGGCTCTCAACACCAGCACCTCCCCTTCGACATCTGGATTCCCGCGGGCCGCATCCTCGCGGGCCTTCTTCTTGACCTCGTCCAGCTCAGCTCTCCCTGCTTCAATCTGGCGCGTCAGATCTTCAACGAGTCGCTTGGCGTTGACCGCTTCGCGTTCGGCAACCTGTGCACGGGATTCTTGCGCCTGAAGCGACTTTGCGTGCGCCTCCTCCTGCTTGCTGAGTTTGTGCTCAAAGTGGATAGACGCCGTTTGATGGATCGCCAATTCGTCTTGGGTCTGAGCGAGATTCGCTTCGAGTGTAGCCTTGTGGTCTTGGAGCGACACGATCTCGGATTTGAACTTGCCCACAGCTGACTCAAGTTTCGTCTGTGTCGAGGTGTCAGCATCTCGTGCTTGGAGTAATGACCAAATCATCTACCGCCTGAGCGCTTTCCGACAGAATCAGCCGTTCCTGTAAACGTTAGATCAACTCGTCGCTTCGAGAGAACTGCCCAAAAACCTGGAGATCGCCGTTCTGTTCTTTCGCGAGCTTCAGGGTGAGGACTTGGGCCTCGAATCGTTCTTGAAGAATCTACGAAATGCATAAGAACACGGCCACGGAGACACGGATTCTCGTATCTTACAGTGCATTGCGTCTCGGCCCGTTTGATCCTGGTCAACATGTGAATGGCCTGATCCAGAAGAAAGAAAGAACCACGCACTCTTGGTCTCGAACAGCCGCCTCAGCGAGGACTTTGTTCGCTCGCGCAGTCATCTCCGTGGCCTTCTCCTCCAGCACGGCCTCCCTCGTCTTCGCGGTCTGAATCTGCTGCACGAGCTTCGTTTTAGACTCCCGAGAGGCATCATAACCGTTGGGAGTTCAGCTGCGCGCGTGACTGACAGAGGGAGCCTGCGTACCTGGCTTTCAGCTCATCCCTAGTAGCCTTGACAGCCTTCAACTCGGTCCGCAATTGGACTATCTGCGTCTTCTGCGAATGGACCTCCGTTCGCGTCTCGTCCAGTTTAGCTGCGGTTTCTTCATGGCTGATCTTCGATCCCCGCAGTTCATCAGCGCACGCCGAAATCTTGTCCCGGCTTTCCCCCAGCTCGCATTCCAGAATGGTCTTTCTGCAGCCGTGGTTGACGTACAGATGGGTTGAAGGACAGAGGACGACTCACCTCTCACGCAACGAGAGTAATTCCGGCTCCAAAGCTTGCAATCGGGACAAGTTTGTGCGACATTCACCCAGCTCCATCTCCAACGCGAGATTTCTTAACAGAAGGGTTCAAAAAGGTGCACTGCTGAGTTGAGGTTCTTTCTCACTCGTCTTTGGCAGCCTTGAGGTCGGATTCCACCGTCGCAAACAGAACGATGCGTGCAGCCTTTTCCCGGAGCATACACTCGAGCGCAAGTTTCCTGTGAAGTCACAATGGGACTGAGGCTTCAAGTGGAGACGCACGCACTCTTCCTTGAGCCCAGCCAAGTCTGCAGTCGAACCTTCGAGTTTGACGATACTTGCATCCTTCTGCTTTACTTCCCATTCCAGTGCTACTTTGCTACACCCGCCGTCATTGCGCAGACAGCTGAGCTCCGAAGGATGCTACGCACCTCTGTCTCGCCTCATCCAGGTCGTACTCTCTGTCAAGAAGCCGCCGATCCGCCTGCGCGAGTCTACACTTCTGCATGAACGCAATACCCAGTATGCAAGCGATGTGGCCTACTTTTCGGTGCACTCGGCTAGACGCGATTCCAAAGCCAACGCACGAGCTTGATCGCGCACGCCCTGTTCCTCTTTGACTCTCAACTTGTCCGTGAGATCTTCCAACTTGCTTTCTGCCCCACACCATATAAGCTGTTCATCCGAATCGTTTTGACAGCACGATGAGCACACTAACCCACACGTTCGATCTTCCCTTCCCTGGCGGATTCCAGCTCAGCCACCTTGTCCTTCGCCTCCACGAGCTGGGCACTGAGCAGATGCAGCTTGTCGCGAAGCATGTCGATGACCTGGTGGGCTTCAAGGAGACTAAAAAGGTTGGCACGAATGGGATCGGGCAGGACTGACCACCGGAACGATCGCTCTGCAACTCTGCGATAATGCTCCGCGACTCCGAGAGTCGAATGAGGGTGTCAGATGATTCGAGCTCTAGACGAGTCCATCGTCAGCGCCATTAAAATCAAGTACATAGTGGGCTGACCTTGTCTGCCTTCAGCCGCAGACTGTCGAATTCCGGCAAGTTCTTTCGAGAGCAGCTTGATCGTGACTTGGGAAGTGTCGTATTCAGCTTTGAGTGCAGAGAAAGTTTGCTGTAGAGAGTCATAGCTGCAAAGAGCAACATGAGGGGACGATAATTCAGATTGAACGAGAGCTTGACTTCTTGCGAACTTGTTCCAGACCTTGAGCAGTCGTTGAATGCAGGTCTTGAAGTTTGGTAGCCAGCTGCCGGGAATTTTCATCAGCCTCCTCAGCTTGCGTTCTTGCCCTGCGGAGCTCCTCGTTGCTGTGTGCCAGTCGGGCATGCTCGCGGGCTTCCAGTTCGGCGACCCGTCCCTTGAAGGTGGACTCCGCGGCCTCACTAGCAGCTCTCTGCGCGGAAAGTTGGGCCTCCAATGCCGCAGTCGCTTTGCACTGCGGGATCATGAATATATGCGCCCAGGTACACACATTAGACACAGCAGAAGCCCGACACATACCTGCTCCGCTAGCTTGGTCTTGACAATCTTGGTTTCGCGCATATGCTTGTTCATCAAATGGGAGAAGTCAGAGTCGTCGTGGTCGAGTTCGAGTTCTATTTGCATGGATGCGGAGCGTGAGCGAGGGACCGCCGGTGAAGCGGGAGCAGCGTGTTGAGTGGGATTGGTGTGGATGTGATTGCGATTGTCAGGCATCTTAAACGTAGACTGTTGCGAGGGCAAGTAATGCGAGTTTTCAGCTAAGGAAGGTAAACGCTCGAAGACGCAGAGATCTCATGACGATCACACCGGGCTGCTGTTCTTCAATCGACGCTGCGAAGGCTCGAGTTCTCTGCGATTGAGTAAGCGGGTCATTGCGAGTCTGGGAAGCAAAGGAGTTTTGCTGGCGTCTTGTGTTGAGGGGCATGGGGATATGGTCGCTGGGTTCTTGCTTCATGCGAGGTTCAGGCTGGCGCCGACTTGAAGCGGATTGAGGAAGCCTTGAGGAAGCGGAGGGCATTTGCACATTCTCATGATTGTTTCTGCTCTGCGTTTGAAGTTGACCAAAGGGCTTCCTCAGACCGGACGGTTTCTGGAGCACTGTGGAAAAGGGCGGGGGGCCGTCGCGATGGTTGCTTGCGGGCTTGGGTGCGGTGCGGGTTTGAAGCAGGTCATAGTCAAAACCATCAGAGTCCATCCCAGAAGTTGAAAATGAAAAGAATCCAAGAAAAGGGCGGTAGACGCGGTCAAGAATTTGAGGAATGGTGGTAGCTGTGGAACAGGAGGGCTCAAGTCGCGTCACGGTCATGTGATCTCATCAAGACGCGAACGCCTCAAGTTCTAAGCTCTCTGCAATGCTGAGACGTAACGTAAGAAAATTTGCATTCGCATTCATCAGAATTTTTGAAATTGGTGACTTGATTCAGAAATCTTCGACCAGACTATGAGCATCGCCAAAGAACTTGTCAAATCCTCCCCCTTCCATCGTCAGGTCCGGGGTGGGATGCTCGTTCACCCAAGAGTCCATCTTATTCAGGACCTCCGCGTCAGAGGACGAGTCGTGTCCGAAATGCTGCCAATACGATCCGGCTTCAGCGTCTTTCTTCCGACGAGCGCAGCCGACGAACTCACAGGAAGCCATTCGCCGATGTCAGACAAGGCAACCTTGCACTTCTCGCAACGATATTTTGGGGTGGATTTCATCAGGTCCTGTCAATACGGGCCGTCAACAAGCTGAAGAAAAGTTGAGCGGTGCCGCACGGACCCGCAGAGAGAAGCGCCTAGATTGTCGGGGGGAGCTAGTAGGGGAGCTGGCGGGGGAAGACATTCTTGGTGGCTCGTTAGAGTCTCAAACTACCCCGACATCCGCCTTCCTATTTGAAGCTCTCGGATTAGGACAGGAGAGGGCGGATGCTCGGCCGAGTCTCGCATTCGGCGGATCAGGACTTGTCTTAGGACTCGGTGACTGCCTATATTTCAGTTATATCTTGTGCTTTGCGTAAGAACGTTCGGATTTGAATGATGCGGTCTACTACTTATGACCCCCTGTACAGCGCCTCAGTCTCCAGATAGTATTGCTATGGGCAAGTTTTGGAACATGCGAAGCAGCAATGCCACATCTCATCAATCAAGCATTTACATATCATCATAAGCAGCGTTTACGGAATCAGAGACATAGGATCGTTAAGGTCACGAATCAGACATGAGAGAGGGGCCGTCTTGTGCACGATTCATCGAGCGATTAAACGCGAAGGCGCGGACTGCATAAGCTGCGATGAAAACATTTAATCAGATGGTTAGTTCGTGCCAGAGTTTCATACAACATATAAACCAGCGAATTCACGTTCATATTCCCGAAGTGACTGTGTGACAAGCAGGAGTGGGAGGAGCGAGGAGGAGCGTGAGCGATGCGGTCAGGTGATCGCATCGTGACATACACCACGTGAGTGTGACACTACGCTATTGTTCCCTACCGGACTGCCACCTTATTGTGGTCCATTTTGATCTATGGACCTTCTCTGGCAGCCCTTATAAGCGACGCGTCGGCGCCATGAAACCGCGTGCCATTTCCGCTTAGGGCCTGCTTCTGGCTATCACACGCTCGCCCTCTCATCGTCAGTCTCAACGCGTCGTGCGCACGCTTTCTTCCCCGACTCATGGCTAACCAGAAGTTCAGAGACAACAAAGCCCGATCTACATACACCCGGGATTTCCGACACCATGATATTATCTAGCTCTCTGTATACACCCGAGTGCGACGCGGTCCGCGTGGGACCCGTCCCCTCGTGGCCATCCAGTGCCCCGTGGCTCGACGAGCTTCCCAGTGAATCGGGCGCCCTTCCGCAGGACCCCATCTCAGATTTCAACTCATCGCAGAAGATGCTGATGCTGCAGCTCGCGTACGTCTCTCTACCAGAGCTCTGCATCCATTCTCTGACTAGCCCGAATCAGCAGCAACGCCGAGTGTGAGGATAGTGTGGCCAAGGTACGGTGCCGGGAGTACGTGCAGAATCAACGAGCCCTGGGCGTCTCCTCCTACCTCCCCCTCCCCGACTGGGATGTCTACGCGCCGATCGATTGTGATTCGGCCTCGACCGGAGAGGAGGAGCAGGGGAGTGAATTCTGGGACCCACGTTCAGAATTCGAGAGGAAATTCACCACAGCGAAGAGGGAGCCGCGTACTAGGTTTCAGGCCATGCGTGAGCGGCGCAAGACCTCCGCGGTCATTTCAGGCCGCATTGAGAAGGCCTCGCGATTGCTAGCACCTAGGCCGCGAACCCAGGCCACCACCGCCCATCTGCCAGCGGCGAACATGATCTGTGACACGGTCGGCCACCACCTGCGCATCCAGTACGAAGAGTCCCGTGCGGCGTCCAAATTCTCTTGAACAGGTACTTGTGCTGCCTGGGTTCTGTCGGTGCCGGTTTTCGTTTTCCACGACCGTAGCCGGGCAGAAAGAACAACGCTGGCTTCGCTCCGAGCTACAATATTTGGATTCTGGGAGAATCTACTACTGAGATATTACATGGACGATTATGTACTGCTTGTATTTGCGGTGTACTTGTGTAGATATATGTTGATTCTCTCGTGCCATTTTCGCACGACTCGCCACATGGCGTGATATAAGTAAAGAACGTTGTATTATAAGGAACGACGGGATCTGCCACGACTCTGATCGAGATTCCGGGCGCGGAAGGCGCTGCTGTCCTGGTACGTGTGTGCGTCCACTCAGGTGACCGCGATAGGCACGTGCCAGACCACAGAGGCCACTCAGGTCAGGGGTCACGTCAGCGGCTCTGGTCCTGAGTTCACTCAGGGACCAGGGTGCGTCCGACCCGTCAGGCTAGCTCGCGCCAAATCTCTGGTGTCCGACCTGGACTAAGTACAGATTACGGCCAACATCGGCGTCGTGTCGGGTAACGAGTGACAACTGGATCGCGTCAGGATCGGGCTCCTCTCGGGATGGGTCCAGGAAGACGGACCTATTGTACAGCAGGCGCGGGCTTGAACTCAGGCCTTCTGATCCACAAAATCCGAGTCGTCAGCTCAGAGAGACAGCGGAGGAGACAAGAAACACACAGAAGCCAAAAACTCTTCCTCCTCCTCATATGTAGTCACACCTTCCGGGTGGACACGTACACTAGTGGTGCCAGGGGCAGACGGTAAACTCTTGAGCTGGAACTGGGCGTTTGGTCTGCCGGGCGGCTGGCTCGAGACGATGCTCTCCGTGTAAAACTGCGTGTCCGTCACGGAGTCGCTGAGCGCGCCGCGGAGGGATTCACGGCCATTCAGACTGCGATGGGCCGATCAGTCCAGAGATCAAACAGAATACATGGAGAGGAGTACGCACATGGCCAACATGCTGATGAGAGACACCTTGCTGAGGCTGAAATGGACGGGCATCCAGTTCAGCTTGGTGGGCTGGGCGACGTATAGAGCCAGATTCAGGAACTGAGCGACGGTCATCAGGCCTCCCCTTGCCACGGTGTGGCCCAGCAGCTAGACGGGGATGAGCGGCGCCTGGTCCGAAGGGAACGCACGCACACGATCCAGCATGGAGTTGGTGCTGTCACGGGGGGTAAGTGCCAAGCTACGGGGATCTAGTCTCACTACTCACGATTTGATGTGGCTCCTGCCGCGGTGGAACTCCCAACTCAGGCCAACGGCGACGATGAGATCGGACACGGCCTCGAAAGCGTTGCACAGCGCCGTCTCGATCTACGAAGACACTCAGTGGAAAACAGGCAGCAGATCGCGCGCGCCACGCACCTTCATGGTCGGCTGCGCCAGCCCGGCGACGGTGGGGGTCTTGGAGACGCTGACGACGAGCACTGTACAAGAGGATCAGACCCTAGTCGCCACCAACAGGGGCTAGATGCGCACAGATTCCGGAGACTAAGGAAGAGCCCACGTTTTAGACGGTTTACTGGGCGATTGGGGAAGTAAACTCACCGAGGCCCGCGACCGCAAAGACTACAATAAGCCCGGGCACCACAATCCTGCCCTGGTTGACTGTATCGCTGAGCATCAGGGTCTCGTCTGTAAGGCTAGGAGCACACGCACAAAGATAGAGCCGTCTCGCAAAGAACAGCTCGACGCTGCCAGGGAAGAAGCCATCAGCGCTTCGAGCAAGGAAGCCGCACGACAAACAGCGAAAACAACGCACAGGAAGCAGACGAGGACGTTAAGGCCCACTTCGCAGATGCCCGACCAGGGAAGCGTCGCTAGTATCGCCGGGTTCCCGAAGTTTTCCAGCTGAGCTCTGCTGTGAGCCGACCCGGGCGCAGCACAGGGGGTGGGGAATAGTAGCACGCACCAGATACACATGGGCCATCAGAATGAGCATTATCGAGTTGACGCTGTCCATGACACTGCGAACCAGTAAGCATCCGCCGCCGGCGCCGATGGGAAGGGAAGCCGGAGCGGCTCACAAGAGCGTGCCAACCAACGTCTGCAGCGACCACCCATCCCTGTTGAGGTGGTAGTACGTCGCCGTCTGCGCGACCGTGATGCCCCACAACCTATCCCGGCGCCGCGGTCAGTCTGGCTGGCTGGCTGGCGGGGGATACCCCGCCGGGTGGACGGAGGACGACGCACACGATGGAGAGAAAGACCCCGACGAACATGGGGTCGGCCAGCGGCGCGATATTGACGCCGAGCATGAGGGCCGAAGGGGGAGAAGCCTCGGTTGCGGATGCCGACATGACGGGAAGAAAACAAGGGATCGCGCCGTCTTATCCACCCGGGATGGAGCACCGGGTACATTATATAAGGAGAACAGAACCTCAGAAGGGAATAATACTTACTGCATGTATGTACTCGACAACTCGGCAAGCCCCTGCCTAGTCAACGGACGGACATGTCTTCCGCAATTGATGGGTATAAACGATCGACCATTGTTCAACATCGATCAGGGGCGCGCAAGGAGCGGCGACCATTTCTAACCCGGCGCAGCCCTTCGGTACACCGACGTCGACAGCGTCACTGGTGTGCGATGGGGACGGGCGGTATACTTGACATAAGTACTAGTACCACGACGGGTAGCCACAGCAAAGCGGGCGCCACGGTGACATTAGCGACAAAAGGCTCCGGGTATACCGGCCCGAGTGGATACGATCGCGGCATATTGCGTAAATCATCAAATTTCTCTATCGCCGACACAGAGCGCTTGTCGTCACTCCATGGTTGCTTCATGGGCTTAATACCTACCTGACAGAAATTTTTAGTAGCGAGCTCTTCAGCCACGTAGTTATAGACAATCGGGTGCGGTCGCTTGCTTTCGATACGCTCTATGTATTCTCTTTTAATACAATGCGGACCGTTGAGTATTCAAACACGTGATGTGACCGATCGCGGTGCGCGATCATAAATAATCATATGTTAAAGCCAAGTGTGAAGGCAGATTACAGCAAGTGGATCTAGAAACTTTCTGTATTGGCTAAGAATCTTAGCGCCCGGCTTCTCCACGCCCACAAACACAATTATTTCTCGGGCATCCGCAACTCTGGCTGTGGCATGTTTAGTTGTCAACCAGGCGAGGAAATAAGGAGCTAGCTCACTAGTATTGATGGGCGGTCCAGGGATAGACCGTGTTCGCGGGTCCAGGGAACTGGCCGTAGTGTATCCGCGGCGCATCGTTCGGCGTGAAATTTGACGCCGGTTCGCGCTGCACGTATGGACTGTTGTGGTTGGCACCCTGCGCTGGGTAATATGGATATTGTTGCTGCTGCTGATTCATATTTGCGCCGTAGGGGCTGGGTTGCTGTTGATTCGGCTCGTGGTTCCAGCTTTCCTGCGCACCGCGGGAGAACGATGCTGGATCGAGAGGCTGCGTCCAGATCGGTTCGCGCGTCGGGGCTGGGTCGTCTCGCGGGATCGTCACAAAGTCACAGGTAGCGCCTTCCCTGGCACAGCGTTCGCACGGTTGGCGCAGTTCCTTGTCGGTTGGTGCGCACTAAAACAAGTCAGGAAATGGTATAGAAAATGGGCACGAGGACGTCACCTTCAGCTTGCGGCGTCGGCAGTTGGTGCAAGCAATCCGGTTTCTCTGGTGTCCCGGATTGGGAGCGTTGTAGCGGTTGGGCTGAGCTGTTTGAGACATTGGCTGAGTAGATGTGGGCTGGGTTTGTGAGGTCTGCAGCTTTTCTGAAGCCGAGTTTTATAGCGGCCAACGAAAGCAGCGAAGAACCCGAGCTCAGACGCGGTGATGAACATGATCGAGGCTTCACATTGCAGAAACAGAGTCGACTCTAGTCAGCCATCCCGGAGATATCACAGAAAGGGATTCAGAGTTCAATGAGGTCGAAACTCGAAATTGGATTCTGGTTTCAGAGGAGAAAATTGATCAGTTGTTCAAGTAACACACTAAGATCAACAAAGCGTCCCGACCTTGTGTTCCCACTACAAAGTATAGAAATCCGGCTGAGCCATGAACATGTTGAACTATTGGTAGCCACAGAGAAAGGTTATGATAGCCAAGGCAAGATACAGGAAGGAACTTGGAGGCAAACAGCGCGCCGTGGAAAGTTCTTCACTTTCCCGAAGCGCTGGCAACGAGACGGTAGGAGAGAGACCTGCCAGGATGACTCCCGCGTCCCGTGCACAGGATCCTTGATGGCAAACACATCAGCGCTTGATGCGCGCCCCCAGGCCATAGCTTACCTTGCTTTGATCGTCGTCTACACAAGTGATGCAGCCCATCGAACGAGTCGCAGCCTCGAGAGCCCGCGGGAGTAAGCCGTCCCGCAATTTCGATACAGGTTTGATCTTGCTGTGTCCTCCCGTGCGGCCTCGGCTGTGACGCACGAAATCAATGAAGCCGGGTCACTGATAGAGAGTTTGGTTGGTTTTCGAGCAGTGATCGCATGTGAGAAGGTCTCAGTTTTTGCAGTTACATCGACCGAGAGCCTTGGGGTGGAGAGTGACGATGACCGCAGTCAGCTCTCGGCGCCAAAAGAGCTAGATGGAGGGCGGTAGATCTAATTATTATCCCTCGAGAATATCCGGGTATCTCACGTGCGAAATTCCCGCATTCTCGCGTCGAGGCGCTGAGGGGTGAGGGAGAGATGGGCTCTGCATTCTAGCTGATCCGATCAACCCGCCCTGTCGCGAGCGCGAGTGTGTCACGCTCACACAACTGTGACGCGAGCAGCAAACTGAATTTTCCGCTCGGACATACCCCGATGGCCACCGTCCACGCGCGCGCCTCGCTGCGTCGATACAGCACGGGTCCCGCCTTTCCCCGCGGCTCAAAAATCTACAAGTCACAAGCACGCCTCCGCATGGCGCTCCCGTGCCCGCTGAAGAAGACCGCAAGCTCACGCACTTCAAAATCACGCTCCGCCGGTCCGCAATTTCTCTCGGGGAGAAGAAGCAGGGGACGCTTGCTGCGCTTGGGCTCAAGCGGCGTCACCAGACCGTCTTCCACCCCCACAAGCCTGACATTGCGGGGAAAATCTTGGCTGTGAAAGAGTTGGTCGAGGTCGTGAATGTGCCCGAGTCCGCGGTCAGGACGAAGGAGGAACAGCGGAACGAGCGGAAAGCACCCAAAGGATATGAAGTCGTCGGGACTCGTTTGGGGAGCTTGGAAGGGATTTAGAGCAGGGAGTGAGTCCTCTGGCACGTCATTCTACTGTCTTCTCACAAGTGTAGTTCCCTAGCAGTCGCACGGACGTGCGCGCCTTTGAGCGTGGATGCGTTGCACGGTTCAAACGGTCTCTGAATGACCAATGTACATCACTTCATCATGCATTGCATCTCTCGATATATATCCCAGCTTATTCGAACATCTGCCTTTAAGCATAGCGGTTCGGGGATTGAAGCTCGAGTCCCGGTCTTGAACGATTTCGCGGCGAGCGTCAAGACTGCACAAGACCAAGCATTATAGTTCACAGCTACATGTACAGCTACACTGGAAGAATTTCAGTACTCGCAACAGGCAGATCAGAACGCACGCACTTGTTGGAGAGTCGCACTTGTCCTACTCGGGAGCTTTCTTCTTCTTCTTCTCCTCGACCAACTCGACGTTATCAGCCGGTATGCCCTTGAGCACACCCACCTCATTCTCGATCATCTCTAGGATCTCATCGCTCACGTCCCCAGATACGACGATCTCCTCCAGTCCCTGTGCATTCTTGGTGACCGAAGAACCTGTAGCGAACTTGGAAGAGAACTGTTTGGAGGCCTTCTTCAGATCGATGCCGAATTCTTCCAGGCCGAATACGGAGGTCACGCATTTGTGCTTCGTACGCTCGATGCGCTTTATTATTATCTGGGCACCGGATTCAGTCGGGTACCGCGCGTGAGATGCAGATGGTAAACGAACCTGGGATGCCATTTTCTTCTTGAGAGCTGCGTCGGCCTTAGCTTCCGCTTTCGCTTCTTTCTTGGCCATATCCTTCTCCAACTTCACTTGAGCTTCAAGGCTGAGGGTTCCGATCTTGTTTTGGAGGGCCTCTGCGTGCACGTTCAGGATTGAGGTGGTGAGCGGAAAACATGGCGCGCAGCGTACCATCGGAGTAGTACTTGGGAAACAGATCGGGATGAGATTCTTGCAGCCATTCTTTGCATCGCGTTAGGCTCGTCCCGAATTCGCAGTATTCAGCAGGATATGTGCAGACTGGCCGCGAGATCAGGCTGCGTGGAGATCATGGATTTTGCTACTCTGACCTCCGCAATACAAGACGATGACAGGGGGAACGGCGGGCACAGTAGGTGCGGCATCGGCTTCAGCGGTGGTGGATGGTTCAGGATCCGCGGCTTGGTTTGCTGCCTTGTTCTTTCGGCCCATTGCTCAAGAGGGCAGACAGATTGAGAGAGAACCTGGAAGTGCCGTCACATCATGTGTGACGCTGGCCCCGCGTGCCGAAGGCACTTCTTCATCTCCACACTCGCGACCATGCCGAAACTGTGAACTTCGCTGATGTCTTTGCGAACGATACTTTCCAAGCCTGTTCCTCAATGTGCCAGGACTTCGCTGCGTCGAGCAAAGCTTGAGCGATACGACACAATCCGGACATTTTTCAATAAGCAGCATGCGTCCAGCGTGCAAACCGCGCCTCGTTCCTATCCGCTCCGTCCGCTTCAGAGCCCACTACATCACCTGGTATTCGCGCGTTGCTTTCATGCATCATGTACGAGGCTCGATGAGCAGCGTCTACCCAAAAAGGACGAGGAGGGAGCCGAGAGAGAACCAGATCCGTTGTCCCCTCCCCCGTCTCCGCCCCCACCAAACTACGACAACTACACTCCATTTTCCGGCGATTGGCTATGTCCGTGCCGCATCTACCGCGGCCAAGTCGCGACGATTTCTTGAAGTTGGCTACGGGCTTTTGGGCGCGTGCGCGGATACGGTTCAAGTGGTTCACGATCAAATCCTTCCGGCGATTCAACGCAGACGACATCTCGGCGTTCATAACGCTGATCTTGATGAGCCAGACCCTGTGGATCTTTGTGGGAACGTGCGTGTGTGTGCTTATGTTCCCGTGCATTCGTATCGACGCCGTGCCAGAACGACCTTTTTCTCGGTCATATTTGCCATAGCAAACAGCTTCCGCTTGCAGGGTGCGTTTCGTTTCTAACGTGTACGCGCTTTCGTGCCTATGCCCTAGCAGACTATATTGCGCGCGGTATCAGCGACTACCTCACGTCGGAGACTGGCGTGACGGTCATTTTCGAGTCGGCCATTGTCCCTAAATGGAAAGATTCGCGCATTTCATTCAAGAATGTGTTCATCTCTCAACGCCCCAAGTCCTTCCCGTCGCCCATTCGTCGGCAGGACAGCGAAGGATTCGCCCCCGGAGGATATGACATCACAGGGCATCCAGTGTACCATCATGAAGAGGATGATGATAAACTCGCGGAGGAGGAGGAGGAGGACACAAACTACACTATGTTCGACCTGAACGTCGATTCGATAGATGTGACACTGTCCTTGTGGCGGTGGTTCGAAGGCAAAGGCCTGGTTCAGGATGCAGTCATCAAGGGTGTTCGAGGAACCCTTGGTCAGTGTTTCGGCTCCCTTCCATCGCCGTAGCATGCTAATCTGGCGTAGACCGGCGAAACGTGACCTGGGACCCAGACCATCCTTGGGATCCAGTAGCCTTTCGACATAAGGCACGACCAGGCGACTTCGAGCTCGAGTCGCTGCAGATAGAGGATCTGCTGCTGACTGTATATCAGCCAGGAGACTTCCGGCCGTTCACAGCGTCCATCTTTCGTGCAGACATCCGATGTTTCCGCAAGCAGTGGATTTTCTACGACTTTTTGTCCGCAGAAAACGTCGTAGGGCAATTCGACAACTGCTTGTTTAGTCTGCACAAGCCGCAGAGCATCGGAAGGACTACGACTATGGACCTGAAGGACGGAGATTGGGGCAGGATGGTGCGTCTCATGTCTAAACCGTCCGTTTTTACTTCTCAAATTTCATGCGAAGACCCGTATCCGTATGGACGGGATCCCGATAGACCACATCCAGCGTGCTTCGACTACTGAGGGCCCCATTTCGTGGATCGTTTCGGGCAAAATGGATGTCGTGTTCGACATCAAGTTCCCTCGGGATCCGGAAGACGACTCACAACTCAACGCTCTCATAGGCGAGATCGCAGATGCTATCAGCACCTCTTTGGCTTCCGTGGAACGGATTCCCGGCCAGCACGGTCTCGCACGTCCACCGTTGCAAGTTCCAGAGAAAGCTTCGTCAAGTGTCGACACAAGACGTCAACTCATTATTGACATCGATTTGCGATTCCGCGATCTCAAGGCAGCTGTTCCCATCTTCACCAAGGACCTGTCTTATGTCAATAACGCACTCATTCGACCGATAGTGAGCTTTATGAAGTGCGTATCCAGTATTAGTTACCACGTCGTTCTTTGCCGAACATACCACAGCGCGAACCGAACACTGGTTCCCATTCGCTGCAGAGTCGTCAAAGATGTCGCCGATTTCGATGGCTCTTGGACAATGTGGGAGTCGGGGCTCATGGACGAACTGGCGCTGGAGGTTTACGACGCCATGGCCTACCATGTCACACAGGCTAATATGAACAAGCGCATCAAGACTGTCAGCATTTGGAGTCTGCAGATGACCGCTGGCGCTGTGATCTCGACTTTGAGGACGTTCATTGATCCAGTGTCAGCTCGTCTACGGGAGGCCTACCAAAACCGGCGTGGACTTTACGAAGCCTTGTATGCCGAGCCACTCTTTGATTTTTGATGTATATACGCCAATCCTAACGACCGTTTCATGTGATTCCCTGATTCGGGCGGAGAATGTTTGTGTCTGGCACGACGAGTTGCATGATGTCATTCATCATATCTTACATCCGTCGCAACCCGATTTGATGCAGTGATGCGCTTTTGAGCTACATGTGATGACATACCACACCGGCGCTGACGATCGCTGTTCTCAGTCTTCTTACACACCACCATGGTCTCCGACGCTCTTCTGGAAATTGGATACCGCTGGCTAGACCAGGTCCGTTGTGCAAGAAGACCAATCAACCTCTCCTTGTTCTCATAACTCACTTCCCAGGGTCTTGTGCCCGACTTCATCATCCGACGTGTCATTCGCGCGCTTCTCCGCGAACGCCTGTAGGTCCATTCTTTCCCGACATTGAGATACCGCTCAAGATGACGAAGACGCGAAATCGACCGCGGGACGTTCGAGGCCAACCATGCTGCGAAGATGAAGTGGGTCGAGGACGTCCGTACGAGAGTGCAGATCGCAGAGTTGACTGAGAAGGCCAATGAGCAGCACTATGAGGTGAGTGTGCACCACTTCTCTCATTGCATTTGTCCTCAATGCGACAGGTCACCACGAACTTCATCCTCTCCACGCTCGGCCCCTATGCCAAATACTCGTCCTGCCTCTACCCGACAGGGAAAGAGACACTCGCCGAAGCGGAGATCCACATGCTCGAGGACTACTGCGTCAAGGCGAAGCTCCGCGACGGCCAGGACGTACTCGATCTCGGATGCGGGTGGGGAAGCCTTTCGCTGTTCCTCGCACAGAAATACCCTGGCTCACGGATCACCGGGCTGTCGAATTCGGCTACGCAGAAGGCCCATATCGACTCGACTGCTAAAGCGAGGGGGCTGACGAATCTTGAGGTTAGTGCGAATGAGATTACGAGCATGCTGTTGCTTGAGCTGGTCGTTGCAGATCGTCACGGCAGACGTCAATGTGCACGATTTCGCGGGGTCCAAGTTGTGAGTGTGGTCCTGGGCTTCGTTCTGTACACTGACCTTGCCCAGCTTCGACCGTGTGCTCTCGATTGAGGTGCTTAACCGTGTTCGCATCTCATATCCCCGCCGACTGACATGGCACAGATGTTTGAGCACATGAAGAACTACGAGGTCCTGCTTGCCAAGATCTCCTCCTGGATGCGACCGACTCCGAAGGAGAAATCACTCGATGGCGACGAATCCCTTCTTTCGTTCACATATTCTGCCACCGCTCCCAGCCATATCACTTTGAGAGTGAGGATGGCTGGATGGCGCAGAATTTCTTCTCTGGTGCCTATCTAATCTTTTATCTAATCTAATCTGACTGAATCATCAGGGGGAACAATGCCTTCGCACGATGCACTAGTGAGTTTGACTCCGGCCTTTGGAGGTCAAGCTGAACATCCCCCTGCAGCTGTACTTCCAGAACGACTTGTCTCTAGAACGCAGCTGGTATATCTCTGGTCACCATTATTCTCGGACCCTCGAGGACTGGTTGAAACTCCAAGATCAAAATAAAAAGGGTGTGTGATGAACGTTACCGTGTCAAAAATTGTCGCGCTAAATAAGCAAATGGAACAGTCGGACTTAAAGAGCTTCACGATGATGCTATTGCGAAAGGCAAATCTCCTGAAGAGGCTACGGCAATGTTCCATCGGTCTGCTGCCGTTCTGTTTCCGCTATGCTTGACCTCACCGTATTATCAACCTAGATTCCGTGTGTTTTACATGGCTTGCTCAGAGCTGTTCAACTACGATGGTGGACAGCAGTGGGGAGTGGGCCACTATCTGTTCAAGAGGAAAGCAGATTGAACCTTTCACCTTCCTGCACACGGAGTGATGTGATTTCTTAATGCTAGAGGTCTCAACCTATCTCGCCATTGTAGAGTGCTAGGGTGCTACTGACAATACGATACTGGATGTTTTGAGTTACATGGAACTTGCTGCAGATGTAACAGCCTACCGCTCAAAAAGCGAGTTTGAGTGTGGGGTGAGACTGGCCTACGTTGAGACCAAACATCGTTATGAATTGACGATTATTCAAGCACGCTTGCAGGTTACATGGCAGATTAGCTAGGTATCTGAGATTACGCACGTGATATGAAGCGAGAATGTACACGTGATAAAAGCGCTGTCACAATTTCACGCGTACCAGAGCACTACGCTCCCACATCCTTTCAACCGCACTCCAATACCGAGCAGGATCCAGTCGTTCGTGTTGGACGTGCTGTGACCCACTGAACCTCTCGACAGAAACGTCGGCGCAGATCCCTGCCGACTGCAGTTTTACGAGGTGCTCTTCGACAGAGGTGAACGGGACCATCCGGTCCTCGCTCGAGTAAATGTACAATCTCGGCGCATGACTCGCTGCGCACGGGAACAACTCCGGGCGGAGCAAGCTGGCGTGTAGATCGGAGAAGAGATTCGCTTGGCCCAGCAGCAGCCGACGCGCGAGCATGACCGTGTAGGCCATCGTGAGCGGCACTGTGGCTACCGCTTTGACTGCGGGGGACTTGATGTCGGTGGTCAGGGTCGCGATCAGGGACGTGTACTCGCTCGCACCGGGCGTCGAGTCGAATATCGTCGCCGTGCGGACGGTGCGCCTAGAGTCGGAGGATGCCAGCTTCCGAGCCATCAGCCGAGACAGGGTAATGAATTGGAAGGCGCCACCTGCAGTAGTCCCTTAGATTAGCCCGGACAGTTGGCGAGAAACCCACCATTGGAGATGACGTGCATGAGCATTCCCCGCTTTACATCCTGACTGGAATGGTAGACTGTCGAGAGCAGGAAGTCTGCGATGGGAGCAAGTGTGTCGTCCTATGAACATTGGAGAGGCTGGATCCGAGAGCATTGAGAACACGGACCCTCTTCTGCTCACTAGACCATATGAAGGACGGATGCGATTGCACGGTGATGATGTCTGCTGCCGGCCATCGCTTGCGGTGCTTCGCAGCATATTTCTCGAGCAGCCGGTGCGGAGCGTCCACTGAGGACGGCGTTAATGAATAAAAAAGGTATGGATGGCTGCAAACGTACTCCATCCGAACAGGACTACCACCCGAGGGTCATTTGCACCGTGCGCAGGAGATGTTGAATACGAGATGTTGACGTCTGGACCTAGTTTCTCGAACACAAGTGGGAGGTCGTTGGACGCAAGTGCTGGGGGGACTTTAGAGATCCATTGCTCCTGGAGACGAGGGAGTCGCGCTACCATCCTCTGCACTCTGTGCGACTCTGACCAGGTCACCCCATGTGTCAGGCTTTGGGGTGGTAGTAGCCATCGGACAATTTTTTGAGGAGAGAATCCCGAGCGGAGATGACAGCTGAAAAGACCGAGGCTCGATGCAGCGGCTTCATCGGAAATAGAGAGAATCTCATCTGTTGACGAGCTATGCGACGAGGTTTTGGGGCGAGATGATGGGGAGGAGTGAATGTAACCCCTTTGGGCCGCTGTACGTGAACGCCGCACAATCCCGATTCAGAGTGACTGTTATCATCAACTTCTGATCTGTACATCTCGAATTTCCAACTGAGCATGCATCTTGCGCATCGCCACGCCGGAGGCCTGCCCAGTCCTTGGCCACCCATGATTCGAAGCTTCTTTTCATCTAATGATGTTGAGCTGAGCTGGTTTGCTCGCCGACACGTGTGTGTGTCCCAACTCAGCTGGGCCAGCCGCTCGCGCAGGAGACCTGTATACGTATCATGGAGCATATTCTCCGTGATGGGTCGTCGGTTATTTAAGAGCCCACCGCACGGGCGAGCACACGAACCCCGCCACAGACGCGTCCTCACCAACCATGGCGACGAAAAAACAAGCAGCGCTTGCCCAAACACACCTCTTCACTCGGGCCGTAGACGACTTTACCCTTTCTTCCCCGGACCGCGCGGAAGTCACACTGGAACGCGCCAGAGTGATTGCGACGTCCTTTGGTGTGTGCTCGGACTTCGAGAAGTCATGTGTGGATCTCAAGGCTGACCTTTCCCCCAGACTTGTCGGTGCATGATGTGCTCACTTGCTCAGAGAAGTTCTGGGAGAGCACCTTGGATCCGCTCAACACGATAGATGGGGCAGCTAGCGCGTTGTGGACCATACAAGTTAACCTTGCATGCGGGACGATCTCCGAATTCACCGAGTCGCGGCCAGAATTGAAAGAGCTGTGCCGGAAAATTTTGGCTTTTGAAGTCTCGTGGGTGATTACTCTGCTGGTTTCTACTGCGCATTGACGGTCGCTCTCAGCGCGCACTACATGTTGACGGAGGTGGATCATGGCCTAGACTCGCAGAACATCGAGACGACAGCCACCTTGCTGGACGACGGAACTTTCGAGGTGCACACACCCACGCCCGGAGCCGCCAAGTACGTATTCGATTCTTGCACGCGACTCATCGAAGCCAATGTGGATTCTTTACAGATTCATGCCATCCAGTCTTCCCGTTGCTGGAGTTCCGAGAGTGGCTATTGTCATGGCACGCCTCGTCGTAAAGGGGAAGGATCGAGGCATCCGGCCATTTGCCGTCCCTCTCAACGACGGACGAACCATGTATCCGGGAATCTCTTGTCGGTGCGTAATCGGTGCCTACGAACGACCGCGCAACCGAACATATTACAGTGAGTTACCGCACCGCTCTGGCACGCGGCCCATCGCGCATGCTATCACGTACTTTGACCGGGTGAATATCCCCTCGTGGGCATTCATCGGCGACTTCCAGGCTTCGCTGCATCCCCGAATCCAATTCCTGCGAAGCATCTGGCGGCTCGGCATTGGCTCCGCCACGATTTCGTCGCTCAGCATCCCTGCCATGCGCGTGATGGCGCAAATCGTGACACAATTTGCCCGCCTGCGCAAAGTGACTGACTCGTCCGGGAAGGTCGTCCCCATCATCAGTTTCCGCACGACACAGATTCCCATTCTCCGTGCCCTGGCGCAGGCCGATGCGCTCGAAGCGTTGTACAAAGAGATTCGGCCGTACTTCTCTGCTGCGGACAACAGCAAATTGACTGACGTCATCAACATCCGAAACGGGCTTGCCGACGTTTTCAAGACTGTGACAGTGCATCACTATCGAGAGACGAGCATCACGCTTACGGATAGGCTGGGTGCCCGGGGACTGTTTACCGAAAACCAACTTATTGCCCTCGAGGTCCGTGCGGTCTAGTCTCCGGTCTAGCTTGGGATATGGGCACCCATTAATCTTTATCAACAGATGGAGCTCCGCGGAATGACCATCGCAGAGGGCGACGTGACTGTGCTCTGCATTCGTGAGTCCTTGCTTGCATTGGGGACATCAGAGGCTGACACCGACTGCTAGGGTTAGCGAGCGAGCTGTTGATGGGAAGGTACACACTGCCTCCTGCGAGACATCCGGAAGCTCTGCTGGCACGTCACGAGCAGGGACTGATGCTGGAGATGACTTCCATTCTCAAGTCTTTCGGCAGCAAGCACCGATCGGAGAACTTCAACCAGCTTCTTTTGCCCCGTTCTGTGGCGCTTGTCGTGGCAATCGGACATCGCATGGCTTACGAGGCGGCGCTTGACGCTCCAGTCATGACAGAGCTGGTGGCGTTATACGAGGCCACTGCAGTCATGCACGATTTGGCCTGGTATGTCGAGAACGGGCTGCTTACGAGGCAGGCGGCGATTTCGGCAGAGACGGATGCGCTCAGCGGAGCATTGCCCTTGCTCGACCAGCTTCTGGAGAAGAACGGATGCGCTCCCTATGTGCATGCGCCCGCTGCTTCGCATCACGCCTGGGACAAGTGGGTTGCATCTTTGCCCATGTTGGACAATCATACTGCGAGGGCTCGTTTATAATATATCATACATATTCACTCACTATTTCTTATTCATTCTTTATCCTCTTCACATATCTCATCTGTACTGTAATGTAACACTAATCAAATCGTCACGCACATCGACGACTCGAGCCAAACAAATTTTGAGCTGCGATGAAAAAGCAGTTGGGTTCGAAGGCGAGACTTTACCCTGACGTTTCCATAGATTCCGCGGCTTGGCTGGGTGCCTGGACAGACTGCATCCGCCAGTTCCCCGGGGCACGGTGCACTGGGTTGCACGGCACAGCACATGGTCACCAAGAGATTTCCTGATTTGGAGATCATCACCGGATGCCCGCCGCGCTGAGATGCGGCCCGGCGGAGTGTGTAATCAGCTGTTGCCCTCAGCTGCGACTTGGCTGTAGATACTCGAGGTCTATAATAATTTCGACGCCTCAAGATCTCTTCGAATCGGAAAAGTTCGCCTATGGGTGGTGTTCTTACAGTAGGCGAAGTGTGGATCAGATTCTCTGCGCATGGCGGCATTATAGGAGAGAATTGCGAGCTCCGTGGCATTCGCTCTTGTGAGTATCATGTTTAAGATACAGAGAAAAAGATGCGCATTGTATTCGACAACATCGGAGGGAAGAGAGGTTGGCTGTTGTAGGAACCCTCGTCTCGCAAGCTGTGGGAAATCCGCTGTCGCGGCCTAGTGATCCGCTGAACACGATCGAGATCGTCCTTTCACACGCGTGTCGATCGACGCCCGATCGGATCGAGCTTTTTCTTCCAACTCCACTCTGTCTCGTCGTGAACGCGTGAACGCTCATGCATCATGGACCACCATCGCGTTTGGACTGGCCGGTACTTATCCGCAAGGGGTGATTCCCTGCATCCGCATCAATCGTTTCGCGCAGCGGCGATCCCCGCACATAAGAATCGAGCACTGGCAAGGCGCGCCTGAGCAAGGCATCTACGCGCCTCGATCGCCATGAAGTCCCAAACTGCCCTTCCACTCCTTTACACGCTCTCCACGCTCGTTTGCGCCTCGCCTCGGCCTCGGCCTCCGCTCCTGCCTCGGCCGTGTCCGTCTCCCAGAGCGCATGGGCGCAGCTTAACAAGACGGTCCATGGACGACTGTACACGGCTGTTCCGTTCGCGCGGCCCTGTTTCAAGAACAGCACCCTTGCAGGCGCGTTTGAGACGGGCGAATGCTCAGCTGTGCAGACCAACTATCTCAGCGAGAGTGAGACGAGTCGCGTACATCGGATGTACACAGGCCTGATGACCATTTCGCAGCATCTCGGACTGCAGCGTTCTCCGCATACATGGCTGCAAGTCACCCCCGTCTCCCGCCCCCTATTATCAGCTGACTTCTGTGCAGACCCAGAATGAAGGGTGCGCGTCGATAGACCAGCAGTGTGTTTTGGACTGGCAGAATGCGACCAACCCCGCTGCGTTCCAAGCACCCCAAAGATGCTACCAGGGAAGCATAGCTCCGTACTACGTAAGCGCTCCCATGGCTATGCTCTGCCATGCTCCCTGTTCAACTGCTCATCTGCTGTGCAGATCGACGTTCAGAGAGCCGCCGATGTCAAAGCGGCTTTCAAGTTCTCATCAGACTACGGAGTGCCGCTCGTGATCAAGAATACAGGCGTGCGTTTTACGTTGGTGTCGAATAATGCACAGGCTGACGAACTGCCCGACAGCATGACTTCAACGGCAGGAGCAGCAAGATTGGTTCATTGGGACTCTGGGTGTGTACTTGCCGCATTCTGTGGTCTACTATCGGTTGTCTGACAGGCAGAGCACAGTCACATAACCTTAAAAGCGTAAGTGTGATGGTGGCTCCATCCGAGTGCTTGCGGCTGAATGGAGATAGATGTCATACTCGTCTAAATTCAAGCCTCACGGAAGCTCTGGAGTCACTTACAGTGCAGTGACCATTGGGGTGCGTGCCCATCTAGTCTTGGGCTGCGCGTTCCACGGCTCATCGTATCACATCGCAGGCCGGAGTTGAGGGCATCGAGACCTATCAGTTCGCTGATCAACACGGAATCACACTGCCGGGTGGGGCCTGCCCAACCGTCGGATCTGCTGGAGGATATCTGCAGGTGAGTTGTCGCCATGTTCTGTTCGCTGAGTCTGGGTCGCTGATTCGTACCAGGGCGGCGGCCACAGGTTCTTCTTTCATCACCTGCAATCATTTCCAATCGCCTGACATTTCATTAGCTGGCTGTCCAACATACATGGCTTGCCGTCGACCGCGTACTCGAGTTCGAAGTCGTCACTCCCAATGGACAGCATCTGTTCGCCAATGCGCACCAGAACCAGGATCTCTACTTTGCTCTCCGCGGCGGAGGAGGCGGCACTTTCGGTTTTGTGATGGCTGCTACCATGAAAGCGCTTCCCAAAACGTCCTACGTGACGTGAGCGGTTTCGCTCGCTGCGCTAGCATTCACTCATGTTTTTAGGGCCGAGTTGGTTTACAATGGGAACTCGACTACCCTCCCGATGTTCTTGTCGTTTTTGATCTCGAACGCGGTCCAATGGTCCAAAGACGGTGAGTTTGAATGATCGAATTTTCAGAATCCGGCACTGACGGGCCTATCTCTAGGCTGGAGTGGACAGATACGAGTGAGTTGTTCCTCGTCATCACATGTTATGTTATTGAGCTAGTGTCAGCCTACGGCCAAGATCGTACTTCCGCTACTAACGTCACGGTTGCCGAGGCCACTGCGTACATGGCTCCCATGGCAGCTCTTGCAAAGAAGCTTGGCGGCACTTTCTCCATCGGGGCGACCAAGTCATACCTCGACTTCCACAACACCTACATTGTGCCTGATACTGCGACCGAGGTATGGACGTTCTTGCCCCGAGTCGGATCCCCTCTCACCGCTTTCGATCTAGTTGGATGGACTGCCCCAGACTATCAGCACACGACTAGTTCCGGCAGAGACATTCAGCACGAATGCTACTGCGCTTCTGGCCTCGATCACGGCCATGGTCCAGGCGCTCCCTGTGTCGTTCATCTTCGCAAATGCCCCGTACGGCTTTAAGCAGGACCCGGCGTTGGGCCCGACCAGCGTCACCCCGGCCTGGCGCAGCTCGATCTGGCATGTCGTCGGTGGAGCGGGGTGGGCCTACAACACACCGTCTTCGCTTCAGCGAGGAATCTATGCCAACCTGACGGGTGCCGTTGACCCTATTCGTGCTATCACACCTTCTGGCGGCGCGTACCAAGTGAGTCCCTAGCTGTACCGTGATTCAGAAGCTTACAAGCCCCCCGCACTACAGAACGAAGCAGATGTGCACGAAGCCAATCACGAGGGTTTGTCTATTTTGATTTCGGCGTCCCCGCCCCCGCTGATCGCAAGTGCAGAATCGTTCTGGGGAAGGGACAACTACGCGAAGCTGCTGGCGATCAAAAACAAGTAGTGCGTCGAGACCGTGTGTCGAGGCCGCTGAATTCCGCTGACTCCGTTTGTAGCGACCCCGATCATCTGCTCGACTGTTGGCATTGTGGTGCGTCTTGTTCCGGGCTGTTGCCAGGTTCTCTGCTAATTGCTCGATCAGTCGGGTGGAAGGGTGTTTCTGATTCCCAGTACCGCTGTTATGTCTAATCTATCTGGTGGCTGCGGAGTTTGCGAGCAAACCGTGGCATGCGTAATCTTATTTTAGTCCTCTATGTACGTAATTAAAACCAGGGCTTCTCCCTTCAAAGTTATACACGAGGATTGGACTGGGCTGGACTCGCTGCGGCAATCTCCTACTCGCATCAAATAGACTGCATTACGCACCGCCACGTGGGCACCTGGAATGTCACTTTGCACTCTGCTCCGTTCATCACCGTCGACTTCAGACAAACGGAATTTCTCATCAATGCCTCGCTCACCGTGCACGAACGTTGCATATTCAGGGTCCATGACATGCCCGAGCCCCCCGATCACATCTCCAAACTCGCACTGACTCAGCATCACTTCCAAGACACATGAGTCAAGACACAAATGACTTCTGCAGTCCGTCGTAATCAGAGAACAATGAGTTCCATCTCTCTGGATCATCATCGCGCAAAACTTGACTTGATGCGGGCTTCGATCTTACGAGATGATGGCTCTGTTCCGTCCCATCGGCCTGCTTCGTGGTCCCCCGCGACGCATGTATGTCACCCCACGACCGCGCGGGGAAAAGCGCGAACAGAGGCATGGGCCCACTCGTGATCGTTGTGCCTTCCAAAGTAGGCAATCTGGCCACCGTGTGGCACCGTACAGCCACGGGTCTCCAGTGACAATCCACTTCGAATGCATCAAGTTCGGATTCGGACATGAACTGTCGCGTTGAATTGATCATCTTATCATCGACCAACGGCTGGATCTCTGGGCACCACCGATCGTGCCGGGGCCCTCGCGGGGTTGTTTCCTGTTATATGTGCACTGGGATCTACACCCCATCCGGACCAAGGCGCCTTCTCTTTCTTTCCGCTGCCCCTCTCCATGTCTGCACCGCCTACCCCGCTCTCGTCCCTGCCGCTCGGCGTCAATGTCGCGCCGGCGGTCGACGCGATGTTCTTGGGCATCATGCTCTCAGTGCTGTGCGGCTCGATCTAGTTTCTGCGGTGGCATGCGATCTGACCGGCGGCTGAGCACAGACTCTGGGGCATCACGCTCTCGCAGACTTTGACGTACTTCAACATCAACAAGGATGGCTGGATGCTGCGGGCGTTGGTCGGCATTCTATTGTGCGTCGTTATCACGCGTAGCCGCAGACAATGGGCTAACCGATCTGGCGTAGCTTGATGGACAGCGTCAGCTCGATAATGTTGATCGTCATGGCCCGCATTTATCTTGTGCGTCCCGCATTGCATCTCGTCCTCTGACCGACGCCGTTGACGATGCCGCGCGCAGCTCGAGAACTTTGGGAATCTTGAGATTTTGACCACACTGCCCTGGCCTGGCATCTGTGAAGTTGCGCTAAATGTTGCCATCGTATTCATGTACGTTGGTTTCTCGGTTGCCGGGCTTGTCTTGCTGATGATCCTGGCTCAGTGTCGAGCTGTTCTTTGCGAGGAGACTGTATCTCTGTTCGTGTCCCCGCGCCTCTGAACGAGTCAATTTCTGAAGCGCTTTTAGTGAACCAGCGCAGGACTTTGGTTCCTGGACTTATCGTGCTTTTCTCTCTGGCCGGACTCGGTGAGCTCTCACAATCACATGGCAGGGACGCGATTCACTGACGCGTGTTTTTTAGTCTGTGGGATACGTGCGTTATCTGGTTGCGGCTTGAACATCTTCTAACTCCATGATTTAGTTCTGGTGATCAACGTGTCCAAAACACCCACTGTGGCGGGGCTAGCGAAGCCAAGCATGAAGGTGTGTTGCCGCCATGTGCTCGGTTAGTCATCCACCGACGATCTCCATGCTAGGTCGAAACAGCACTATGCAACACTTTTGAGGCGGTGGCTGATCTCATCGCCGCGCTCGGCATGTCCTACGAGTTCTACCGCAACAAGAGCCACATCAAATCGTGAGTGAGCCCGGTCCCTCGTCATTCGCCGCTGACTAAATCGCCAGGACCAATTCCATCCTCGATCGCGTTCGTGCATTCGATCCAAAACTCAAACGAATGTGGCTCATTATTGTCTCATAGCTGCTCGGGTACACCGTTGCTCGGGGAGGACTGATGACCGTCGCCCAGTTCCTCACACTCGCTCTTTACGTCGCCCAGCCCACCAAACTGAACTGGATGCCGGTGCACTTCAGCCTCAGCAAGCTGTGCCACATCACCATGATGGTCATGTACGAACCGTCCCTCTGCCACCTGCCGTGATGCCATGCTGACCCAGGCACCCCGCAGCCTCAACGGACGGGAATCACTCCGCAGGGACGGCGGATCCACGAACGAAACCCACGTGTTCACGGAGACGATCGTGTCGACGCGTCCGGGGGGTGTGCCCAACGAGTACCAGCTCAAGTCCCTGCCGGGCGACGGTATCGCCAGCATCCGTGTGCACCAGGAGCGCGTCACCGAGTACGACGACGGATACCTGTCGTCTGTGCGTACCTCTTTCCCGCTCATTGATTCGAAATAGATTGACGACTGACGCTTTGTGCAGAAGGCGTGAGTGAGTGGAGTAGAGTGGCAATTTGTATGGACGTTTGTGCTTTTTATCTTTAAGTATACCGGATCGGTAACTTATGCTACTTTCATTATATACATGGGAGTAGAAAATGGAATTATTTGTACTCTCATCAGCCCAGCCAGACTCGATGTGGCTTCCTGGAGGAGTCGACAAGTTGATAACTGCTGGTTCTTGGTCGCACAGGCACTGTGAGCCACAAATGGTCCGCACTGGGTCATCTTTGAATAGACAAAAACAAGTCCATCTACCTCCTACATGGGACCATAAGTACCAGCTTTCGGCTCAGCCTTGGAGAGGTTCCAAATCAAGTCCAGCGCCCACGTGCGCTTCAGCCATTGCAGCAGCCACATTTTTGTCGTGAAACCGCCGAGCGAAATATAAGCTGACGGGTTCGCAGAGGCGACGTCGCCGATGATGGCGGCGGCGAACTGATCGGTGTCCATGACCCCGTAGTCGGCCGTCTGGCTCTGGTACATGACGTGCTTGATCTGCTTTTCGAATGACTTATAGAACGAGTCCTCTGGCGCCGTGTATGCTGATTTCTGTGCTCGTTTCAGCTTGTGCAGCGCAGCAGCGCATCCGACGCAGGGAGCACACGCACCGCCGAGATGTTGCTGCGGATCGAGCCCGGTGCGACGAGCACCACCTTGACTTTCAGCGGCTTGCACTCCATGCGGAGCGTCTCCGTGTACGACCGCAGCGCGGCCTTGCTCGCGTTGTAGAAGCCCTGGAACGGGGTCGAAAGTTCACCGAGGATCGAGCCGATGGCGACGACCGTTCCGTGCCCGCGGCGCGCCATGCGCGGGACGACGTTCTTGACGAGTCGCACGAGGCCGAAGAAGTTCGTCTGCATCACGCGCATGCCCTCCTCGAACGGCGTGTCCAGCAGCGGTCCTGTATTCCGAGAACGCGACGCGTTAGCCGGGGGTGCACACTCGCTGGGCATGGGCGGGGCTGACGCACCGATATGCGAGAACCCGGCGTTCGAGATGAGTAGGTCGATGCCCTCCGTCTCGGCGTACACGGTGTCGATGGCCGCTGCGACGGACGCGTCATCCGTGACGTCCACCACGAGCTTGCGCGCGTTTTCGTGCTCGAGCTCGGACATGGCCTGGATGGACCGTGCGGTGGCGTAGACGATGTACCCTTTTGCGAGCAACTTTCTGCAGCTGTCAAGCGCGTATATGCGGGGTCAGCACAAATGCAAAGACAGGAAGAGGGAGCGCTCCCGGACGCACAATGCCGCCCCAATGCCGCCGTTCGAGCACCCAGTGATGAACGCGACTGATTTGCTCATGGCAAGAGAGAGTGAGAGGTTCGAGTGGGGACTGGCGACGAGAGAGAGAGCGGATCTCTCGGTGGCCGATGACCCACCGCATCCATACCCACACTCGGTCATGAGCCGTTGCCGTCACTCGCGGGGGGTTCTCTTCTCGAGAATTCGCACATCCCCCGGTTCCGCGACAAACGCGCGGGCCAAAATGGTGGGCCACGAGGGGATCGAGATCGGGACCAGAACTTTCTTTTCTGGAAGACTTTGCAAGGCGGAATCAAAGTTCCAGGATCGGGTCATTCGGGCTTGGTGGAGCCTTGCTGCCGGCTATCGGCAGAAGATTGATGGCCGGAAGTCCCAGGATCTGATTCGAGCACAGTTCCTCTGGTTGCTCTCTGGTTGCTTCGAGTACAGATGAGCCAAGCCAACTCAACACTGTCGGGTGCAAAACTTGAAACTCGGTCGCATCCGATTGATCTGATTGGCACTGAGCCTAGGTAAATCGAAGTCAACTCTGCTCAAGTATCAGCGCCATTTCTCTCTTATGGACATTTTCAGCCTATGAGAGACTAATTGTGCGACCAGTTTTGGAATCTTCCTCGTGCAAAAGGTTATAAATTTCGACACCCTGGACGATCAAAATTAGACTACAACGGGTTCAGTCTTCAGGGGTTGGTCAAGGACCGATATGTGGATATTGATGCATTAAGAAGTAGGAACGAAAGTCTTGGAGAAAAAGCGGATTTTTGGAAGTTTCGCATCAGCCAGAATGCAATGCTTCGAAAGTTCCATCCTCTCTGCCGGTGTTCGACCCTCCCAAATGAAACAGGGATTGACAGCTATGTCAGGCGCTTTGAGCATGACCCACGCACATACTCGATACCAGCTGGAAGCGGCGGACTCAATCGACTGTCGTCATTTGGCCTGCCTTTTGATGCTCATCTTTATCTTCAAATTCTGTACTTAGTTGTTGGAACAGTGAGGCAAGCCGGTCACGAGAAATTGATGAACGATCACGTGTGATTCGAAGCGAGCCGACTTCTCCCTCCGAGCGATCGTACCGAACTCACCTGCAGGCGGTGATTCCGCCCTCTCGTTGCACTGTTCCTGCGGGTGTGTAAAGCGGTCGTTGTTCTGCCGGTTCTCTCGCGGCGCATGCGCAGTATTCTCCTCCAGCTTATCGCAGGCGACACGCAAAAGATCGCTTCCTAAACTCTTGCTCGGTAACGAGAAATGAGCCTCCGCACCACCGGAGAAGACAACTCGGCTTGGTCACGGGCGTTCGCAGTAAGGCACACCGGAAGACCTACGCTCTTTTGGTTACGGTCAATTCGAGATGAGCAAACCAGTCGCGTTCATCACTGGATGTTCCAACGGCGGGATCGGGGCGGCATTGTGCGTCTCGTATCTTCTCACTTGCCAGTTTCCACCTCGTCGCTAACGGAAGATACGCTTTTAACAGCTGTAGAGATTTGCTAGCGAAAGGATACATCGTCTACGCCACCGCGCGCTCTGTGCAGGCCATGTCCGACCTGGAGCACGAGAATGCACACAAGCTCGTGGTGGACGTCACGAATGACGCTTCCGTCGTGAAGGCTATCGGCACCGTGTACACTGAGACGGAGGGAATAGACCTACTCATCTCGAACGCCGGGTTCGGGCATGTTGGTGAGTCTGGAGCTCCCGATTCACCTTCTGTGCGAGTACCCGCAAGCCAACCGAGGAAAAACTAGGACCGCTGCTGGATATTCCGCTCGAAGAGGGGATGAGCGTGATGCAGACAAACTTCTTCGGGTTGGTGCGTCTGGTCAACAATGTCGTGCCGCGCATGGCGCGGCGCGGGCACGGGACGGTCGTCGCCGTCGGCTCGATCCTCGGAGAACTCCCTGCGCCGTTCCTGGGCTTCTACAACGCGAGCAAGGCCGCACTGCGATCTTACACCGAGATGCTTCAGATGGAGTGCAAGCCTCTGAAGGTCAAGGTGGTGCTCGTCGCACCGGGCTCGATACGCAGCAACATTGTGGGGGTGCGTGTCTATCTTCCCCAATTTTTGTGGAGGCTGAGACGGATATCGCATAGAAATTAGCATACACTTTGCCCGAGGACTCGCTCTACAAGTCGTTCGAGAGGCAGATCAAGCGTGTCATGTACCAGAGCCAGACGGCCGCCTATGGGGTGATGGACACCGACCGGTTTGCTAGTGTCATCATCGGCAATGTTACCTCCGCGAACCCGTCGCCCTACATTTCGATCGGGGGGTTCTCGACACGAACATGGCTGCTGCAATGGTTGAAACGTACTTGGGCGCTGGACCTGCTCTGGAACATCACCCAACGCTCATAGTCGTGATTCCACATGGGCCGTAGATTTTAAATTTCGATACCGGCGATGTTATCATGTTGTTGACTGAGTCGTTATACCAGACGGCAGTGAAGGCTGCTTTCACGGCCGCTGATTTGTTCCTTTTTCTCACAGAAATGCAGTTCGCCAAGATCATGATGATGATCTACTACCCGCAGCTCCCTCCTTACGGCCCAAGCTGGCCTCTTCCACCAGCTCATGAGATCGAGTCCGCGCTTTATTTTCTGGATTCACTATCACAAACAGTTTCTGCTCGAAGCTGAGCTTTCACCTCTTTGTTTTTGTGCCGCACCTAGCTTTCACATGATAGGTTATCAGTAGTGTAATGTAGAATCCTTGCCTTATTCGGCCTATCTGTTGAAAAAGCGCGGTGGGCGACCTTTTTTTCTTCGCCCGTCATTTTTTTCCACAGGCCTTGCGACCAACTGATATGCTGCATACCAGCACATCCCCCGCATAAATGAGTAATCTACAGCAGATGTAGGATTCATCAAACTACTTGGGTTCCGCCTTGACAGAATTCCAAATCAAGTCCAGTGCCCAGGTGCGCTTCACCCACTGGAGGAGCCACGCCTTGGTCGTGAATCCGCCGATCGAGATGTAGGGCGACGGGCTCGCGGAGGTCACGTCACCGATGATGGCGTTGGCGAACTGGTCGGTGTCCATGACCCCGTACTCGGCCGTCTGGCTCAGGTACATGACGCGCTGGATCTGCTTCTCGAAAGCCTTGTAGAACGAGTCCTCGGGGACCGTATACGCTGATTTCTGTGTCCGTTTCAGCTTGCACAGTATCGTATGCGGGAAGGCGGGGCCACGCGCACCGCGGCAATGTTGCTCCGGATGGATCCTGGTGCGACGAGCACCACCTTGACTTTCAGAGGTTTACACTCCATCTGGAGCGTCTCCGTGTACGACCGCAGCGCAGCCTTGCTCGCGTTGTAGAAACCTTCGAACGGCATGGGGAGCTCGCCGAGGATCGAGCTGATAGCGACGACCGTCCCGTGCCCGCGGCGCGCCATACGCGGGACGACGTTCTTGACGAGGCGCACGAAGCCGAAGAAATTCGTCTGCATCACGCGCATGCCCTCCTCAAACGGCGTGTCCAACAGCGGTCCTGTTTTCGTCTCAGTTGGCCAACGGCGGCCGCCATCGGACATTACACACGCGATTGCGTGCCTGCTCACCGATATGCGCGAAGCCGGCGTTCGAGATGAGCAGGTCGATGCCCTCCGTCTCGGCGTACACGGTGTCGATAGCCTTCACGACGGAAGCGTCATTCGTGACGTCCACCACGAGCTTGTGTGCATTCTCGTGCTCCAGGTCGGACATGGCCTGCACAGAGCGCGCGGTGGCGTAGACGATGTACCCTTTTGCGAGCAACTTTCTGCAGCTGGGTATCTCCAATCAGCCGCGCAGCGTAGAGAAGGACGGTGAGTGCAACAGAACGCACAAAGCAGCCCCGATGCCGCCGTTCGAGCATCCTGTGATCAATGCGATGGGTTTGCTCATGTCGGGAGACAGATGGGAGAGAGACGTTCAGGCCGACGGTTACAACGAGTTCAATCTCGACGAGCGGCTTCCCGCGCAGTCGATCGTCGCTTGTCACGAAGTAATCGCTCAGTCATGCATGCACAATGACCATCACCCGCCAAGATCGTCTTCCAGTGGCTACATCCTTGCCCCCGCTAGAACAGCGCAAGCGGAGCGGGAGGGTTGCACCTCGCAAGAGAGCGGGCTCAGTCGGCGAATCGAGATCGGGACCAGAAGTGGCGCGTGAGAGAAGGATCTGCGGGGAGGGAATCAAATCCCACGATCAGCACGAAGATCTCAGATGCACTCGCACGTTCACAAATATCTATCAGATCTTGTGTGCTTCGCGTTTTGATACCATTTTGAGCATGTTTGATACAATCTGTCATTGTAGGCATCCACAACAAGGCGACAAGGTAGCGATACGAGGTGTAAGTACTAAGCGTTATCCTACCATCCGATCTGCTCAGCCGTCGGAACGTGGAACTTCTCCTGCAGAACAATGAAGCTGAGGACGAAGAGCAGCCGGCGGCCGTTCGGGTCCAGTCCTCCGTCCGCGGGCGAATCAGGGCGCTGGATGAACTCGTCTAGGGTCGCTCGCACGGTCTCCCATCGCAGGAACCCCAATTGGGACACGGCATTCTCCGTGATGCGGGACGACAGCAAAGCCTGCAGTGGCGTGCGTTGGGTGGCGGAGGCTGCGGTAGGACGCGGGATCGGCGAGTTGTACATCGACTTCTTGATGTCCGCGATCTCAGGGGTAACGAACGGGCGCACCGCTTCGCGGAGGATCCATTTTTCAATGAAGGTCCAGGCCCGTGGGCCTTTCGAAGTATCCGTGTCAACGAGAACGGGCCGAATTTTAAGAGATCTGACACGCGCTCAGAATTGCGTGGAAAGGTGAGGTGGCAGGCTGTCTTACGGAGGTAGCGAGTTGACGTATTCCGCGAGTTTGTGGTCCAGAAAAGGCGGACGGCCTTCTACAGAGTTGGTCATTTCCGGACGGTCACCGAGGTGGTTCAAGATCAGGTTGCCCAATGCCGTTTTTTGAACGACGTACTGTACGATCAGTGAGCCAGGCGACGTAGTGACAGATCAGGACACACACCAGCCCGCCGTGCAGAGCATGCCACCGCCCAGAAGCAATGTTCTCGCGCACAATTGGACTGAAAGATTCCGCAATCGACGTCGCGATGCTGGGGTGCCCGTATTCGTCGAGCATTTCGGTCGAATAGAAGTGGTTTGGCGGGCTGGTGACTCCGATGGTGCGGTGGGTGATGAGCCCGCCCAGCATCTGGCGTGCCAGCTGGGAATCGGTCAGCGACAAGTCGCTCAGAGACACGTGGTCCTGTGCGCGGGGTCGTGACACGATGGCCTTCAATGTCGCAAGACGTTCCTGCTCCATGGGCAGGTCCATGCCGAACAGCTTCTCGGAGACATGATCCGGCTGGCGCAAAAAGTCGGGAATGAGATAGTTGTAGCCCCCGAATAGCTCATCTGCGCCTTCACCTGACAGGACAACCTGAAACAGTCAGGCCAGATTCTTAGCCAAGTCGATCACGGACTTTGAAGCCCTTGTCCCGGACTGCTTTGGACAGCACGATCTTTCCTGCCCCATGGAGGTACATCAACGGGGCTTCACTCTGCCAGACTGACTTCTCGAACTCGGCGACCAAGTCTTCTTCTGTGGGCTTGACGAAATGCATGATTGCCCCAATGCTGTCCGCCATCCGTAGCGCCACTGGTGCTTCGTCGACATCTGGACGATCTTGACACAAATCAGCCTTCCGCTGGACACAACAATGGGGCCACTCACCAGGGAAAGCCAGAGTGAAGACATTCAGGCGTGCGCCGGGATCGTTCTCCTTGATAGCTGCTGCGGCGATCCCAGCGACTGCTGCACTGTCGATCCCGCCGCTGAGGTTCACAGCGAATGGAACGTCAGACCTGAGTCGAAGGCGGACAGACTCGACAAAGAGCTGACGGACTCGCTTTACAGCATCCTCAATCGTACAAGCCTGCGAGGTGGGGACGGTTGTCTGATCGGGGAATATGTGATCCCAATAGGTCACGATCCTCAGCTGCTCGTTTCGGTCGTACGTAAGATAATGCCCAGGTAGAATCTACACAGTCCGTGAGAACAAAGTATCGACGGCCTTGGCATACACGCACCTTAAAAACGCCCCGGAACACAGTTCGATCATCCGCATATTCGCCTTGATGCACGATGCTCTCAACGTTCCAACGGGCCTGGAAGCCTAGAGGTAGAAACGCTTTGATCTCGCTGGCAACGAGCAGACGTCCATTCGATATAGTGTAGTACAACGGCTTGATCCCGAAGCGATCTCGAGCGGCGAAGAGCAACTGCCGACGTTGATCGTACAAGACGAACGCGAATTCACCTCGCAAGTAAGGGAAGAGCGACAGCCCATACTGCTTGTAACTGCAACAGCATCAAGCGTAAGCGAATACCAGGCACATGCTGTCCAGTCGTAACGCACAGATGTAAGACCAGCTCCGAATCTGAATGAGTCTTGAATTGCGCCCCTTTGGACTCGAGATCGGCTCGAAGAGACGCGTAGTCGTACAACTCTCCGTTCACCACACAGTGGACCGTATCTGTTTCATCTGAGAGCGGTTGTTTTCCATGCGCGACGTCAATGATAGATAGCCGGACATGTCCGAGACCTGGCCGCAGAACACGTTCGAGAGAAACCCGACACCACAAGCACACCACTCACCAACGCGGGAATTCTGCGTAACGAAAACACCTGTGTCGTCAGGCCCCCGGTGTCGGATGAGCTCGAGCGATTCGCGCAGCTCCTGCTCGAGGGTGCTGCAGTTTCGTGCTCGGGTGGACGGGCAGCCAGTGGCGTGATCGCAGACGACAGAGATGCCGCACATTTCGGGTCGAGGCTCGGGGTGCGCCGGGTAAGACTTGAGTAGCAAACGACTGCTCGTCGCGTGAACCGCAATATCAACCTTTTTTTCGTCCGGCCGACGCGGTGCGGAGATTCGTGTGATTCTTACACGAGTGAAGGACCGTCTCGGCAACTGAGGCAGGGCCTCACCACCCAATCAGGATCGGCGAACCGGAAACCGGCCTGCATCTTGCAACGCGCTTGAGCTGAACTGGTTCAGATGCAAGGTGTTCAAGGTCCTGGATGGCAAGAACATGTGTTTGAGGGATCGATGCCAACCAAATGATGCATGTCATCTCCTTCAGGCTTGCCTCTTTCGCTCAGCCCATGATTCTCGGCGACAGTCAAAGCGGCGTCTCTACGTTCGCCACTGATGGAATTCGCCAACCTTCTTGTGTCGGTGCTCTGACCTCTCCGCCTGGTCCCTGACAAGTCCTGCCCGCATGACCTCCGCGCCGCTCCCGATGAAGAAACGCGCCGCGCGCGACACGCTGCTCGATGCAGAGCGCCAAGCCCGAGCCGGGCTGCTCTCGGAAACCGACAAAAACGTCTTCCTCAAGTCGACCGCGTCGGAGATCGTGTCGAACATCCAGAACAAAGTGTGGACCGCGTCCCAAGTGTTGGAAGCGTTCATTGCTCAGGCGCTCATTGCCCATACCGCCACAAACTGTATCACCGAGGGTATGCGTCTCATCATGTGAGACGGTGTCCTTGTTGACCGGCGGCGCCCAGTTCTCTTCAAAGATGCTAGGCAGCTCGCGAAGGACCTGGACCTGGAGTTTGAAAGCACCGGGCATTTGAAAGGGCCGCTCCACGGCGTTCCTATCAGCGTAAAAGTGCGTTTCCGTATTCATTCTCTCGAACTCTAATTGACCGATGCTAGGATCAATGTCAGCCATCGAGCCTCGTCGCCAGGCCACTCCTCTGAACTTTCGCAGATGACATCAAAGGCTACGATACGACGAATGGCCTCACATCCTGCATAGACAAACCTGCGACGACCAACTCCGACGTGAGTGCCATCCACCGCGAATCCGCCGTCTCTCACGCGCCCCGAATCCAGTTCGTGCAAACCATGATCGACGCCGGCGCAGTACCGTTCGTGAAGACGAACGTGCCGCAGACCCTATACATGTACGAATGCTCGAACCCCATCTACGGCCGCTCGACGAATCCGTACAACGCGGCATACTCGTGCGGCGGCAGCTCCGGCGGCGAGGCGTGCATGCTTGCGTTCGACGCGTCGGTTATTGGACTGGGCTCGGATATCGCCGGGAGTCTGCGCATTCCTGCATCGTATTGCGGGATATACTCGCTCAAGCCGGGCATTGGGCGTGTCTCCGATCAGGGTGCCATGGGTATGTGCAGTCTCCCAGGCTCGCGAGCAGCCTAGATCGACTCTATTCGCAGCTTCGTTCCCCGGCTTTGAGGGCATCAAGAGTGTCTGTGGCCCGATGGCACGGTGAGTGGGACTTGTTTCTGTCTTTGACGGTGGCGTTTCAACATCGGCAGCTGCATGGACGACCTGGAGCTGGCCTGCCGTGTCTCATTTGGTGCTCCAGGCCGGTACAACGAGCACGTTCCCCTCCCGTTCCGCGAACAAGCACTGCCGCCAAAGCTCAAGTTCGGATATTACACGGACGGCATCATCAAGGGTTCGCCCGCGGTCATCCGGGCAGTCCAGGAAACGGTCACCGCGTTGAGAGCTGTTGGACACGAGTGTATCGAAATTGACATGCGTGCGTTTACGCTCGATCGATCTTTGGGGTGACCCCACTCACATCTCTCAGCTCTGGGCGTGGATGTCTTGAACAACTGGATGCAGCTGACGTCTGCGGATCGGTTCAGCAGCCTCCTGCGTGGCGTTGGGTCGGATCCGTTGGAGCCATTCCTGTTCATGATGACCTTGCCGCCGAAGCTACCTCGTCAGTCTCTTGTGTTGTCGTGCTTGCCAGGTTTCTTGAGCACTGCACAGATATCGTTCGCAACACTGCGGCCTGGGGAGCTGGAAGCTTCATGGGAGACAAGATATTGGCCGATGTGCTGCGTAACAGTACAGCCTCGAGTGCGGACGGGTACCATCAAGCTGTGATCGCCCGGGACATCCTAAAGAAGCGATTTACCGATGAGGTGAGCGTGCATCTCACTTGTGCAGACTAAATCTCGAACGCCGTTGCAGATCTGGAACAAGTATGCGCTGGATGGTATCATCACTCATGTGCATGCTACACCCCAGATACCCCATGGGTGAGCGCGCACACCACATCAGCCCTTGAAGCACACTGATGGCGGATATTTCCAGGGGCTCGACCATGCTGTCAGCCATGTCAACGTCGACCGCGCTCTACAACTTTGTCGACTGTCCTGTCGGGGTCGTCCCAGTGACACTAGTCGATGTCGACAAAGATGAGCTCACCGACGAATGGAGGAACGGCCCGGGGCACGGGTCCCCGGTGAACGAAAACGAGCTCTACACCAAAGGCAATCCGCGACCAGTTTACGACCCCGCTGCGATGCACGGGATGCCTGTGGGCGTGCAGGTCGTGGGCAGGCGCTGGGAGGACGAGAAGGTGCTCGGCATGATGCGCCTCGTGGACGCCGCATTAGGCCCGGCGCGCGGCTTCTTGCCTGGGTCCTGGGAGAAGAGGATCCCAGCGCCCAAGGCTGCTTGAGGAGGTATCGGCTATCGACATTCGGCATCGGAATCTATACATTCATCGTATTTAAGTATATGACATTATTTATTTTGGGTCCCTCGCGCTGGCGTGCAATGGTTTCTTGCCCCGAAGCTGATATCACTGGGCGCAAACCATGCTTTCGATGTGGAATTTGAAATGGCTCTCATATCTTCGACTGGATCATTTGAATCTCCATTCAGTGTGTACTCGCCCTTCAGCATCCTCGTCCCGGTGTGATCATGTCACGTGCCTGAGACGATCACATGAGCTGCAGTCGAGAGTCAGAAGATCGCATCCGCCTTGCAGCACGTCCACGCGATGAACTGTGCTCTGAATCGCATATCAGTCCGTACCGATTCAAACACCGACGGCGATTCCGCGGCGACGATGACGAGTTCTATATCGATTCCTCCCACGCACAGCCTGCCTGTCTGACGCCGCTGACTCGCGCCGGAAATAGAAGATGGTGCATGCATAGTACAGCTTCCTCACCCCGCTCGCCATGTCCCCCTCACCGCCGAACCCCGACGCGCCGGCGCGGGCGCACCCACGGCTAACTCCCTACCGCTCAGTAACGCTGGCGGCCACCGCCGCATTCCTTCTGTCGAAGGCGTTCTATTCGTACACCGGCAACAACACACTTTCGACGTCGCTGGATCTGGGCTACGGTGCGCTCTGTGCCGGGTGCGTGCCCTCGTCGCCGGCTCGTGTCAGCTCTGATTCGAATGCAGGCTGTATTGGCTCGGGCTGTACGACGAGGACTGCCGCGGTCGATATCCGCGTATGCAGTGGATCTTCCAGACGGATATGTCTCTGTATGTGCATGAAACTATGAGTGCTTTGCAGAGTGAGTCTCTTTTGCATCTAGACATCATATGTGGCTGTAACATTGCGCTCGAGACCGATGGGCAAGATTCAATGCACAGCGATGGTTGCGGCATCTGGCTGGCCTGCGTATCGACAGGGCTCGAGATCCCGAACGCGCCCATGCCATGCACCGGATCGCACACGCGAACACGCACCTCGTAACGACGACAGCCGCGACTGGCATCCAAACAACCGCCCCCGTCGCCGACAGCATCATGCGTCGCCGGGTCCCCCATCCCGCGGACTCCCCAGCCCCGAAGCACGAATTCGCGGCGTTCAGATGCGGGCGGTGCGCGCGCGGCTTCTCGGCCGAGCACGCGCTGCGGAACCACTGCGCGACCAAGACCGACCACCCGTACTGCAGCTCCTGCGATATCCTGTTCTGCGACGACATGGCGCTCACGCAGGTGCGTCTCCTCGCTGGCGGACCCGCGCACTCGATGACGATCGGCCCGAATCGACTAGCATCTCCGCGACGCAGCCGTGCACCGGCCGGAGAAGGAACAACCTGAAGCTGACATGCACGAGGCGAAGAGCGGAGACATGCAGATCAAGGAGCTGACGGACCAAGTCGCGTCTCTCAAGCAGGCGTTCAAGAACCTCGAGAAAAGCAAGCACTCGGGTGTCAAGCCGAAGGATCCCGCCACAAGTGATCGCGGGCCATCCTGCAGGCTGTGCGCCCGCCACTTCAAGGACAAGGACGCGCTCAGCAACGTGAGCTTCCCTTTGGATTCGACTGCATGATTGACCGGCCTTGATTTTGCATCCGCAGCACCTAGCAGATAGCGATATCCACAGCTTCTGCAAGCCGTGCCGTCGCCAGTTCGACGACCGGGAGGCGTACTACCAGCACCTGACCGCCAGCAGCCGCCACTGCTGGTGCTTCTTCTGCTGGGAGGACTTTTCCAGCCGGAATGCATTGAGAAAGGTACGTCGTGCTATGCCATGCCAACTTCCTCTCAATACGTGCACCGCCATAGCACGGCTTGTCTGAGCATGACGATGAATCGAATTGCCTCTTCTGCGGCGAACGAGTCCTAAGCACGGACATCAGAGGGCATGTTTTAAGAGGTCAGTCCAGCCCTCCAAGCCGGGGATTCGTCGAGACTGATGTCTGCCGAAGATTGCCCAGTCTAATATTTTCAATGGCTCCCTGGGGAAGGGAAGTGTACGAATCATTTGAGCATTTGTAATGGATCTTTTTTTCTTTTGCGCTATGTACTACGTTTGAAAGCCGTCCGTTTGAGTTTCCCGTGGTTCAAGCGATTTTCCAGCTTGAACCGCGGAAAACTGATCTCATCGCCCATCATGCTGTCCCCACAAGTATTCTGGGCCGAGGAATTTTAATAAATTGACTGGAGCCGCTCAGAAGCAACGCCTGCAGGGCGACATGATAGGGCGACAGTGACCGGAATGACTCTGCGAGCATGAAGTTCGGTTTCTTTTGTTTTGTGACGTTCTCTGCTTGTTTCGAATTGGTTTGTCGCCTGAGCCACGAGCCTAACCAGAGATAACTCATGAGCCTCGTACTGGATGAGATGCAAGCAGGGAAAGTTTCTGTTCATCTGAAACTGCTCAGGTCGCTGCTATCATCTTGACTAAAACTGCGCGATCAGTCCTAGTATTTGAACCGTGGGAAATCTTGCAGTCATGAACAAGTTGGGGATATCTCGTTCTGGATCATCGCGGAGAAAGTGAGCGTCGGGGAAATTGGTAGTTTGTCCTCGTAATAGAAGGGTTAGGATGGATCGCCATTCCAGAGAGTCTCCCTGATCCCGACCCTGGTCCAGGTCCCTACCTTCTCGACCTTCTCGACCTTGCGACCCTTCTCGAGCAAGACACCCAATCTACGTATAAACACGAGCCTCTGGCACACAAAGACATCCACACTACGTACACCCTTTCCTCGTCCCACACATGGCTCGCGTCAAACAAACTGCACGCAAAACAACAGGCAGTGAGTCCCCGGTCCCAATTAAGTATCTCGAAGCGTGCAGCCTCACTGGGGCACCCCACCGGCAGGCAAAGGCCCGCGCAAAGCCCTCAGCGCCAAATCCGGGCGTCCGGGCGGCAGCGGCGGCGGGGCCACGATCCAGCCCATGGCGCGCAAGACCGCCGCGAAGCAGTCGCCCGCAAGCCACGAGTACGGGCACATGAGCAACATGAAGCGCCGCTTCCGCCCCGGGGCGGTCGCCCTGCGCGAGATCCGCAAGTACCAGCGCTCGACGGAGTTGCTGATCCGGAAGCGCCCGTTCCAGCGGCTCGTGCGCGAGCTTGCGCAGAGTTTCAAGGTGCGTTCTCGCTCGGAGGGGGTGGGGGGTCGGCACAGATGGTTGGCTGAGATACTCGTGCTATGCAGACCGACTTGCGGTTCCAGTCCGGTGCGCTCGCGGCGCTGCAGGAGGCCGCGGAGCACTACATCGTAGGCCTGATGGACGACTCGAATCTGTGTGTGCTGCACGCCAGGCGCGTGACGCTGATGCCCCGCGACATGCGGCTCGCGCTCCGCCTGAGGGGGGACGCTCACAGACTGGGGTCGGTGTGACAGAACAAACGAGTGTGGCCGCCGTCATTAGGGAACGTCAGTACAGAACCAGCAGGTCCTACGTAGGATATATACATATATATATAAACACCACCACCACCACCAGAGAATCTCTAAGCACCAAACCCAACGGCAGCACATCCGCCCTGCATCGCCACACGCCGCATCTCGCGGATCCCGTCCCGGTGCGCTCGGATCGCGAGCACGATGAAGACGTGCCAGATGGCATGGGATCCGCCGCCGAACCAGTCCCGCACGCGGCCGAGCCGGCCCTTGCTGCGGATCAGCCGCTCTGGGGTCAGCGTCGCGTAGAACGCGATGCCGAGGATGTAGAACAGGAACGAGGGAACGACAGGTGCTGCGAAATGACGTTAGCTTGAATGAAGGAATAAGAGAAAGCTGGGGAGAGAGCGTACCGATGAATCGACCTGTTGCCCCCCAGCCCTGCAAAGCAGCGATGCCTCCGAGAGGAGCCAATCCCGAAAATGCGGTGCCGACAAAGAACGCCAGTCGGAGCATCTGGCACAAAACAATCAGCCAGGTCCGTTTATCGCCGCTGATTAACCGACCTTGTTCTCCGCGCGATTGAACCAGTCGCAGTACGGGAGCACGTTGCCGGTCACGCCACAGGCCAGAGACATCACGAGACACGCGGCCCCAATGGGATGGTACAGCAGGAACGCGTCCAGAGCCTGGTTGGCCCAGCTCGCCAGCGCGACGAACGGCGCGCCCAATGTGAGTGCGACGGTCAGCAAAACCTTCATCGCAGGTCCCAGCCCACGGTCGACGTTGTCCGCCCAGGTCACGGGCGGCGGCGAAGTGAGCATCGTCGAGGGGTGAAGCACGGCATGGCCCAGCGGCGTCGAGTCGACGACCGCCTCAGCACAGGCGTATCCGTAATGCACCACAGTGGAGATTGACGTGGCGATCAGCCTGGGCAGGTTTCGTGAACACACAATGCCGAAAAAGTCACGAAACACACCATCCAATTCCGACATAGTCGATCCGCGCACAGGCTTCCATTGCCCCACGGTGTGAGCAGCCGGACATCGTGTGCCACAAAACACTGCAGGCAAGGCACGCAAGCGCAAACAACGTGAAGAACGACTCGGCCGTGTCGGCATCACTCTTCATGAAGATCGCCCCCGGGCTGGGCGCAGAAGCCGCGAAAAAGCCGAAGCTGGGATACGGCGAGATGAAGATAGATGACGGCACGGGCTCCGATGAGATGGAATACGCTGTGCGACATTAGCAACTGGACCTCATGCGGTCCATGCTATACAACACACCAGCGAACGGCGTGTACCGCCCCACTTCTCGTGTCAGCCAAGTCGGCAGCCAGCTGAAACACCATCCCAGCGCATCCACGACCGAAACCACGCCTGGAGAGCTCAGCAGCGGCGCGCCGGGCACGAACACCACACCGCAGAACGCCAGGCCCCAGATGATCAGGGGAATCAGATGCGTCATGATGTTCATCGTCTCGTTGTGCAGCGTAAACGCCGATACGACGATCGCAGGCCAGCGGCGCAAGGGAATGAAGCTGGCCGAAACACATCAGATATTGCACGGCCGGGGACGGCAGCTTCCCATCGACGCACCGGTAGCCCCACTGAACGTAGGGGTTGTTCTGCCACGCATAAGGCACATCATCGAACGTGACAAGCTTGCGTCCGTCCTCAGCCAGCGCCAAAGCACGTGCGTGGACCTGCGCATCGGCCTCGGATTCGTGCAGATCCCCTAGGATGGCCTCCGACGAGGACTTGAGCGACGCCGTCAACGAGGACGAGGCGCGCGAGATGGTGGCCGGAAGCGAGTAGTCGATCACCGGGAGCGAGGGGAGGGACGGCAGCTCGGCCAGCACGGCATCGAACACCGACGTCAGCGTGGGCAGGTCGAAATCGAACGCGGGTGCGCGGGCGAAGTCAAAGTCAAAGTCGAATGCCGGTGCGCGGGGCAGCGTCGGGGTTCCGAAATCGAAGTCGAAGTCGAAGTTGTTGAAGGAGGCGCGGCAGTCCGCGAGGTGCGTCTGCAGGTTGCGCAGCTGCACGGAGAGCGTGGGGACGTACGACATGGGCTTGGTCAGATCGATGGAGTCTAACTCCAGGCCCGCGACGAGCTTCTTCAGTTTCGCTTTGACGTGGTCGAAGTCGAACGAGAAATCGAAATCGCGCGGCTTGAAGTTGTCTAGGGCTTGCTCTATGTTGTCCGGGAATAGCAGCAGGTCGGGGATGTGGGAATGCACCTCCGCGCGGATGGAATGGAGCATGTCCAATGCCGTCGACACCCATTCCGCGGACTCGAATAAAGACAGACGTCGCTCGAGGTGAGCCAGGTGGGACAGGACGACGAAGCGGAGCGAGGCCAAGGCCTGCGCGGGCGACGTAGGGGATAAGTCTAGAGCCTCGAGGGACAGAGGCAGGGGTCGGCATGGAGGCAGACGGGTCGGTCTGTCCGGGATGGGTGCCGACATTCTACGATGGCGCAGGCGAGGAGTCCGCTGGAGTGCTGTTGTCGTGACTTCCATGGGCCCTGAACTCATTGAAGATGCCATCGAGCAAGTAGAGCGAAAGAAGGGAACGGTCGTGCACCGCCGCCGTGATGCGCTCAGCGGTCGGCAGGTCCGGTCCGTCCTCCGGCCGGTTTCAGGCTCTTGCACCGTACCCACCACTCGACTTCGCCGTTTCCTCGCACAAGCATGTTTAGTGCGCGCTCAGTATGAAGCCTACTTCCCAAGTGGGCATGGCAAGGTCTCGAGTGCATCAGATGAGGCCCAAGCTCTGCTTTGTCCTCCAACAATGAGATCCGCCAAACTGGGACAATAGCACTGGCAGGAGCGCCAAAGCGCAGAGCCCCGAGTCTATATAAGCTCCGGCTGAGCTATCCTTGCATCTTTTCCCCATTGCTCGCCCGGCCACCGCTCAGCCCATGTCCACGTCCGTGCGACCCGTCCTCTCGATCCCCGTGCAGATTGGCCCTCCGCGGCCCGATCTCCTGCCCTGCCTTGAACCCTTCGAGCTCCCCTCCCCGCGGGCACTCGTGAACCACATCGAGGAACTGCTCCGGACGCTGCGCTGGAGCACCTGCGAGCTCTTCAGCATGCACCAGGGACAGTTCACTGCGGCTTCGGGGTCGGACATCGACCAGCAGACGTGGGATTTCATAACGCAAGTCTTGCATCTGCTCCCCGTGAGCTTCCTGCCTGAGAATATCTTGAACTCGAGGTGCGCTGAGCGACTTGACATTCTGTTTCGTTCGCTTGCTAACTTCGAGGGTGACTAGACTGAACATCTACCAAACCTTGTACCATGCCGAGTCGTGAGTCTCCACCCTCAGTCATTCCCGCACACCGAGTAGCCCAGCTCACCCATCTCCACAGCGCTCGGCCCATTCAAATCCGCGAATTCGTGAACCCTGCCGCAGAGATGCCTGAACCAGCGATGCTCGAGAAAGCCAGCGGGGACCCCGAGGCGGTCGAGATCACCACCCGCATCGAGGGAAACCCATACGTCGACTACGAGTTCCACCTCATCCAGAACGCCCTGACCGGAACGGACGTGGTCGACTACGTCGTCGAATTCGAGCCTGATCTCAATCCCGGAAGCATAGAAGAGAACGATACCAGCTCTGAAGTTGAAATGGAGATCGAAATGCAACTCGGCGGAGCGGATCCGGACGAGAGGAATCACCACTCGGAACCGGAGGACGCGAAAAGCCGCTCGACATCCCCGACTGCGGTCGCCTCGCCGTCCGACGGCGCGTCAGCGAAAAGCACCAGTCAGCCGCAGCATCCGAGGAAGCCGAGCAGCAGGTCGTCTCCTGCGAGGGAGCAGGCGGCCAAGGCCGCTGCGCAGCGTGCGCGGGCTCAGGCACGTGCTAGTCCTCCTGCGAGACGCAGCCCCTCTGCGACTCCTCCCGTTCCAGAGGAAGCGGGTGCGGCTACACCCCTTGGGTCCGTGAGAGAGGAGTTGGGCGAGGCGCCAGCTGTGGAGAAGGTGCTGTCGCCTTGATAGATCATATTTCTTTCTGTGCATTTGTATCGTCTGATTCGTTCCCATACTCTGAATATGCCTGGGACTCATTCGTCGGAAACTTGGTGTGCAAGACACGGACACCAACTGTTGCCTGTACAGGATTTGGCGATCACTGGTGGTCGGCATTGAACTGTGCTTTAAACGACGGTGGCTAGGTACTGAGAAAACGTCTGTGCAGCTATTAGCCCCAACAGATCCATGGGAAATGACTTCATCTCGGGTTTATGGCACGGAAATGAGAACCAGTCAGCTGCTGTTCCCGCTTCATCCCAGCAACAAAATCACCGTCCCAGCAGCCTGCCTCAGTCGCATCCTGCTCTCACCCTCCTCTCATACATGCACGGCCAGAATCTGCGCTGCCTGTTTCCTGCTCATTCCATCTGGTCAATGGCAATTCGAATAGAGAAGACTAGGGTCCATCCAGTCTAGGCTAGCTTGATGAGGAACGGCGCTGAATAAGAACTCATCGGGGCTCCCGTTCGTGGTGAATCAGGGGTGGCTTCTGCAATACCAGGCTATGGGACCCCTCCGCGGTCATGAGAGCTGATGGGAAACGAGTCCAGGACCAGCGCGGTCGAATGGATCGTGACTCTGTCCTTTGTCCGGATTGGCGTTACAGCACAACTCAATGCCGCGGCAGGGTTCCAGCCTGCGACAAGTCGTCGCAAGGCTCACCAGATCTTCGTAACACGAAGTCCTATACCAGCCGAGCATCAATACATGCGTCTAGTCGCTCACGGGGCCTAGGCTCTCCAAGGGTTAGAGCGTGGGCTGCATAGTGCCCAGTCTATGCACATCATTCGATACCGTGCATTCCCCGAGAACGAATCACACAAGGAAGGGCCAGCGAGTCCATATTAAGCAGTCATCTCATTCAATGGAAGTCAGCACCACGAAGACGCATCCAACCACTAGCCACGCTGGTCACATACCCGTCAATACAGTGCGGGCGAAGTGAATCCGCGCGCACGATGCTGCGAGAGCAGGGATCGTGTTCGTGTTGTGACGGACCGCAAGCGCGAGCTAGAAACCTTGTGCTGTGTCGTAGTCTTCGCCAGACCACATCCCCATGTCTACGAATGGGTGAAAATGTGCAGGCGGAGGACCCGGAAAGCACCGCGCAATCATGCATACACTCTGAGTCGCCGGGCCATTGGTGATTGCACCGAGAGAGGGCTCTACGACCAGGTCCTCTTTTGATTGTGTTTCAGTAGGGCACAGGGCACGCGTCGGAGTCGACAGGGTGTAGGGGCTTCGAGAGGGGAGGCATGCAGCACACACGGCTTTCTTGCAGACTTCACCCGAGACGAAAGAGAATCAGTTAGAGTAAACGGTGAGCGAAGCAGAAGGGAGGGGAAGGAGTCTGGTCCCAGGCGATGGGTGTCGGATGCTACTTTCGCGATGAATACGGACTCAGGAACAAATGGATTGCCGACAAGATGAAAAGTGAGCGGACCTGAAAAAGGAACCGCTGATGGGACTCGAACCCACAACCTTCGCCTAAGTGGGCTGTCTTAGGAAAGCGATGCACTACCTTTGTGCTACAGCGGCTTGGACTCTGTTCACACGTTGAAAATATGACACTCAATGCATCGGCGGTTGATGTTTAAGATCAAGCCCCCACAAACAACTATTCTTTGTTCTTTCTCCTCCCATCCCACCAACAACTGCCGATCAGAAACTGCGCGTGACGCTGCGGCCCAAGTTCGTCGTCAGTATTCAGCTCGCCGGCGTTTGGATGGCTGCAACGCTCTCCCGCCCGGAATCCCATCTCGCTTTTGCATCCTTGAGATCATGCTCGGGATCGTCATTCTCGCTTCCTGTTTCGCAATTCATAAGGATTCCCTGACTTGCTGCAGAGGATGAACGCTGTGTGCTCAATCGTACGGCGCCTTCGATCTTCTGTCCAGCAAGCAAGCAGCATGAAGTTTGAGCTTCCTTGCACTACGACAGCCTCCAAAATTGGACCGATGCAACGCATTGGGATCGGAATCCGGAGTATGGTGCTATGATGAACTGGCAGATCTGGTCGCCACCTCTCGTTTGAACAGCTCGAGAATCCCCGCAATCCCACATAGGGATACGATCTAGCCTCAGCCCTCGTCCGCTACTCTGCGGGCTAACAGCGGCGCGGACATCTCGTCCCTGACACGACGGCTCGCGCGCAAAGCGAACAGAAAAACGTTTCAGAACGGAGAGATGAGCATAAATAGCACATTGATTTGCGTGCTCGTCTCCGCTTACCATGCTCGTCTACTCACTGCTAGCTCTCCTCCCTGCCGCGAGCCTCGTGCGGGCCCAGGTAGTCGCGCCAGGCATCGAGCCGTTCGCGCTGTGTCTGCAGGGCACCGGCCTGAAGGTGGAGCTGCCCACGAACGCCACCTGGGACGCCTCGACCGCCGCGTGAGCAGCCTCGCCCCTGCCTCCCCACGCGCTTCCACTGACCCCTGAAAAACCGGCACAGCTTCAACACACGCTTCCACTACACCCCAGCGGCAATCGTGTACCCGACCCACGCGGCCGACGTGGCCCAGGCCGTGCGCTGCGCAGGGCTGTTCGGCGTCCCGGTGTCGCCGCTGTCCGGCGGCCACTCGTACGCGGCGTCGGGGTACGGCTCGCGCGACGGCGAGCTGGTCGTCGCGTTCCGCGACATGGCCGCCGTGACGTACTCCGCGGCCGGCCAGACCGCCGCCATCCAGCCGGGCGCGCGGCTGGGCGATGTGGCGCTGGCGCTGTTCAACGGCTATGGCCGGGCACTCGCGCATGGCGTGTGCCCGTATGTCGGGTAAGTGGGCCGTCGGCTGGCGTTCTTGCGGCTGTGCTGAAAGACTGGACCAAGCGTCGGTGGACATACTGCTTTTGGGGGCTGGGGGTTCGCCTCGCGCAACTGGGGCCTCATGATCGACCAGGTCGTCGCTGCTGAACTCGTCCTCGCTAATGGAACGCTGGTGCACGTCAGCAACACCCAGCATCCCGAGATATTGAAGGTCAGTGCGACGATAACACAACCGATCGCGCGGAAGCTCAGTTCCCACCAGGGCGTACGAGGGGCGGCTTCGTCCTTCGGCATCGTCACGCAATACACATTCCAGACGCACGCGGCCCCGTCCAGTGTCGTCCGCTTCTCCTTCTCATACAGCAATCCGCAGCTGGCGCCGGCCGCGTTCGCCCAGGTCATGGGTGCGTACCAGACGTGGGCCGCGACTGTGCCGAAGCAGATGGGGATCGAGGCGAATATCTGGGACTCGGGCAAGACGATTGAGCTCGGCGGGTACTACATGGGCCCGCTGGACCAGTTCAACGCAACCTTCACCCCGCTGTTGAAAGCGGCCGGGGAGCCGAATGGCCGGTACGTACAGGAACGCAGCTGGATCGACGCGCTGGTCGAGGTCAACGGAGGCTCTCCGCTGTCCACCATTGGCAAACCAGAGATGGTATGCCACCATTGAACTCCTCCTGCAGCATTTAAGACACTGACTGTTGTCCAGCACTCGACGTTCTACGCCAAATCGCTCGTCGTCCCCACCGCGAACCCGCTCTCGCCAAACGCATTCTCCGCCCTCGCGGCATACTTCTCCGCGCACCCCGCGCCCGCCGGCACGTCCTGGTTCATCCAATTCGAGCTCTGGGGCGGCGGCGACAGCCAAATCTCCTCTGTGCCTAGCACAGCCACGGCATACCCGCACCGCGCGCACCTTTTTACGATCCAGTTCTACGCATACGCGACACCGGGGACGTGGAGCGCCGCGGGGGGCGTGCCGTTCGTCGACGGGCTCGTCGCGGCGCTGCAGCGCAACTCGCCGGGGACGAAGTTCGGCGCGTATGCGAACTACCTCGATCCGGACTTGAGGGACTGGAGGGAGATGTATTGGGCGGGGAACTACGCGGCGCTGGAGCATGCACGGATGAGCGTCGATCCGCATGGACTGTTCGCTAAGAAGCAGTCGATTGGGGCTGAGAAATACCCGGTGTAGATCACTCAACCGTGGGAAGATTGTTCCCACGGTTGAATTGAAGTTGTCATTGCAAAAGTGTAATATACATATTAGTTCCTCGAAGATACGAGAGATGAGGGGGGTGCACGATCGTAAAAACACTCAAGACGGCACAGAGATCGTAGACGCCGTCTTCGACACGAACACCAGCGCGGAGCAAGGGATGCTCCCTTCATTTTTGCTAGGCTGAATCGGACCGAATCTCCTTACGAGCTCCTCAAGCTGTCTCATCAACGTATTCACTTTCGTTTGGCCCGCTGGATCCGAATGCATCATCTCGGCTACCAACGGCCGCATGCAGTCCAATGGCCCGTTTTTACTCGTTCTCTTGGACTCTGCATTCGTATCGCGTTTGAAACCTGTACGAAACAGCATCACTTCCCAAAGCGAGTTGATCAGCTTCCCGAGGCCGTAGGCGCCTCGCCGCGGTGCCAGATTTTATTCTCGGCCCCCCGCAGCCGGCGCGAGTTGCTGCACTCGATCCGGTGCTTTATCAGACGGGGCGTTGCGCGTGGATTCAGTGGCGCGCCTTGCCCGGCTATGTGAGTCACGCTGTAAGTCCTGCCGGACTGGATGCCAGCGAACGGGATGCAGCGGTCCGAACACCATCTGGCTGTCTCTGCTCGTACGCGTTTTTACGTTAGGTGGATCTTAACCGGATTAATCCTGAAATGAATTATTTGAATGGAGGAATGCTATGTCCTGTGCGCGATAAGTGTCATGAAAAGATACCTCCAGGGGCGCGTGCGAGTCTGCGTGGGATCAGGCCGGGCTGTACGATTCACCAGACGTAGACGAATTGTGAATTTTCCAAATTCTTCCTCGACAGCGGGGTCACAGGATAATTCCCACGGTTGAATACAATCAGAATCACAAGTGCAATATGATATTGTACATATCCGCTTCTCGAGAAGCTGCGAGAGATGGCCCGAGTCGAAAATCATCCGAGACTCTCAGGACGGAACAGGAATCGGAGGCAGCCTCTTCAGCACGAACAGCACATGGCGCACCCAGTGCGGAACAGCGTGGACCAAGGGAAGATCTCCCCGTTCCGCCAGCCGGGACCGGAGTCTGCAGGAGCCCAACCCCCTCACGAGCTCCTCGAGATGTCGCATGCATTCATCCATTGTCGGGCGGCGCGCGGGATCCGGGTGCGTCATCGCGGCTACCAGCGGCCGCATGAAATCCAAGCCGCGTTTGGGGCGCTTGTATTCGTTTCCCTGCACCGGCGCGGGTGAGTCCTATGAGCAAGTAGGAGAACAGCGTCGATTCACACCACGAGAAAGTCCTCCTCGATCGACTTGCCGAGACGGTACACGTCGGCTTTGAACTTTGCCGCGGCGCGATCCCCGCTTGTATCTCCCTCATCAGAGAGGAGTCGGCGCGAGCTGCTGAAGTCGATCCAGTGGTATCGCACGGGGTGCTGGGTGCGCGTTGAGTGGGACGCTTTGCCCGTCCAGTCACGTCGGAAGTTGTGCCGGATGGGATGCCACGGGGCAGCATACAGCGGCCCGCCATCCATCAGTATATTCTTGCTCGAGCAGTCCCTGTGAAGAGCGGGGTATATAAGCGTTCATGAGTTGGCAGGATGTTGTGCGTTTTCACCCATGGACGATGTTGTTTTCGTGGAGAAATCCAATGCCCTGTACGCGATAAACGATGTGAAAAAAGCACCCCACGGTTTGCTCACGCACCAGAAACATCTGCCGGAAGAACTCGACCGCCTCTCCGACCGTCTGGAGCCTCGGCGAGTCGTACTCACGGAGGAGCGGCATGACGAGGATGACCCAATCCGGCTCCCGCTCTCGGGCCAGGACCCGCAAAATGGGCACGCAATAGTGGGCCCGGTCGTGTTCCGCCAGCCACGTCGCGATCTCGAGCTCTTGCACGTCGCGGACGCGCGCGATGCGTTTCATCAACACGAACACGCCGTCGACGGCACGCGTCGCGTCCATGACGTTGTCTTGCTGCATGGCGCATCAGCGAGTCGGGTCTGGCTCGTCCCTCGTTTTTGCCAAGATCGCCAACATGCCACGCACCGGCCAAATGTACGCATCCTCGGAGTCGCTGGCTGCGCCCTGCCACCCGTACGTCGGACTCCACTCCTCCTGCAGTCGAGCGCGCAGCACGTATCCTTGCTCCCAGAGCCACTCGCGATTCGCATACCAGAACATCTCCCCCGCGTGCAGCATCGGCGTCGAATCGGTGTCCGAATCATCGTGGTAGCCCACGCCAGGGGAGACTGAGACTTGCATTGCAGTAGGTCTGATTCGCGGAGACGGGTGGGAGGGGAAAGCAAGGAGGGGGCCGCCGTGGGTCTCTGCGGCTGTGACGCATCGGCACGGCATCCAGTAAACGCTCGGTTTTTGCGACTGGTTACGGGCGAAATTGGGATTAGCACGCGTTTGTGTGGCGTGAGGGCGAGGCAAGTATTAGCGCTTCGCTGCGAGGTGGCCGGGGCAAGCCCCGTCGTCGACTGCTATGTAGCCCTCATTCCCCCGATCAGGAAGTACAGGAATCGGTGCCTCGGCCGTGCTGAATGAAAATCCGTTCGACGTCCTCGTTCTCTCATTGAGCACCTGGTTCCCTCCCGAATACCCCCCAAGTCTCACGTGTGCCACGATGGATCACGGGAAACATGAATGTGTCATTGGATTTGAGTGGATGCCACGAGTTACGGAGATGTTTTGCGTTGCGTGAGATTAGCCTAGGATGGGGTTCACCGCTAGATATTGGTTGCCAACTTTCGAAATTGCCGATGTCACGGCCGACGTCACAGGCAGCTATGGTAAGCACGTGATCCCTCTGTTCAAACGATCTACGTAAGCAACTCCCAGAGCGATAAACTTAAAACTGTGCGCGAGTGCTCACACCCTTTCCACCAAAAGTCATGGGGCGACAGCTCCCTCACGGCTTTTCATATATCTTCGCGCCGCGTCCCCAATCTTTCGCGGAATCTCCCCAGTCGTCTCTGACACCCCAAACATGGTCCTCTTTGAGCTTGGGCGCAGCCGGTCTCAAATCATCCTCCGTTGGTGATTCACCGGCCGAGGTCCCAGATGGAAGCCGGTGTCCGGGATCCTTCTGGAGGTTCTTCTCCCAGGTGCGATCCGGGTCCTGCAAAGGAGTCCACTCGGCTGTGCGAGCGTACTCAGGACCCGTCATCTCGATCAACCGCGACAGCGCGCGCTTGTAAGCGAACTGCTCTTCCTGACCTGCATCGGAAAGATGATCAGAGCCCCGACTGGGCGTGTATGAACTATTTTACAGTCGTACCCGAGAATAGGGACAGAGAGTCCAGCGCCAGCGGCTGCGCATGCGCCAGCTCCTGCTGCATTCTTCTCCCAGGTGCGATCCGGGTCCTGCAAAGGAGTCCACTCGGCTGTGCGAGCGTACTCAGGACCCGTCATCTCGATCAACCGCGACAGCGCGCGCTTGTAAGCGAACTGCTCTTCCTGACCTGCATCGGAAAGATGATCAGAGCCCCGACTGGGCGTGTATGAACTATTTTACAGTCGTACCCGAGAATAGGGACAGAGAGTCCAGCGCCAGCGGCTGCGCATGCGCCAGCTCCTGCTGCATCTTGGGTGCATCGTACGCCGCAACGTTCGGCCGGTAGCTCTCCTGCGCGTGAGTGAACGACTCGGCCAGCATCACATCCAGGTCGCCCGCCGGCGCTGCCCGCGCCCGTGCGTCAGGGAAGAAGATCCCCTCGGGCCGCGCCACGGCGAGACACACGAGCCGGCACCGGGCTTCGTACAGCGCGTCGACGAGGGAGATGAAGCGCCGCGCTTGGTTTTTCGCGGCGAGCGTGAGGATGGGGATGTCGGAGATCGCGAGGGTGTGGAAACGTGCGGCGAGGGTGAGGTAGTCCGCAGGTCCGAGAGACTCGTCGCATAGCTCGTTGAACATAAATTGGGCGACTCCGCCTGAGGACCACGGAATGTCGAGGTTTCTCCCAAAGACAGTCAGTGGTGTTTTGTTGACTTCAGCTACGGCTGGTTACTGGCCTCCATATTTTTTGTTCTCAAGACAGACTTACTTTGGGGATCGGCGTCGCACAAGGAACTGACCACTTGGTTAAACTGACGCTCCTGGCCAGCCACAAACCAGCTCCGCCCCGAGCCGTCCGCCCCGTACGCTCTCTGCCTCCAGTCCCGCTCGGATCGCATCTCAAGCACCGGACACCGCGCTTTGAGCGCCTCGACAAACGGCTCCAGCCTCTCCCGCTGCACGCCGTGCCTGTATATATCATCCGGCACCTTGTTCGACGTGCCCACGATCACACCGCCCATGCGCCAGTACCACGATAGCACGTCCGCCAGGAGCGTGGCGCTGGATATGTCGAGCAGCTGCACTTCGTCGAAGACGAGCAGCCAGTGGCGCAGCAGCAGCCGCTGCGCCACGTTGAACGCTATCGGAGGGTCCGAGGCATGGGATCCGGTTTGGCCCGCTTTTCGGCGCCAGAATTGGGGCAAGCTCCCGGACTTGACGAGATTCCGCCATTTTTCTCGGACTGAGGGTGTCCATGGTTCGGCATCGGCATCCGGGTAGTCGGGAGCGACGCGGGATGGAGCCGCAGCCATGCGGTGCCGGGTTTCTTCCCAGACTCCGCGGTATATCTCGAGAACGAGTTGTTGGTAATGTTTGCGCGTCTTGTAAGGGGTCGGGATGCACGAGAGCCAGAGGTCGATGAGGAAGCTCTTTCCCGAGCCGGGCGGACCAGTCAACAGGATTCCCTATATAGCACGCACCAGTGTCAATTTTGCTGCTATGTGTCGGGCGATATATCCGCACCTTGGGCGTCTTCAGGTCAGCCAGTTCTTCGGAAACACTCTTGAGGAGGACCAGCGATCTGTCTATTGACTCGGATCCCCGCGTCCGGCGACTCTCGGCAGAGTTTCCGTCTCGTTGCCACCACCCCGATGATCCGGCGCTCGCTGGGTCAAGCAGATGCGGCGCAACGATCGCGGGTGAGTAGTCCAGCAGCTCTTTCTGTACCCTCCTGAGCTTTGCGAGATGAGTTACCGAACCGCCTGCGAAATTCGCCGAAAGGAGGCTGACCTGCATGATCACACGAATTTGCTCCTCGTCCCATTGGATTTGTCCTGCAGAAACCAGGGAGCGGTATTTGTCTAGTATATCTGGAGCGGTTGCTGTAGAGTATGCTTTCGGGTGCGAGGGAGATGTAGTCTGAACTGTTCTGTGGCATACACGTTGGAGAGCACCCGTCGGACAGCTGTACCACCTGCGCCACCTGTACCTTAAGAGAGCGAGAGGATGTGGCGCATTGGCAGGTTTGGAGGTCGTTCTGCACAGCGATGACGAAAGTAGTCGGGCCATAGTCGCCGTTGCGAGGAAGCTGTGTCGGCCGCCATCGATCGAGTGGTACCGGTCTTATCTTATCGGGCTTGTTTGGCACTCCTAGTCACCTGTTACAGTGACACTACTCCCGGCGCTTCTCTTCTTCTAAACCCTTGAGTTGCACCTGTAACCTTCCATGATCCACGACACCCAGCTTTGCCTGACGCGCTTATGAAGCAACCTCCATAAATACTCTTTCTGATGCCCCTGACACTCGAAATACCACTCTATTTGAGCACCGTCTAAGCTCGTGTCGTGATCGCTATTTCTTTCTCCTTGGGGTGCCGCTCCCGTCATCAGACCGCGACACCTCACGCGACCGAGTTCTCCTTCATCCTGACTGCCCATCCGGCACATTCCGTGTCGCAGACTGGCGCAGGGAGTGTGGAGCGCTTGGGAAATCGGGTGCTTCGAACGAGAAAGGACACACGACCGGAGGCAGTTTCCCTTCATCGTCAGTTCTTTGATTGATACGAAGACTGTGGGGGATAGGGCGGGGCTGGGGGAGGGGGTACTAAAGGGTGCTGCTGCATTGTCGGTCAGAAGAAGCGCATACATACGTAGATGGGTCTCTCTCCCTCGACCGTTCTGCTCGCTCTGGCCCTGGGCCTGGGCCTCGCCCCGGTGCGCGTCGTCCGCGCGCAGCCCGCGCCCTCCGTCCAAGCAGGCATCGCCGCCGCAATCAAACGCGCGTCCACCGCCTCCGGGCCGCTCGACTACACGGCCTTCGTGAACCCGTTCATCGGCACCGGTGAGCAGCCCGCGACCCCTGCCCCCGTGCCCGAAGCAGCCGCCGCATGACACGTGTCTTCTCTGCCAGACAACTTCGGGGACGTGTGCCCCGGCGCGTCGGTCCCGTTCGGCATGGCCAAGTTCTCCACGGACATGACGGGGTACGCGCCCGCGGGCTACGTCACGGACCCGACGCAGTTCGTCCGGGGGCTCAGCCCGATGCACGACAGCGGGACGGGGTCGTCGCTCGGCACGTACGGGAACTTTGAGATCATGCCGCTGCTGTGCGCGGGTGGATTCGACAACTGCACGACGCGCTTGGCGGCGCGCGAGAGACTGCGGAAGCCCCATACGGACGGTATGTGCGGTGTTGTTGTTGTTGCGCCACTGTGTCGCACGTCACGCCGACGCTCGTTTCACGCATCCCGCAGTGGCATCCCCGGGGTACTTCGCCCTGACGCTTGACAACGGGATCATGATGGAGGCCACCGCGACTCGCCGCGCAGGCCTCGAGCGATTCACCTTCCCGCACGGCTCCCAGCCGTTCTTCGTGCTCGATCTCGCGAACGATCTGCCCGCTTCGTTCGCAGGGGGCGAGATGGCGATCGACCCGGGGAATGCGCGGATCACCCTCGGAGGTCACTGGGGATCGAGCTTCGGGCCTGGCCGGTTCAACTACCAGGCGTTCGCGTGCTACGATCTGAACCCCAGCGGGAATCAGAAGCTGGCCGAATACGGTGTCTGGACGGGCGATAAGTGAGGAAACTGGCCTGCCTGCCCGGTGGTGCGGGGAATTCGCTGACTGCTGCCGCAGCTTCGGGCTCGATGCGAAGGGCCTCGGGCAGACGCATCTCAACCTCTCGCTGAATCTGATCGGCGGAGTCTACGAAAGTGGCGCGCTGTTCTCCTTCGACGGCAACCCGAAGCAAGTCGACATCCGGGTCGGCATCTCCTTCGTGTCGACCGACCAGGCGTGCGCCAACGCCGAGTCCGAAGTGGGCAGCTCGTCGTTCGAGGATATTCTGGCCCAGGCTAAGAGTCTATGGAACGACAAGTTGTCGAAGATTGAGATCGATGTGCCGCACACCCCACAGAACGTGACTGAACTTTTGTACAGCTCGTTGTACCGATCTTCATTGACGCCAGTGCGTTTCCTACTTCCTGTTCCATCTCTCCATAGAGCAACCCATCGTAGAACAATGCCACGGGAGAGACACAGGGTGTCTTCGCCGGGACGACGTCCTTCTATTTCGACTCGCTCTACTGCAGCTGGGACACCGTACGTGCCTTGTACTAGCTACCGAACCGTAGCGCTAACCGCGCTCGGCCAGTTCCGCACGTTCTACCCGCTGATGTCGCTGCACTCCCCGGTCGAGTTCGCCCAGATCGTGGACAACTACATCGACGGCTGGCGCAAGAACGGCTGGATGCCCGAATGCCGGGCGAACAACCTCCCCGGCTGGACGCAGGGCGGGTCGTCTGCCGACGTCATCGTCGCGCATTTTGCGACGCACTACCACAACGAGGCCGCGGCGCTGGGCATCGACCTGCAGGAGCTGTATTCGGCGGCGTGGACGGATGCGGAGGTCAATCCGCCCGAGTGGAACATCCAGGGGAGGCAGTCAAATGTATACAAGTGAGCCTTCCGTGGGTTGCCAGATATGGCCAGCCTTCTGATTCGTACGCATAGCCAATTTGGTTATGTCCCTTTTGCAGGTGATTGCGTCCCTCCATTCGACCTTCTGTGCGGTGGCTAACTCAGCTCCAGTGCTCGACGTGTCCAGCACCGGCCGTCAAACTCGCGAGGGCAGTCGCACTCTCGAAGTGAGACCAAGCTCACTGCTACGCGTCACGTCATGTCGTCTGACCGAGCCGTCAGTACGCTTTCGAAGACTTTGCGATCCGGCAGATTGCACAGCTCCTAGGCAAGACTGACGACGAGGCGGTCTTTGCCAACCGGTCCTTGGTGGGTTCTCGATCGAGCGGCCGAAGGCATCCAGCTTACTCGTTCCATTGCAGAACTACCGCAACGTCTGGTACGCGGTGATTGACGAGGGCGGTGTCTAGTGTTGACTGATGATGGCAGGGATCCGACTGTGAAGAGCGACGGCTTCAAAGGATTTGCGCAGAAGCGATACAGCAGCGGCAAATTCAACTTTACAGATCCGAAACACTGCTCGCCTGTGGACAATGTCACGACCGAGTGTTCGCTGCAGTCGGACAACACGAATGGCTTCTATGAAAGCTCGTCATGGGAATATAGCTGGTGTGTACCGTCCTTCAATCCGCGGCGGGAATGTTGACTTTGTCCCGCTAGGTTTGCGCCGCATGACACTGACTACCTGATCAAGCTCATGGGCGGTAATGTCAGTTCTTCATTCTGACTGATCAGGGCGCAGCGCCAACTGCTTACAGGACACTTTCGTGAAGCGCTTAGATCATTTCTTTGCAGCCGGCTACTACGGAGCAGGCAACGAGCCTTCATTCCAGGTGCGTGCATTGGATGCTCCCTCTCCCGTCTCACAGTCGTTTCACAGACTCCGATTGGATACCACTACGCGAATCATCCCGCAAAGAGCGTGGACCGAGTTCGAGCTATTGTGTTTGAGAACTTTGACATCAGTGCGTCCACTTGCTCCTTCACGGCTAGAGACTCGATCGTTCAATGACTGCGTGTGCAGCCCCCGCCGGGCTGCCTGGGAACGACGACCAAGCCGCCATGGCCTCCCTCCTCGCCTTCCATCTCCTCGGGCTGTACCCGGTCCCGTCGACGACGCAGTACCTCGTCCTGTCCCCGTTCACCCCCCAATACACCATCCACAACGCGTACCTCAACACGTCCACGACCGTCACCACGCTCGGCTTCGACGCGCGCTCCGTGCAGCACACCATCCCGCCCGGCGTCCCCGCGTACGTCGTCAACGTCACCGTCAACGGCGTCCCGTCGCCCTCGCGCTGCCATTTCGACTTCTACGACGTGTTCCGCGTCGGGGGGCAGGTCGTCATCCACGTCTCGGCGGATAAGAGCAAGGCCGATAGCTGTGTGGGCGGGGTGCCGGAGAGTCTGTCGCGTGGTGGGTTTACGGCTGCGCGGTGAGATGAGTGGGTCTAAACAGTAGAATCGTGTGGGGTCTAAGTGTATGTACAGTCCAAGAGTTCCGAGATCTGTTTTGAGCTTCAAGCGAATGACAGCATGGCGCGATGGCCGAGTGGTTAAGGCGACAGATTAGAATGACTCTGCATCTGTTTCGGTTTCCGAGCGCAGGTTCAAGTCCTGCTCGCGTCGCATGTTTTGTTCTTTTCGTCTCATGTCTGCAGAGCAGACGGTCCATTCCAATAGTACCCCTTCAAATTTCCTTCCTTGAAAACTTGCTGCTCCTAAAACTACAATGCTCTTATACTTATTTTACATCTACAACCGCAGTCCCGCAAGTATCCCGTCCGCCTCAGCCACGCATTCCCTGGGTTCCCTGAAAAGCCGCAACGGAATGTGTGGCGGGATCTGTCTCCTAGCGCGCCAGACCCTAACCTGCAGCTCGGCACGGCGGCGATTCGGCTGCTCCATGCCAGTACCAGCACGGGAATTCGGTATTTTGAGATTGACAGCCGCAGTGTTGCTCGCGACCATCGAGGGTATGGGTTCCGGTTCCGTCGTCATGGGTGTCGTCGCAGACAGGAAGTAGTTGTTGCTCGGTGGGTGGTATGATGACGGCGTTGGGGGCCGTGATGACGTGCTGGAGGCGGTCGACCAGGACCGCTGGGGCATCTGGTCGAGCATCGCGTGGTTCTGGCCCGTCGGATCGTCGAGGGGGGCTTCGTTCGTGTCGACGTCGCGAATGAACACCGCCAGCACCTGCTCAGGGTAGTCGCGCGCAATGCTGCGGCGCTCAGTAGGTGAACGCCAGTACTACGAGTGAGTCACTCACTCGGCGTACAGCTGGAGATCTTGCTCGCCCGAGTCCCCGATGAGGATGAAGCTGGAGTCTGGGAACGCAACAACCAGTTCCTGCACACCTGCTCGTTTCCGGGCGGCTGGCGCCGAGAGCAGCCCGCTGAACAGTGACCGTCCCGCGTACGACCGCAGCTTGACACTCCCAGGCGGCAGCTGTGCTGAGCGGAAAAAGTCCATCAACACTGGCAATAGTTCGAACGGACCGTTGGACTAGCTAGAGGTTAGTCCTAGCCAAGGACCGACGAGTCCATATCACGCACAACATAATGAAACCGTACACCGCGATTCCACATCGCAGTATACCACTCGCCCATCCCCGGGATCACGATCTCGTCATACTCCTTGACGAACACATTGTAGAACACCGCGCGCGACCCGCTGAGGATGCCCGACAGCTTCACCGTGTCGTCGACGTCCGAGATCACGCGCACGCGCGAGTGTGTCAGCGGGATGTGCAGCGCGTTCGTCTTGGCGAGGCGCGCTGCGCTCGAGGTCCCCGCTTTCGGGGGCAGGAGCTCCGCCGTGACGAGCAGCTCGTGCTCGACCGTCGCCTCGCCGAACGCGATGTGCAGCGCCCCGGGATGGCGCGCGAGCTCCTCGAACGACACATGCATCCGCGCCTGGAAGCTGCCGTCCACGGCGGTCGTGAGAACGCGGGTCGCGATCGGGCCGTATTCGATCGCGTCCCGCTCTTCGGCTGCGTGGTTGTTGGCCTTGTGCGGCGCGGCGTACAGGTGCAGCCGGACTGTGCGTGCGGGGATCACGGAGGACCAGAAGGGCTGTATTCGGGACTCGAGGTTCTTGTGCAGGCGGTAGATCGCGCTCGGGACGTGGAAGGGCGTAGACTGCGACGTGGATTCCACAGATTCGGCGTCATCGGCATCGTTACTGGCGGTCTCGTTGGTTTCTACGCGGAGTCGCTGGAACTGTTGCTCAAGCGCCTGTGCTTCGTAGTCGTCCGTCATATCTTCTGGTGGTGGAGGAAGCTGCACGGTCTTCATGAGCTCCTCGGTGGACGCAGTGAGCGGGCTGCCATCGAGTTTCGGGAGTGCAGCGAATCCTGCGACGATATTCGGAATCAGACCCCGTTCGTCGCGATGTATGCACACATACGCACCCTTGGCTAACCTCATAAACGCGCGCTGCGAGCGGCTCGCAAACTCGGGTGCCCGGTGGCTCGAGGCGAATCCAGAAACAAACAGATCCACGTCAAACGCGTCTGCACAACAAGCGAGTCATGCATACACGCCCACCGTAGGGTAAGATCCCACGCACCCTGATGCAGCCCAATCTCGTCGGACCGATAGCGCCTCGCCGCCCAGCCAGGGAACATCGCGATACGCTCGGTGTCCCGTCCCGTGCCCCCGCCGCCGCCGCGGATGCCGGCGGAGATACGCTGCCCCGTCGCGCCGGCCCACTCTCGCCACGTCTGCGTCCGCGGCGCGGAGTTCGCCTGCTTCAGGTCGCCGTGGGACACCGCCCGGCGCATCGAGGACGAGATGGTCGAGCGCCAGCCCATTTCTCTCGACATTGCGGTGTGGGTTCGTTTGTGGGTACGGTACGGTGTGCTGCTGGGCGGGGTTGTTACAATGAGTGCAGTGCAGGCAAGCTACAGTAAGGGAGCGTCATACTTGGACGTGCCCGGCTAGCGCCAAGATGACAACATGCGCTGATGGAATCTTTCGGCTCGTAAGCCCGTGTTTGTCACCAGTTCATGTGAACCCCAACCGCTCAATTAGTTCAACAGCTCATGGCCAGCGATTCTTGCGGGAACTTGTGTACACCCTTAATGACCCCAGAATCGGCTACGCGCATAGCCAAATTTCTCATGGCTTCAGACACTTGTTAATTTGTCCCTGATATCTCACTTTGCGACACGATGACTGTCAAACTAATCTATTACATGACATTGATGTGGGCAGGCGTACTGGCAAAGCAGGCTCGGAATCCATATCAGTTCTCAAAGTTTTGCAGATTATGAGTTGAAGGGATATAGCCTTGCAATTGGGTGTAAGGCACTTGCGATCAACGCGTGCCACCCTGCGATCCGTCTCCAAATTACTCAAAAATCACAAGTACGTCCGCCCGCAATGCACAAGCCACCTGAACTGAATATAGCCCGGGGTTTACAAGGTAAATTTGAATCCGCTTTCACTTTATGGTCGCATGTTTTTAAGCTACCTGGGGGCAGGAGCCAAGTGGTAAAAGGAAATGCTATCCACGATGCAGTCATTTGGACCACACTCATTCACGTGACCATGCAGTTCATGGCGCGATGGCCGAGTGGTTAAGGCGACAGATTAGAACGCCTCTTTATCTGTTTCGGTTTCCGAGCGCAGGTTCAAGTCCTGCTCGCGTCGCTTGTTAGATGTCCTCTGAGGGCAGTCCTCTTTTGGCCGTATTTCACGTTGGCCCATATGATTACAACCTTGCAGATGATCCGTATGTTCAAGCCATTCATATATTGTCTTGGGATCAATCTGCACTATTTTTGAATGCGCACAAATCAGAGACATGGGGAGGAATATATTCCCGTGCGTACAAATGTAAGATCATGTATGTGAAGTCGAAGGCCTATGTACATTCATGAACGCAATATCCAAGTGTTCATCCAAAGAAAGTACGAGGAGCGATTAGGTCGTGAGCAGGAGTATATACGGAGAGAGGGAGAGATATTAAACAGGGCATGACAACTACAAAATGCAACCGCGCTCAGAGCCGGAGCTCCTCAGCAACGCTGCGCCACCACGCGCACCGCCGCGGGTAGTCCGCGTCGATGTACGACATCGCGCTGGACGCAGCCGACGCGCCGGTATTCGGGACCATGAACCCGCCGTTCTGGCTCGCCGGCTCCCAGCGGGGTGCGCCGGGGGCCGCGTGCGCGTTGGGGTCGAGCGTCATCGCGAAGCTGGACCACCACGCGACGGCCTGTTTCGCAAGGTCGCCTTGGGCGGCTGAGAAAGCGGTGAAGACGGGCTGCGCGACGGACGCGCTGGGGCCGGAGTTCGTGCCGTCGTACAGATAGAAGAGCTCCGCGGTGTGCGCCGCACCGACGTAGGCGCCGCGAGCGGCGATGAGGTTCGGGTCGACAGCGTCCCAGCGGTAGTTGTACGCTGGCTGGCCAGAGACGTTGCCGATGTACCAGGGCCAGCATGAGAGCTGCGACAACGAGTTGGTCAATAGATTGGGGACAGCAAACGTCATTCACGCACCTCGCTCTCCATGTAAGCCCACATGGTCCGCTCCCACTGAGTCGTCCAGGGGGTGGACGCCGACACGGGCGGGTAGGTCTGCAGCATCGCGTTGGTCGTCGGCGTGGAAAGCGTCGGGTAGCGCTTGAGGATAGCGTTGACCATGTCTGCATCAGTGTTGACCTGGGCAGGCTTGCCAACGAAGATCGAGCCATCCTGGGCGTTATGTCCACCGAGAATGGGGACCTTGCTGAACCGACCGGTCGAGAAAAGCTCGCTGGTGATGCCAGGCACGTAGTTGTAGTCGATCACGGGCTCGTACTTGCACGATCCGAGCTTGTTGTTGACCGCTGACACGATGGCGCCCACTGAACCGGAATTCAGCTAAGGAAATCCAGAACGACAGTGGAAGGGACGCACCGGAGGCTTTCCGGAGACAGCTCACGACGTTGTTATCGTACGGGCAGCCGATGTGCGAGAGAGCGTCAACGAAGCACTGCTCGCTGTGGCTATCATCATAGAACGGATCGTTCCCGGGGCTCTCCATCACAACAGCGCGGAACGGCTGGACACACGAAATGAGCCCCGCCAGTCCGCGCGAAGAAGGCAGACAGATGAAATTCGACGCACCGGGTTGCGCTCGCCACCGTAAGCCGTCATGTGCAGGGCAACAGAGCCTCCGCCGCTGCTCTCACCGCCGATCGTGACCTTGCTCGGGTCGCCACCGAAGGCCGCAATGTTGCGCTGGATCCATTCGAGAGCCGCGCGCTGGTCGAGCAGACCGTTGTTGGGGCCCGCGGACCGGTCCTGTCGGATGCCGTTCCCGGTCAAGAAGCCGAGCATGCCGAGCTACAGGACGGGGGCCGGTCAGCCGGCGCCGACGGTCGCATCCAGGCGAGATAACATACACGGTACTGGATGCCGACGGCGATAAGGCCGCCGTTGGAACGCGCAACCCAGTCGTTGGCGGGGAAGCCCTGCGCTCTGTCCGATGTGTCAGCAACATCGCCGCCGCGCGGGGAGACGGCTGGCCGACGCACGAGTTGTAGTAGTGGCCGCCGCCGTGGATGTAGACGTAGACGGGCAGCTTGCTGTTCGCGGTGGCGCCGGCGGGTTTCCAGATGTTCAGCGTCACGCAGTCCTCGCTGCCGATGCCCACGACGGCGGGCTGCTGGATGCAGATGGGGCCCCAGTTGCGCGCATCGACGACGTCGCTGTTGCCGAGGAAGAGGTTGTAGATTTCGGTCAAAGGTTGAGGGGGAGCAAAACGAAGATTGCCGACGGGCGGCTTAATGTAGGGGATCCCGCCGTAGAAAGTAATGCCATCAAGAGACGAGTTACCAGCGTACGCAGCATAACTGCGCCCATCGCGTTAGAGACCGCAGACGGGATAGGGGTAAAGAGACGTACCCCAAGTCAACAACCGGCCCGAGAGGAGACGTCAAGGGGCGGAAGCGGAACACTGCCGCGGTGTGCAGAGTCGCGTTGAGAGCGACCGTCGAATTCAAGTCGGCGGCCGAGGCACTGATGTCGCTGGCGTTGGTGCTAACTTGGCTGGTGCTGATCTGGGTGTCGTTGCTGCTGGTGTCCTGGGCGTGAACAAGGGCAGAGGAAGAGAGAAGCACGGCGCCCGCAGCCGCGAGCCGCAGGGCAGAAGAGAAGAACATAAGTAAGGAAACGAGGGTGGAAGGGTGAGCGCCGCAGCGTGAGCCCTCCCCGACTGGCTTCGCGCCCTTTTGAATGATCGCGAACCACAGGGAAAAAGATGGACCACGCGCAGATCCTGTCAACGCCTAAGTGCAAATGCGATTACCAAGTTGCTAGGCACGGCATCATCAGAACTGCTGATTTATTCAGTTTCGCCAGGGCTCGCCAGGGACGAGCCATCGACCCTCGGTCGGCGCACGGGGCAGGTGGGTCCCGATTCCCGGTCGGCTCTGTCTCTCGGAGCAAATCTGTTCATTTCCAAGCTACGCCAGTGCAGGCCAGAGTGAGGTACGCGAGGAAAGAGTGGATGGAATTCGCACGTACGTCATGCCGCTAGTTGCCGGTTAGTGTGTTCCTGTCAAACCTTTCACACGTTCCAAAGTTGTTGAGTTCCTTGATCCACGGTTGAATTTTCAATATCCATCGTCAATTTTTAAGCACCGGGGACAGCGGTAAGTAATACCTTGGATGTGCTATTTTTTGAACCACGTGTGGCCGGGCTTCTCCCATCCCACGGGCCGCAGAAGCTATCGTAAGAGATTCCTGTCGCCTCTCCCTTCCGAACCGACCTGGAACCGACGACCACTGGTGCTTTCCAACAGAATGAAAGCCCAGAACCACGTTTCTGATCGGAAGACTGCGGCGGCTGATCGATGATGCCATCACCCATAGCAAACGCAAATCAGTTCCTCGATCTCTCGTCAGTATCTCTCGGCCCACAGAGCGCACGCGACAGTCCGCCCAAAACGCTGGAGGTACTTACCTGAGAAAATCTGAAGACTTGCACGAATGGCAATTTAGTTGCCTTATCCCTCTGCCTCTCTCTTCCACTGCTCCTCCACGCTCGCTACCACACTATGACCGTCAACCGGGCAGCCATCTTCCGAATCATGTATGTGCTTTCACCGGGTGCAAACGCCGAGCCGCTCTGATGGTGCGCGAGCAGCTCGTTCAGCCTCGCGGGCGGCGACATGCTGCAGACGATCCCGGCGACGCTTCGGCTGTATTACAAGCAATGGGTCAACAGGTCGCTCAGCGTCGCCTGTGCAGCATATGCAATCGCGCGGTACATGACGTTCATCTCGCTCATTACCAACGGAATCGGTGCGCCCGAGGAGATATCCACGCCCACACGCGTGCCCTCCTCGCTCACGCAGATGCGGCAGGCTTCTTCAGCACGACATTCACGCTCGCGTCGTGCCGGCCGTTTTTTCTCGTGCCCAATCTGACCGCCAGTGCGCCTTTGGTTTCCTCGGACCTCCGGTCTCCGATGATCTATACACTCACATCAGCTTCGCAGTGTTCGCAGGGATGGCGGTCCAGGTGCTCGTATTTCTCCGGTGCGTCCTGAATTTGCGGCGCCATGGAATGCTTGGCCGAACGATCTGTATCCAGCACGTATGCGATCTCAGGGCGGGCGACGATTGTTTTCTACGGGCTCGGTTCCGTGCTCCTCCTCGGATTTCCCGTGAGTCCAGTCGGCCGAGCTCAGCAATCTCCGAACGAACTCTAACCTCGTGCTATGTCAGATTCAATTGTTTGGAATTGTGTATCATCGGCAGGTGGGTAATCGTCTCCTTGTACTGCGTAATTGGCTCAGATTTCAAATGCAATCTTCAGCCTGAAATCACTGGTGTAAGCTCCTCTCCCCGTGTACACGTCCCGCCCTGACACTGTTCACAGGGAGAGTCTGTACCACTCTCGACTCGAGCCTGTGTCGGAACGTTGAGGCTGCCCTTCATAGATGCAAAGCAAAAGTGTTCAGCAAGAACGAGGTGAGAGGAAATCAGTTTATCTCGTATCAGAGCCTGACAGGTTCGTAGCCGGATTGGAATATCGTGTGGGTGGACTTGCCGAGCGACGTCCATGTTACATAATGCGCCCATAGTTACTACTCGGCTCACATGGCCTATGATCTCCTCGCCTGTGCAGTGGGCACTTTCTATCTCGTCGCGTCGTCGCGACTCGGTGGATCCTTGTCAGTCTTCCTATGTGCGCTCCTCCGCCGATGACCTGGATCAACCCGTCCCTCTAGCAACATGTCAGCATTCCTCCGCCGCGTGCTGCGGAACGGGCTGCTGTACACTCTGGCCGTCTTCCTCGCCAATCTGTGGGTCGTCCTCGAATGGGGCAAGGTTCTCAAAACCGGGGTCGGCGCGACTCTGCCGCTCGCGGTCGTCCTGATCGGTGAGCCGCTTTAGGTATCTTCTGCTACGTGTACCGGTACTGAGGATCGGCAGCTGCGCAGCACCTCATCCTCAGCACCCAGCGCGGGACGACGAATAACACGAGCTCGAATGAGATGTCCGGTTCTGGCCGGCGCGGGGTAGCCTTCGCCACCCGGCCTCGTCGGCCCCTCTCGACAGGCAACCGGACCGGTGGTGCAGCCATCGAGCTGCAGGCGACCAAGATCTTTGTGGTCACTGAGAGCTACGACGATCGGGAGCTCGGCATGCAGGTCAATGGCGATCAAAAGGCCGGGCTGCATGCTGGGACTGTGGAGCACAGGCTTTGAGGGGGGGTAATATAGATGACATGCGCGGATAGTCTACTGGCTGTAACGGGGGCTCGACGTTCCCGGATATCATCGAGGCTCATGATCTTATCGATTATCACCCTTATCGCTGTGTTCCCCACATCACCCCAGCTCACCCATTCCTGCTTTCGAGGTCGACCACTTGGATGCGTCACCGAGCTTTCCCCCGATAACCATGTCCCGTCCAATCTCAGCAAACACCCAGGCCGATGTGCTCCAGGCGTACCCCGCTCGCCCAGTATACAGCTGTGCGCGGTGCTCCGCCGTGCTCGTGCGTGTCCTCACTGCAGTCTTCCAACCGCGGACCAATTGGTCACTGCCCAGGCACTGCAAGACGAGACGATTACGAAGCTCTTCCAGGGGCGCGACGGGCGGGGGTACCTCATGCACGCAGCCACGAACGTCAAACTCGGCGCACGGGAGGACCGCAGTCTCATGTGCGTGCTTCTTTCCGCCGCCTCCCTCTGGCTGTGGAGTGCATCGCAGCCGGCCTAACACACACGATAGCACGGGCGTGCACACGGTCGCGGACCTCTTCTGCATGGGCTGCAACGAGCGTGTGGGCTGGTTCTACCACAAGGCGTCGGATTTCAGTCAGCGGTACAAGGAAGGCACGTATCACGCTCGTTTGCTCGGGTCCTCCCCGCCTGCTGACTGCCTGGGACAGGCAAGTACCTGCTCGAGCGCGAGAAGCTCATCAAGGAGAACAACTGGGCGCTGGAGTGAGCCGCAGCTGACGGCTATCATCATTATACACTTGTAATATCAGAGACCCGGAACGAATATGCACACAGCCGGAATCCGACACGGAACGCGACGACTGTTACGTGACCCATATCCCATCCCCGTCCGCGGTCTCAGCCGGCAACAACGCGTCTGCACCGCGCACGACGACGTGTCCCGCATCAGCACGCGCCGCCAGGGGCGGCCGTTTCGCGCGGGCGGGCCTCCGACGCTTTCGTCTGCCTGGGTTTGCATTTGGATTGGGAGTGAGATCGTCTCCACTCGGCTGCTGAAGACTGGGCGGCGGGGACGAAGAGCCGGATATCGATGGCGGGGCAGGGATTCGGCGCGTTGCACCGCAGGACTTGCACGTAAACGCCATCGTGTGCGTGTGCGTTTTCGACGCTGAGGGCGTTCGTTGGATCGTTGTGAGAAACAAATAGACGCGACTCACGCCGTACGCGCACAGAGACTGTGTGTCCGGGGACGAGCACGCCGTCGCATGCAGGGCAGAGGGTCCGTTTCACCGCGGGGTCACTTATGCCGCGTTTGTTGTTGAGTACGAGGACTGCGAACGAGGAGAGGGAGGCACGACACACATGCGTACCGTAGTCCGGCTCGCGACGACCTTCATCGCGCCGACATACGTGCGCGCGAGGTCGGGGGCAGTCATTTTCGCCCTGCGCTTGACGTTCTTTATCTTCTTCTGCCTCCGTTTCTGCAGGCTATCTCTGCCTTCGTCCCCCCTCTCTTCATTCCGTAACGCGGGATCGGCAGTCGAAGTCGAGCTTTCGGGCTGGCCGAGTGAGCTAAGGTACACGCTTGCTTGATACATGAAGTTGAGCCGCTGCATGATGTCTTTGTTCACGATCGCGGCGGGGGAGGGAACAGCGTCCTCTTTGCCTTTCTTGCCCATCACGATGATCGAAAGAGATCTGAGAAGAAGAAGTTCAGGATGGAGATACGATCTAAGAAGAGAGAGAGGGAGATGGTCCAAGTGTGCATCCTCTGTCTGATCTGAATCATCTCATCAAACGCCTTTGCTATCTTCCTCGAAGAGAGATGTCCATCTCAATAATAAGAGGGATCAAGATGGCCAAGGCTCTCTGAGTTCCATCGTCAACTAGGGGGTCGTCTCGTACTGTGCCTAGGACCGCAGGTGTTGCCTCTATCTCCTCCGCCGCCCCAAGTACTGCACCACCTCCCACGTCTGCGAACGCCCTGCCCTCCTATGTTGCAACGCACGCGCCCTGCAAGCGGCACAGGCACCAACCAAGCCAGCCGACTATCAGCCCAGATGTCACGAGCTTCTGTTACCCGTCTGCCACCGCCGCAGGGTCCGGCGCGCACCACCGCGTTCCCAACTCTACAGCGGTCACCGGGTAGGCTGCAGCCCTCACCGCCTCGTTTGGCTGTCAGAGCGGCGGCGAACGCGGGCACTCTGGTCTGACCTCGGCCCCGTCGCCTTCCGCACGAGCACTGCGACGCATGTTCCTCGCCCAGCTGGGCCCGGCGCAGGTATTCGAGCGGCGGGCAATGGGCTCCGTGCTGACTGCGTGCCGGTCACTGTCGACTTTCCGGCTCTCTAGCTCTACGGAACTCGGCGTCCGTCCTTTCTCGAATTTGTGGACAGCCCATATATACTGTACTTGTGCTACAGACTCCGCGTGGCGTGTCGATCAAGCGGCAATGTCAATTGGTTTTTTACATCACGTGCACGAGCACATGGCTTTTGTGGTGCATGCCCAGCGCCGATCGAGCGATGCTTCTCAATCGGGCTCCTCGACACTCCAGCCAGAACCCCACGCCTCGAGGCTCCTATGCGTGACCTTACGATTAGCCGCTGCGAGCCGCGTAAACGCTCTGCGCGTGGTATGGACGGTCGCTGCGTCGCCCAATTTTTTTCGTGTGCGGGAGGCATGCGGTAGGGCTCCTGGGCGGGTCTTTACGCTGCATTTATGTCGTTGACGACAGCGAAGCGCGATTTGGAAATTCGATGGAGGGCCGGTTCGGCGATCTGTGCGGGACGCCGGTGTCTCTCATATATATCATGACCGTTTCTCCACCTCTTCTTCCCCTGAGCATCGCCGTGATTCGGTGCCCAGACATCGCGAGGACCAAAGCTGGCCAGTTTGTAGACGTCGGGTCGCAATTGCTGCTGCTACCATGCGCCTGTGCTAAAATCTTTTGTAACTCTCGGGCCATCGCGATCCCGGCGCGGCCGTGCATTCCCAACCCTCCGTTCCACCCTCGGATTGATACCCGCGATCGATTTGACCGGTCACTGAGGAGCCTGTCTGATCTGACGCGAGACCTCCTTTTCGCTGTCTAGGAGGTGGAGGGGAGACGGCGTCTCTTATATCTCGCACCACCGGCCGAAGGCTGTTTTTGAAGTCCTCTGCCTTCTGACACTCCTTACTTCCCCATAGACAAGACTGAGCTGAAGATGGTGTACATCTCGGTGACCACACTTAATCTGACCATCGGGTGCTTGCTCATCGCCTCGTGGGCCAATTTTATGTGCGTTCTTTTGCCTGGTCATTCGTCATAGAGATGGAGCTGATGTTGCGCTGTGTGGAATGATAGTCTCGTCACTCTCGAGTACGTTTTATTGCTGCTGGACTGATTCTCGGCTCATTTTTTCTCGTCTAGATGTATCGAGTACGCGCACCAGCCATCTTGTCGTGGTACCCAGCTGATGGACCTTGCAGGACTGCGAAGTATTTTATGCGGTATCCTCGAGGTGCGCAATCTTGTCTCTCGCGTCTCTCGCCTGCCGTAACAGTCGAACAGACCAGTGGTTCAACAAAATATCTGTCCTTTCGGCATTCGCGTGTGATATTCTTACGGTGTTCTGCTCTGCGGTCACCAGTTATCTCTACATGGTTACCGTGCGTGCGCTGTCCGCTATCGATTTCCACGGGGACTGAATCGCGGGTGTAGCACTGGGGCAGCGAGGATTACATTGGCACTCAGTGCGTTTTTCCTGCCGCGGATATTCATTCGCCCGGCTTATTAACCTCTTTTTTTTCTATTAAATCAGACCCTGGTCGATCCCTGTGTACATCCTGGGCACGGCCTGCACCGCCGCGATCGTGCAGATCTGGCTGACGCGCATGGTGTACAACCTGACCCGGCAGTGGTATTGGCTGCCAATCATCGCGTTGTTCATCCTCACTGGTATCGTCGGTGGGGCGGCGACCTCCGCGCAGCTGTTCATCAACTCGTCGTACACGGGCCGGCCGGCGCTCGTCCGATACGTCACCAGTGAGTCGACAGACTCCTTTTCGGGAGAACATTTGGCTGACAGCGGATACGAGTCTGGTTGTCGGGCTGTGTGGCGGCTGATGCTATCATCACTGCGATCCTGGTCGTCAAGTTCAGGACGATGAATGCACAGACGACGTTCTCCGACACGCGCAAGTGCGTGCTCCTTGTAGCCGTGTTTTTGCGCGTCTGCTGACCCCGCTGCCAGTCTTATCCGGAGATTGACTATCGCGTCGCTCAGAAACGGGTCGATCACGACCATCATGACGTGCGTCTCTATTTTCACGATTCAACTGGCGAGACTCAACCTCTGCAGGATCATCACTGTCATCGTCTTCAGCGCCCAGCCCGAGGCCAACTGTGGGTCCCATCTGATCTGATCTGCGGATATCTGATCTGACCTGTCACCAGCGGCGACGATGATCGAAATCACGATCGGGCGGATCTACACGCTCTCGATGCTGTCGAACCTGAACAACCGCTCGTCGCTGTTCGGGGGGTCGACGGAGGGCAAGACGTCGGACCAGACGCACCACCACCACGCGAACCACAACAACACGAACACACAGGGCAACGTGCCGACTGTGCTGCGCATCCGGCAGGACATCGAGACGCACTACCAGCGCGACGCGATCCCGATGGAGACGCGCGTCGGCATGAACAAGAGCGAGGGTGACTTGGAGTCTGCCGTCGAGTACCAGGACGGCAAGGATGACGACAAGTATGTCAACCCGTTCTAGGCTCGCCCAGATTCGTTGTACTCGTTACGTTATCCCACTTTCTTTACAAGGAGAGCAGTCTAATCTTCCTGGAGCTGTACAGTAGATCTGTTGCATGCGGTGGTTGTGCACGTGCCATCGCATGGGCCGTTGCGTGGAATATACTGGAGATTTATGGTCAATACGGAAGTATAAACCTCCCAGCCCGATTCGTGCTAAAAGAGGGAAACACGAAAGTGAAATCAGCAGATCTAAAATCGAGGTTAATCACGCTCACAAACTAAATCTGAAATCAAACTTCATAGATATGGAATTATATTCGCTCAGGATACGCCAGCCCTTCCGCAGATTGGGAGACGGGAATTCCTCCGGATGGACGCCATGTCTGAAGTCCTGCGCAAGTTTATGTTGTGCCGCAGACTGCTCTCGTAGCTCACAGAAGTAAGATTATGAAAAAGTTTATATGGCACCGAAATGACCAAAGGTCCAGCGTGGGGGCGCCTAAAGATCCTGTGGCGGCCAAGCCTGTTGACCCTGATGAGTTTCTTTTCTAGCCAAAACCGAGGAAGGAGGGATGTCATGATCGTCAACTATTTTTCACCAAAAATAGTAGATCCCAGCTCCATTGGAATTTATCAAGAGGGTCCGAGTTCCTGATTAAACCCATGTCGCGTGGACTGAATTGGGAAAGAGATTCCGCCACGCGACTGTCACGTGTCCGAGTCGTGATTGACAACCGAAATCGATCGAATGGGTGTGTCCTACCTTGGAATCGCTCTCTCTTCAGCATGCACGCCATCCAGGTGCGCCCATCTCTGTCTCGATCCCACATTCCTCACCCAGCCCCGCCTATAGCAACACTACTGGTCTGTCCGCGAGTACCTGAGTCCTGTGAGGCCTCGTTCCACGGGTGGAGTGGCGCCGTTGCTCATCAGCATCATGACCTAGGTTCTCAAAGAGAGCAAGTTCAAGGAACACGGGCGAATCACACCCGGTGAGTTCGCACTGCTCCATGGCCTCTTTCTCATCGTCTAATCCATCGCCTGGTAGAGGAATTCGTAGCCGCAGGCGACTTCCTCGCCTACAAGTTCCCTGTTTGGAGCTGGTCAGTCCTGCCGCGTGCCCTCCTGCCTCCCGCACCCAGCTGCTGACAACCCATCCTCTGGTCATCAGGGAAGCGGGCGACGCATCCAAAGCGAAGGACTACCTCCCGGCCGATAAGCAGTACCTGCTCACCCGCGGCGTGCCGTGCCTGCGCCGCGCAACCTCGCTAGCGTACACGGACGCTGACGAGGACGCAGAGCGGCTGCTCTCGTTCGGCGACTCGACTGGCGCCGACGAATGGGTCGAGACGCACGCGGGGCGCTCGGCCAACCCGGACTCGTCGAATCCCGGCCAGATCGACGATATTCCGGACTTGGATGGGGGCGCCGATGACGCGGTTGCCCAGGGCGTCGGCGCGCTGTCTCTCGGCGACGATCCGACCCCCGATTTGGATGATATTCCGGATATGGAGGAGGAGGGGCTTGAGGAGGAGGAGGACGCGGCGACTGCTGCGCCCAAAGTCGTCGCCCCCGCCAGGTGCGCAGCGCTATCACATCGATCGTGATCGACCCCCACTGACCGCCTCGCTCATTGCCGCGCTGCAGCCAACCGGAAGCCGCGGCGACGAACGCCAACCTACTCCAAGTCCGAACGTACGATGTCATGATAACCTACGACAAATACTATCAGACTCCGCGCATCTGGCTGATTGGCTATGATGAGGTGCGGCTCGCCTGCCTCGTGTTGCTCGCGACTCACGGTCTGGATCTTCAGAACGGCACACCGCTGACCCCGCAGCAAATCTTCCAAGATGTGTCCGCCGACCACGCGTTCAAGACGGTCACCATCGAGGCGTTCCCGAACTCGGCGTCGCTGCAGGCGGCCTCCGTGCACCCGTGCAAGCACGCGAGCGTCATGAAGAAGGTCATCGAGCGCATGAACAGCAGCGTCGTCGAGGAGCAGCTCGCGCAGCGCAAGTCGGCCGGCGGCGGGAGCAAGGACTCCAAGAAGAAATGGTTCGGCCGCAAAGTCAGCGGGAGCGGCAAAGACGATGCGAAGACGGCAGGGGAAGAGGAGGAGGTCGAAGGGATGCGGGTCGACTTTTATCTGGTCGTGTTCCTCAAGTTCATTGCATCCATCGTGCCTACTATCGAAGTCGACTCGACCACTTCGTTCTGATATCTCCCTCTCGCCTGCTCGTGGACCCCCTCGATACCCATTAATCCATACAATGTATCTGTACATAAACTGACCGATCGATTTAGTAGAGAGCCACACAACGATGTCCCACGTACTCCGGAAGTGCCCAGGTGGGTGATGGATTGCACTGGGCGATCGCAATCGGCCCGTCAGAAAGATGCACTACGAAACTACTCTACGGCCGTGACGCCCTCTGCTTTCTTATCTTTCTTCCTCTTCTTCTTGTCCACTTGCTCGCTCGTCTCCGCCTTGGCCTCCGTCTTGGCCTTCTTTTCTTTCTTCCTCCTCTTCTTCTCGTCGTCTCCATCCTTGGGTGCGTCGACGTCCATTGGCGTGTCGGTCGCGTCCGTTTCCGCCTTCTTCAACTTTTTCTTCTTCTCTACGGGTGCTGCGTCCGACGCGACTACATCCACATCCATGGAGGTCCTTGCGTCCTTGCTTTTCTTCTCCTTCTTCTCCTTCTTCTGTTTCCTTTCGGCCGTCTCCACGACAGCGATAGTCTCCGCCTCGTCCTCGTTCCGCTTTCGCTTCTTCGACGACGCAGAGACCGTCTCGAGCGGCGCTGGGTCCTCGGGCGCGGTATTCACGGCATCCGCAAGTTTTTGGGCGCGTTTTAGCCGTTTCCGCTCTTTCTTGAGCTCGGACTCGAGTTCTTTTGGGGTTCTGGGAGGCACGTTTTCTGGTGTTGCGGCCGCGTCCTGAGGATGTGTGTTAAGTGCGTGAAGGATTGCGATAAATGAGCTGTGAGGGACTGACCGCGCTTGCCGCTGCCTTCTTGGCGGCTCGTTTTTCCGCTTTGCGTTTCAATTTCGCCTCTAGCTCATCGGCAGCAGATGATTCCTGACGGAAATTAAGTCACAAGTGAAGTGGGTGTAGGAAGGAACGGACACTCACAACGGTCGTTGAAGCCTTCTCCGTCGCCCGCTTTTCAGCCTTCTCGGCCTTGCGCTTCAGCTTGGCCGCGAGCTTCTCCTGCTTCGCCTTTTCTTTTTCCTCCTTCAGATCTTTCTCCACTTCTGAGTACTTTGGCGGGGCGCTGGGCTTGGTCACGGATACGGGTGTCGGGGGCTGGCTTGCGGCTCGTCGGCCTCAGCGGACGCAGGGGTAGGGGGCGATATGCGGGGCGAGTTGCCGAGGGGGGTGCTATTCGGGCCGGTCCCGCGCGTGGGGATCCAGCCGCCATTCCAGCCGCCCCGTCCACCGCCCCGTCCGCCCCTCGAGCCACCGCGTGCATTCTGATGCACGTCGTTCTGCAAATAGGTCAATGTTCGTGTGCACGGCCAGAGAAGGGGCGATCGCACGCACATGCCGGGGGCCCTTGTACACGCTCTTCTCGTATTTCTCGGCTTCGCTGACGCAGGACGTGTGGCCTTTGAACTCCGCTGGGGTGTTGAAGGTCTTGGAGCAATCGATGCAGTCGAACCCGGCGTAGCAGCGTCCGTAGTGCTGATCGAGTTTCGGCTTCTTCACTGTGTCCTGGCAGGCATGGCATCTAGAGGTGGGAGATTGAGTTCAGGTGTTGCCGTTTGCGGGAGCACGGACTGGAAGGACACCATACTGGCTGACACGGAGCGGCGGCGGAGGAGACTCGAACTTGAGCTTGAAGCTCGGCAAAGGGAAAATTTTGACAGCTGTCATTGAAACACGTGTCCGCAATTTGCTGCTTGGACCACCACCAGCTATAAAAGTACAGATATATATAATTACATTCGGCTCTGAAGTACAAACTTCAAGAGGTCGACATCCTGACAACCCAAGTCTCCGCACACGGCTCAGCGCCCGGCAGCATCCGCATATCCTGGAACTCCTCCAGCTTCTCCAAGCCCTTGAAGATGGTCGCCCCACCCAGCCAATCTATTCTCTTGTATCTAGCATCCTGATTGTCAGATCGTTTCTTGGCTGCCTTCTCAATTGTTTCGCGCTGTTTCCTGTCCAGGATGATAATCCCCCACTCGGAATCGGCGATCGGCTCTTGCAGCTGCAACAGACGGATGAGAGCCGGACGGATATAAGCAACGCGCGCTTACAGCCTTATAAAGGGCGTCCCAGATGACTTCGCAGGTCACAGGGCTGGCGGACACGATTTCGATGGACCACGGGAAGGCCTTGGAGATCAGCCGCACATGCGTGGCCTGGTTGGACGTGGCGACCAGCAGGCGGTTGGGCATGTAGATAGCCTGCGCGATCTCGTTCCGCGCCTGCCCCCGCACGTCGTATCGCACCGTCGTCGTCCCCAGCGCGAGGATCGGGTTCAGGGTCGGGTACTTGACCGAGTTGAACGCTGGCGCTGCGGTCAGCAATGCGTCTCCTCAGCAGTCAGATGTTCCGGCGCGACTGGGGAGCGCACCTCCGTTGACGGTGGGGGCGTTCCACCCCGGCTGCGCCCAGTATGACGCGTATTGCGGCGTAGCGTATCCGGGTGGGAAGTAGCCCGCGGGCTGTGGCGCCCAGGGTGGAGGTGCTGCTGCTCCCCAGGGGTTCATCGTGAGGGCTTGGTGGGATGAATGTGGAGGATAAGATGTGTACAGACGCCGGCGCGACTGATTCCGGAGCGAGTCAGATGACGTCGAGTCACTGGAAGCTGTAAACGCCCGCGGATGATGATTTCGAGTCAGAGGGCTGTTGAAAGCAAGAACAGACGCGGATAGAGATCATGATCTGTTGTCTTGGGCGCATCAGATAACAGACAAACTGACTAGAGAACTCTGGAACCTGCCTGAGAATTAGATCATCAACTCTCAGTTCCAGGCACATGTATTTGACAACTGGCAGGGCTCTGAGGGCGGCCTCCCCAACGCGTATGTTTCTTCATCGAAGGTGTTACAGTTCACAATACTAATCAGAGTGGAGAGACCGCTTTTCTTCTCGCGAATGCTTCTGATTCAAGACTCTCACCTCATAAGTTACAGTTGTACTTAATGAGATCCCGAATCTGATTATCTCCAGTGTTAGTATTTTTACGTCAAGTCCAGATGGGGTCACATGACGATCCACGTGAGCCTTCCGGTCTTTTGATGTGTCCGGAGAAGTTCAGTTTGGTTCGCGAAGCCCAACTCAATTGTGTACATACTTCAAATCCAGAACCACCGGATATCTCTCATCACCGAACCCCGCTCGTTCTACAATTTGTGCCGCATCGAGAAGTACGTTAATATAGCTGATATGCGGTATGTTGTGCAGCTAATTTTCGTCGGTTGTGCACCAAATCTCCACTCTGAAGCTACAAATAGTATTGTATTTTTTTCGTGGATTGGGGATCTGGTGTCCAGTGCAACCAAACACAATTTTTCACTCATTCCTGCATCGCTTCCGAATATATAAATACAACTCCCGGCGTAATACGACTCGCTGTCGTCCTGTCGCAGATGTTCCTGGAACATGAAGTTTGGACTGGTGCCACTTCATGGACTTCGCGAAGCGAGCCGTCTTCGGTCTGCCTTGAGCCAGATAATTTGTGGGATCCTGTTCATCCGTTGTCTCTTTCGCAACTGACGAAGGCGCTTTCATTCTCGTTTGAGCCGTGAAAGCAAACTTTGGTGAACGCGTCGTGACGAGAGCACGTGAGGAGTGACTCGGACACCACACAAAACTTAAGCGTCTTACTCCGAGTCCCAATGTAGCAAGTACACAGCTCCTCTCGTCTCCCGCAGATATGAAAACTGGATCTTCCATTCATTCGCAAGTGCCAGAGAAGTCGTTCGATGCGACTTGGTCTCGCGTTTCAATGCAGATGCGCTTATAAGCGACACGGCTGTATGCCCCGTTCACTGACACAACCATTCGTTGGCACCTCCGTCTGGCCTCCATGTCTTGGTCGCTTCTTCGCGCATCTGCACGAATTGCCGCTGCTCGTGCCCCTGCCGCCCGTCCTGCCGCCCCCCGTGTCTCTCGCGTCGCATACCGCCACTACTCGACCGAATTCCCGAAAGCACCCAAATGGTCAGCACGCACCGGCCTCAAAGCTGGTGTCGCGGCAGCCACCCTGCTCGGCGGGGGATTCTTCTTTCTCCCCTCCTCCTCTGACCTAGAGACTCGCGCGAAGAGCACGATCCAGGTGGCCAAGGTCGCGGCGAACCTCGCCCCCACGCAGGAAGAATACCAGAAGGTGCGTGTACCGTGCTGGGCATATCAGCATGAGCGTGAAGTAGGTCTGATATCGAATCAGGTGTACAACAAGATCGCCGCGCTGCTTGACGAGGCGGATGACCATGACGGCGCGTGTGGATTGCTGTTATCCACTGCTCATACTGACATTGGTTTGATACAGACGGGTCGTATGGACCCCTTATCCTCCGTCTTGCGTGGCACTCTTCGGGAACCTACGACAAGAACACCAAGACCGGCGGAAGGTGCTTTCCCCACCTTTCTCCCCTCTCTCCAATTCACTCAGTCTGATGTGCTGCTGCCTATCAGCAACTTCGCTACTATGCGCTTCAAGCCTGAATCCGACCACGGCGCAAACACCGGCCTCCAACTCGCCCGAGACCTGATGGAGACGGTCAGGACCGAGTTCCCGTGGATCACGTACGGCGATCTGTGGACCCTCGCGGGTGTCGCCGCTATCCAGGTAGTGTTTGCTACGATGGTGTTACCTGCAGCTCAACCTCGTCCGTGCGGCTAGGAAATGGCGGGTCCTAGGGTTCCGTGGAGGGCTGGCCGCATCGACGGCTCGTGCGACGACGTCACGAAGGATGAGCGGCTGCCCTCTCCGTTCAAGGACGCCGCGCATCTCCGCACCGTGAGCGCTCTCTCGGGTTTCCTTTGCGCCCCATCCTGACGGACATTCTGATAGATCTTCCATCGCATGGGGTAAGCAAACGGTTTCAGTCAGTAGGCTCAGTTGGGAAACTGTTGCATAGCTTCAACGACCAGGAAATCGTTGCTCTCTCGGGCGCTCACGCGATCGGTCGATGCCATCCCCCCATGTCAGTCTCTCCCTTGGCAATGCAGACGTTTTGCTCATTCCTGCGGATAGCTCTGGAATGGACGGCCCGTGGACGTTCTCGCCGACTACTCTGACGAATGATTACTTCCGAGTGCTCTTCAGCGAGCGGTAGGTGACCCTGATTATCTGTTTGGTACGATGCTCAATCTTTGTTCAGCTGGGTGAAGAAGGCGGGGCACGACCACCAGTTTGAGGACAAGAGCACCCGCTCGCTCCTGATGATGCCGTGAGCATCAGGTCTCCAAGACTGATCATATCCGTTGCTAATCGTTTCCAGCACCGATCTGGTTCTCCTCTCTGACAAGACCTTCAAGAAATTCGCCAAGGCGTATGCTGATGACAATGATCTATTCTTCAAGGAGTGGGTCCCGCCTTGAGCTTGCGGGGGGATCGTGTACTGATGTTTATCCCAGCTTCTCGGCGGTTGTTTCCAAGCTGTTTGAGCTGGGTGTTCCACCCGCCCAATGGGTGTCGCCTAAGCCCTGGACGATGAAAACACTCGACGAGCAGAAAGCATGAACTCGCTCCTCCCGGTTTCTTCCCTCGAAACAGCGGTATTATCATAAGACTAGATGTCATAGTCAGGGTGTATGCCGCACTACTAGTAATGCCACTAATTGATTGCGAGTATGACTTGGTCTCGGTCATCGTCAGTGCGCGCGTTACAAGACTTCGAACCGGGCGTGCAGAGCACAGCATGCGCGCGCCGCTTATACAACGTCGCTTAGTACTTGCCTATGCCTCGATTTGAGATATGACTCATTTGCACGAAAACACGCGGAACAGCTCGCTTGGGATGTAATCGTGCAAAGTCACCGCCGATCGCTTAAGGAACACAGAGAGGCCCGCTGACTCCGCTCACGGCCAAGCCTCACTTCTCAACTGCAGGTGTGCGGGGTTGCTGCAGTCGTGTGTGTGTAGGACCGCCCGCGTCTGGTTTGGAGGCACATCGGTGGTGCATTGAGAAAGCCGGATTTTCTGCTCGGGAGAGGAAATCAGGCAAACAGCAATGTCGAGTGAGTGCGGACAGTTGCGAGTAAGTCGCCATGCGGGCCGGCGGCGCCTGATCGGGGAACGCGTCGTGACGAGGCACGTGGGGGGTGACATCTACAGAAGATTACACAATTTTGGGTGATCAGGCGCGTCAAATCGAGCGCTTACTGGGGAAGAAGTGAGCCCACACGCAGGTTTTTTTTGAGCTGACAAAGCTCTGGCGCTGCATCGAGCAGTGGCGCGCTATCGAACTTCCGTTGCGCGAGACTCGCGATTTGTTCGTCGACATGAAAATGAGCTATTTCCAGCTGAGGGTGGGAAGTATGGATGTCGGTGTACGACATCCGTGACGCAAGACATCCCGATGAAGCAAAAAACTTTCCGTTTTCGGCCGCCTCCAAAAATTCACGGACTCGCAACACAAACCTGCTTTGGATCTAAAGTGCTACATGGATCGCGGATAGAGAAATCGTCGCGATGTGATTGGTTAGTCAATCACGGGTAAATACCGGATTGATCCCCAGGCGACAAATACCGGGCCTGATACTTACATATAAACAACACGCTAGTACTCGTCTTGCACCCTCCTCTGTCTGCCCTCCATCCCCGATGTCTCTGTCTCTCCTCCGCTCATCCGTAGGGCGCACCGCCGTCCGCGCGGCTGCCGCCCGCTCCGCTGCACCCCGTGCCTCGCGCATCGCCTTCCGCAAATACTCGACCGAAACTCCGACGCCCCCGAAGGCGTCTTCTAACACCGGTCTTATCGCTGGCGTCGCAGCGGCTGTCCTCCTCGGCGGCGGATTCTACCTCTACTCCTCCGCTGACGCGGAGACCGCGGCGAAGAGCAAGATCCAGGCCGCGAAGGCCGCCGTCAAGTTCACCCCCACGCAGGAGGACTACCAGAAGGTGCGCGCGCCCATGTGCCTCCCCCACAACCGAGCGCGCAGCGAGCTCGATTTTTCTTTTTTTTGCGTAGGTGTACAACAAAATTGCCGAGCTCTTCGATGAGGCTGGTGACTACGATGGTGCGTCTCGATCTCCGATCGCCGATTCCGCGCCCCTCCCTGACTCACGGCAACGATTACAGACGGGTCGTATGGACCCGTTGTCTTGCGCCTTGCGTGGCACTCGTCGGGGACCTATGACGTGGAGACCAAGACCGGCGGAAGGTACGCCGTTCCACCCACCTCCGGCGGGGTGATCTGACGTTCGGCTGCTTACCAGCAACTACGCTACCATGCGTTTCGAGCCCGAGTCCCTGCACGGCGCGAACGCGGGTCTCGACCTCGCCCGGGGCCTGATGGAGAAGATCAAGGCCGAGTTCCCGTGGATCTCGTACGGCGACCTGTGGACCCTCGGCGGTGTCGCCGCTGTCCAGGTGCGTGCCGTGATCATGACGATGACGCATGCTCCTGTCCATGTCCATTTCTCCGTCTCATCGGCGCGCTTAGGAAATGGCTGGCCCCAAGGTCCCCTGGAGGGCCGGACGTATCGACGGCACTATCGAGAAGGTCACGCCCGATGGACGGCTGCCCGATGCGACGCAGGGTGCTGCGCACCTGCGTGCTGTAAGCGGCTTCCTGCTACATATTGCTTATCGCGGGACACTGACGGACGGATGTTCCCATAGATCTTCTACCGCATGGGGCAAGTGAACTCTATCGGTGGGAAGTTTTACTGACAAGAATCATGATTCAGCTTCAACGACCAGGAAATCGTGGCTCTCTCCGGTGCTCACGCTCTCGGTCGGTGCCACAGCACCCGGTGAGAGCTTCCTCGCCTTGGACCGCTGCTGTGTGGAATGCGCGCTCATGGGGATTCGTCGCAGCTCCGGATTCGAGGGCCCGTGGACCTTCTCTCCGACTACCCTGACCAACGACTACTTCAAGCTGCTGTTCAGCGAGAGGTCAGTGGCTCGGATCATTCTCTCAGGGACGATATTCACACTGTCTGCAGCTGGGTGTGGAAGAAGTGGAGCGGCCCGAAGCAGCTCGAGGACAAGAGCACACGTTCGCTGATGATGCTTCCGTGAGCAGCCCTGCCATTGAACGGCGTCTGGACTGGGCATTGACCGTTCGCAGCACCGACTACGTTGTTATCTCTGACAAGAGCTTCAAGAAGTTCGCCAAGGCATATGCCGACGACAACGAACTGTTCTTCAAGGAGTGCGTCCTCAAGTTGTCGTCCTTTTTCATCTACTGACAGACGGCATCCTAAGCTTCTCCGCTGTTGTCGCGAAGCTCTTTGAGCTGGGTGTCCCCGCTGAGCAGTGGGCGTCGTCTGAGCCGTGGACGATGAAGACGCTCGACGAGCAGAAGGCATGAGCGCCGTAAGACCTCGATTTTCTTGCTAGACGCAAAGTGCTAGACTAGATATACAAGTCGAATGTAGACAGATGTTCGATGCTACTATCTGATAAGTGTTCTTGGTCCTACGAAAAGTCTTATCTCGGTATTGCATGATCATGATTCCAGACGTTTCTGAGAGATAACTCGGGCCTCATTTCTTGGCCAGGCCGATGATTACACTATGAAGAGTGGGTGATTCATTCGATGCAGTGGGTACATAATATGTTACATACAAGGAAGCCCTGGGAGAAAGTCTATGGATGCTGTCTAGGTTCTATATCATTAAATATCGGTCAGCGGAGAGCCGGCGTGCTGGGCAAACTGTGCGTCCGTTCCGTCTCCTCGTACGACGGCAGCCCCTGCATGCTCGACAGCGGGGGCACGCCGCCGATGAACCCGCGCGACGCAAAGCTGTAGCCGGGCACCTCGGTGTACGCGCGCTGGAGCATCGTCGGGTTCGTCTCCGTCATCGTCAGCGTGCGCGCCCTGCGCTGCTCGATGCTACTACTGCCGCTGCCGCTGCTGCCCGCGGCCTGCGCGTGGAGCGACGCCGCGGACGACACCGCCGCGAGGCTCGACAGCGACGTGTGGGACGACGAGCGCGGCCAGTGCGGATGCGCGAGCGCCGTGAACGGCTTCATCGACGCCGCGAACAGGCCCTGCAGGTTCCGGCTCGCGTGGCTGCTGTGGATGATCGTCCCGTCCCCGGGCGACGACGTCTCGCGCTCGCGCTCCGGGCTCGATGCCCGGCTCCCCCGCCGGCTCGGTCGCGAACTCGGTGGATGGCTGTTGTTGCGGCTCGGCGGGTGGCTGTTATTGCGGCTTGGCGGATCAGAGTCGGAGGTCGTCCCCGACGCAGGCGTGTCCGACGGCCGGCCGTTGGACTCCATCGTCAGCAGCAATTCCGAGTTGAGCCAGTCCAGGGGTGTGCTGTCGCCCGAGCCAGGCGCATGGGGGAGATGCGAGAGGTAGTTCGCGTCGAGCGGGGACGCGTGCCCAGAGCGGCTCAGGATGGCTGGGGTGTGCATCCCCGACGACGACGAGCTCAGCGGATTCGTCACGCGCATCGTCGCAGCTTCCGGCAGGTACATGTTCGCCACCCGGTCGCGCACGTGCGATGTGTAGCTCGGCAGCTCGACCTCCTCCTCGACTGCGGCAGGCGGGACCTCGGAACCCCCGATGAGCAGCCGGCGGGTCGCGGCGGTGTGCGCGCGGGCTTCGTTCAGGAGCCGTTGGTCCAGCAGATGGATTGGCAGAGAACACCGGAGCTCGGATGTGTGTCCATCCGGATTGACGATAAGAATGCTCCACCGCAGGCGATGCGAGACAGTGATGGGGTCTAGCGTGTGCGTGGGTGTGATGTTGGTGGGAACGACAATCGAGAGATACGTGACGACATCGTCCGAGCCCTGCAATTCAAGGTCGCTGTTGGTATCGGAGCGGCCCACGTTGTTGTTATCGCCGGCTAGGCGAGATGGCCCGGCTTCAGCATTGACGGGAAGCGAGAAATACCCGCCACCCGATGCTGGCCCAGGGGTGTTGACCACCATCGCAGTTCCCGGCGTCGCGGGCCGCGGTCGGTCAGACGCCTCCACGGCCTTGCCCCCCACAATCTCGTGCCTGCTCGACGCCACTACGCGCGTGTACTCCTGCGACACCCGGCCCGCGTGCAGCTTCGTCGTCTCGTTGATCGTCGTGTTGACCGTCACGACGCCGACGCCCTTGACGAGCGGACTGAACTTGACGAGCGCAGTGATGGTGTCCGACGCGGCCCACGCCTTGTGCGGGATCATGATCGAGTACATGAGCTTCTCCGGCCAGGTGTTCTCGATCTCCAGCGTCTGCTGGTACTCGAGCGCCTCGGCGGAGAACGAGCGCAGGATGTACACGGGCGCGACCGCCTGCAGATTCGAGTTGAGCCCCGAGCGCACCGCATGCGCGCGCAGCTTGTACGTGACCGACGCGCCCCCGAACGCAGTCGTGTACACGCTCGACGGCAGCGACCCGCCCACCTGCAGCTGGAACGGGAAGAAGTGGCGCCCCGCCTTGAGCGTATGGCTGTGCTTCTTCTCGCCCTCCAGGAACGACCAGTCGTGGTTGCATACGATGTACGTCGAGGCCGAGTTGTTCAGCGTGATTCTGCGCAGCGGGATCAGCACCGGAAGGATGGAAAGCCACGGACGACGCACGACTCGTGTGGCGAGGCTGGGAGCCGTGCCTTGCCTCGGAAGTGCAGCGTGATTTCTTTGATCGGCGTGCTCTCCGCCAGGTACAGGGCGACATGTCCTGTGAGGCGCGCGGACTCGACATCGTTGCCGGTGCCTTTGAGGACGAGGAATTCGTGGTCGAGGTGGATTTCGAGGCCCTGCGCGAGAGGTAAGCAAAAGCCGGGCAAGTCCGCGGCGCAGCAAGCCAAGTCGACGTACCGGGCGCTCCTTGCTCTCGGGCAGCGACATCGGCCCGGGGTCCATGCGAGGGAGAGGCGCCAGGTCCTCCTCCGTATGTGGGGAGCCATTGTTCACAGGCGACGACGGTCGGGTCAATGAAAATGTCATAATCGAGGGTGGTGTGGCCTGAGCGACCACTCGAGCCGTACTTGTTATAGGGGTGTCGGTCGACTCAGCGGTCCTGATCGGGCAAGACGCAAATGGGGAGGCCCTTGGGAGGACAGCCTTGGAAGGACTACGACTTCTACAGACGAAGAGATGATGGGTGCTGGAGCTGAAGGATGACGCGGGTGACTCGAGAATGAGGGTGATTTTTGTGCGCGCGATGTTATCTTCCGGTTGACATTGCTTCCGACGTCTTCCGACCACGGCGATATAAAAAGTGTCTGATCGGTTTCATCATCCACGACGCGCGGATAATCACAGATGCTCTGCACCGGTAGCCAGAGCGATCTCGTCTGGTCTCCATTCCCGTCGTCGCCTCGTGCATTTCATCCACGCAGGTGTCATTATGAATCAGCCTAGATTAGTGGTGCTATCTAGCGAGGTACCACCCCGAAAATCCGCGGTATATCCTTCATCCAGTATGTAAATCACGCTTTATACAAGGTGTCCAAAAACGCGGTCGCTAATTGACCGACCATCTCGGGCCCAACCGCGCTTGAGTTTCCCAGACCTGCGAGCGAGTGAGCGAATCGGACCGGGGAGAGTGAGTCCGTGGACTGACCATAGACTGCGACCATCGAGCCCTTGCCGTCAGGTTCTAGTTTGGCCTCGCTTACCGAATCTTTCAAGTCCGCAATGAACACTTCCAGGTTATCAACTGTCAGCCGCTGCGAACAGAGTTGCCTTCAGCATGCCAGACGCCACAGCTCGCCTCTCTCTTACCGTGCATGCGATGTGGACAGCAGCCGGGCCGGTCAGCCCATTGAGGTGCCAGCCCCGTTTCGACATCTTGTCACCTACTTCGAGCACATTCACCTTGGGGTGCTTGGACCCAAACGCGACCACCGAAGCAGGCGGGGACCCCAGAATGTACAGCTCGGGAATGGAAGTCGTGATGGAGTCAGCGATGGCCCGCGCGCAGGTAACAATCGAGCGACAGGACTCGAGATAGCCACTGCAACAAGCTATCTCAGCGTGCGGCAACAATCTCGGAGAAAACTATACATACTCTGATCCCATGTACTGCATCGCAGCCCAGGTTCCCGCAATCAGCGCTCCAGGTCTGAGAAGCGCTGTTCGTTAACCAAGTCAACGGGATGGAATCAGCTTCTTACCGGGAGCCTGAGATGCTCGGGCTGGCATAGACACCACCTGCAGGCAAAAGTCAGATTCGTCGAACAGAAATATGCCAAATGTCGGCTGACCAGACCAATCAGGGTTGACGTAGTACTGATGTTTTCGCAGCTCGGAGTTCCTGTACATGATCACCGAGGTGCCCTAGGCCATCACTCAGACCATCACAGAAGAGGAAGCACACAGAAAAAACCACCTTGGGCGCGAATCCGTACTGCAGAAGCACATGTGAGAAAGCCGTCCGATGCGAAGCATGAGTCGTCGTCATACCTTGTGCGTGTCGCAGCTGATGGCAGTCACGCCCGGCACTCTGAAATCGAAAGGCAGGAGCTTGTATTTCCCGTCCGTGCCCTCAGCCAAGCCAGCCTTCTCCAAATACGGAACGATGAAGCTGCCCAGGCAGCAGTCCACGTGCAAACCGATGTTGTACTTCAGCGCAAGCTTGCTCAGGCCCTCGATGTCGTCTTGGTTCCCGTCGGGGAAGTTGATGCTCGAACCAGCCACCTAGCCACATGTGAGCGCGAGTAGCACGTCCCGAAATAGAACAGAAACAGACCATGATGGTGTTCGAGTTGCTGCAAACGTGATCAGCCAAGGAATACATCGAATGGAGCAGCGGCCCTACATGGCGCGTTTGACGGCTTTCAGGTCGACCCTGCGCGTGATGGGGTCGACGGGAATCATGTGCACTTTCACGCCCAGGTATTCGGATCCCTTGTTGAACGCAGCATGCACAGATGTGGGGAGCACACTACGCAAACGGTCAGCACAAGCAACACCTGACCGCGGTGACGCACATTTCGGGCTCCGTAATTCCCTTCACCGCGCGCGCCCAATCCCGATGCGTCTTCACCGACATGATAATGGACTCGGTTCCCCCGGATGTCATCGTGCCGGCGCCTTCCGGGTTGTTGAATAGCTTCAGCGTCATCGCAACAATCTCGGCTTCCATCTTCCTCACTGCCGGGAACACATCGGGATGAAGTGGGTTCGAAACGCAGTATCTCGCATATGCAGCCACGATAACTTTCTCCAAGTCGTCACCGCCGTCTACACTGCGGTGTTAGTGCGAAACCGGTGTCCGGAACTAGAAAAGACGCACGGTAAACGGCTCCAGAAAGTTTGCCGACTCTCCAGCTGGTGTGCGCTTTCTCGTTGTCCATCTTATCCATCTCCGCAAGGATCCATTCCAGCGTCTTTCCCTCCTTGGGAAGCGCAAGGTGCCGAACGACGTCCGGCCCTTGTGGCACCAGCTGCATCTCGATGTCCAACTTCGCCTTGTCCATCTCCGTCTTGACCTTCCTCTGCGCAGCGGGCAGCCGCAGTGCTAGCAAGATAGCATACTAGACGTAGTAGTCAGCATTCCAGTCGCGGTGCAAGCTCCTAGAGACACATAAGACGCACCCGTGCAATCGCAGTATACAGCTCCTTCGCGCTGCCAACGAGCCCCCGCGCTCGGATATGCCGCTGTGTTTTAAGCAAATACCGCAAAGCGACGTAGACGAACAAGGCGGTCCTGGCGACGTCGTAGGCTTTGCTCGCTTGAATTCTGCTACTGAGCTCCATCATCGTGTACGTGTTCGACCGGCCAGCGAGCGTCAGAGAACGAAAAATATAAGTAGCGTCCCAAGTTCCGCCTATCCGTGTTTCCACAACCTGCGAAATCCGCAACCGGCCTGATTCGGAGCGTGTGCCGGACATCGCTGATGGCGTGATGGGGGAGCCCGTGTATCCATCCCTTCCACACTTACATCCTCCGATATCATGAACAGTCTACGCATGGTACCGCCTTCGCGTGCCTGGCGCAGATCCGTGCACTGAATCCACCCACCCCCCGTGCAGCTGGAGCAGGACGACGAGGACGATGCGGCCGAGGTCACTTGGGGTGCGCGCTGACTCGCTTTTGCGCGCCTCATCATCATCCTTCGCATCGCGGCTCACGGCGGACTTTCCGACAGAGGACCAGCAACGCATCAACTCGTTTTCCAAGCTCAACACGCGCCTGAGGAATATGCAGGCGAAGCTGCTGGATCTCAAGGTGCGCCGCGTCCGTTTGCGTGCGCATAGATGTGGGATCGTGACGCGCGGAACAGCAAGAAAAAGAAGCACTCGATGATCTGACAATAGAGCTCGAGCTGGCTGACGAGGACGAGCCCGTCCTGTGAGTTTGCTAGATCATCTAACCACCTCATCTGCCAACTACGTCTCAGTTACAAAGTCGGCGAGACGTTCTTGCACATGCCGCACGGACGCGCTCTCAAACGCGTCGGGAAAGATCAAGCCGATATCGACTCGCAGGTCTCGACACTGACCAACTCAGTAGAGAGTTGTGAAAAGGAGATGAAGGGTCTGAAGGTGACGCTGTATGCCAAGTTCGGTCGCGCTATCAATCTCGACGAATAAAAAAGTACAACATCCGCGCAAAGTACCCGATGATTAAGAATACACGGCCAAGTCTTTATCCAGCACGGAGACCAGACTGGCCGAAGGTTGCTTGGCGTCGTCGCCGATGAACTCTAGCAACGCCTCGAACAAGCCGTTGCGCTGCTCGAATCTCGACTTCGACACGGTCGAGACGCCTTTGGTCTCGCCCGGGTCTTCTGTTTGTTTGATGGCTTGCGCTTCGAATGGAATCCTCGCGATGGGTGAATCGACACTGGTCATCTCCGTATCCTCCGGGGTGTTCGGTCTGGATCGCTTCTTTGGTGGCGAGTCCTCGTGTTCGGCACCGGAGGTCGGATTCGGGTGAGAGGATCTCGCTGGCGAAGAGGGTGTGAACATGAAGGCCATCAGCCCCCGATATAACTCTGCTTCGGCAGGGTCGTCCTGATTCACGAGAGGCAGAATCGAGCTGCGTAGAAAATTGAGAGCCTTGATCTGTGACGAGTCTTGGCACATTTCCCGGAATCTGCACACGATGAGCGATCACGTCAGCGAAGGTTCGCGCGGCTCACTGTTGCTGGCGGATCTTCAGTGTCGCAAGACGAACAATCTCCTCTCGCGGCGCTCGCAGCAATGTCATCTGCCAAAAGTCATCCAGCCTGCGACTCTTCCCATCGTCCATTTCATCGGTATCAGGAACCCCAGCATTTCCGCCATGCATGAAGAACGTTCGTGATCGAGTGCAGTAGACGAGCTGATTCGCAAAGCGAGCCACCGGTTCCTCCTGGCCGGATGCCGGGAGCATTACATCCCAGATTCCAGAGCGGTATCGGTAGATCCTGGTGCCCAATGCCGGCATCCGCACTGGCTCGTCGGGGGCCCACCCCGAGAAGCTGCAGAGGACGTTGAGATACGAAAAGCATGATACGCCACACGCACACATAGATCTCCTGCAGTTGCGGGTCGATTACCGCACGCGAAGCAAACGTTGCATTGAACTTGTGCTCCCGCTGGACATCGGCGGACAGCTGTCTGGTGGTCTGGGTGGCAATATCGTAAGAGTACATGTCGTATCGTGCGCTTTCGGTTGTCCGGCCGCCGAAGATATAGAGCTTTCGTGTGCGATCGTCCAAGACCATCGAATGTCCTGCTGCCCGTCTAGTACGTGAAAAAGACCAGATTCCAGAACACGTACCAATCCTGGAAGGGATGATTCCTCCACTGAACGGCGCAGAAGGCTTGGGACTCGCTCTGCATGTCTGTGAGATGTGTGCCTCGGCGACGGCAGGTTACTCACTGTAGATGAGACCACTTCGACTGGCGGATGTTGTAGCTGTACAGGCCAGCGAACTTGGGATTCGTCCATTCACCATCAAGCACGCGGCCGCCGTATGCGTAGATTATCTGCGATTCACAGTCTATCACCATTTGGTGATCGTACACGAGCGGAGGACTTTGAGCGCTCTGGCGAATCTTCATGAGACCGATATCGAAGTACAAGTTTGCATACACGTACCTGAGGTTCCCTCGACAAAGACTCCCAGCGGCCAGCCATGCTTCCACGAGTGTGATACCGATAGAATTCACACCCGACTTTGGAGAAGGCCATGTCGGCCGACATCAAGTTTGACTCATAGTTGTTGAACTCCAGCTTTCCCGCATCCGCATCGTCCAGTCTTCCAAGCACATAGATATGCCCAGTTTTGCTGTCGAAGACCATTTTGTGGCACGACCTTGCCGACGGTGCGTCCCGTTCCGCCGAAGTTTGGTAGCTCAGCACGCGCCATTTGTCTTCCTTTATGTTGTATGCCCAGAAGTCGTCCAAACTTTTGACCCCGTTCCAGCCCCCGAGTAGATAGACTACGCCACCGTTCGAGTCGATGCACATCGCGTGGCCGCCCCGTGGCGATGGCACGTCCCCGTCCGCGTTCTGGCCCAGTAAACGCCGCCAGACTGGCCGGCACGGCCGCGCGTTGCGGTACTTGTCGAACAGCTCAGTATGGGATAAACGCTCGATGACTTCCTCGGCGGCGGCCCAGTTTCCCTGCAGCACGATGCTCTTGTGCAGCTCGGTGACGAGCGGGTCTTCGGCTTGCAGCCCGCAGCGGGCCAGGATGGCGTCGTATTGGGTGAAGAAACGGTGCTGGCGGAGATACTTGAGGACATGGCGCATTGCCATCGTCTCCCTGTGCTGAAGGTCCCTCAGTCTATGGTGCGCGCACAATGTGATTCAGCCGCACCTGCTCAAACTTGAGTCTCTTCTCCTCGACATACACTTCGTCTTTGATTCCGTGCAGCGCGACGTGCCATACCGATATGTGGAAGCTGCTTCCGTGCGAGCTATAAGGACTCAGCGTCGCACGACAGACAAGGCGAATGCGTATCATCAAACCTGAGAGGCATAATCTTCACGAAGCGGAAGGGGATGGTGATCCCCTGCGCGTTGGTATGCTTGACTGAGAGCGTTTCGGCCTGCGTGTCGTTCTTGAGTTGCGCGTGCAGCACTTCAGATAATGCATCCTCGGCGGGCCCAGCGAACACCTTGAAGTCTTTCATGTTACATGGATGAACTGTGCCGCGTAAGTGGGATCCAAGCTGGAAGCAACCCATCCACGAACCATTGGAATACTGAGCAGATGTTAGACAGCTGTTCACCACAGGCCAGAACACGCACTTTGCCAAAGGTGATAGTCTCTATGCAGGTCCCAAGATCAGCGACACCCCGCAGAGAGAAGTGGGATCTACTCAACGGACTACGGCGAGCGAATCTAGGCGGATGAGCAACCACGGGGGTGAGCCAGTTTCTGGGATGGGACCACCGCTCCACCGGCTCGATTGGTCAGGTGGATTGTCGACGGTGATGTATTCTGGGCGGTAGGGTCCGCTGTGTGGGCTGCTTGTCACCGTGTATCGCAGAGGTACAGATGTTGCCGCCATAGGACTAGATGCGAGTGGCAGCGAGAAAGCAAGTGTCAATCACTGATGATCAAGATTTCAGACTGCAAGTCGGGCGATTGGAGAGGATGGAAATAGTATTTCGGGGGCCATGTACTACAAACGTTGTGGTTCTGTACAATGCTACAAGTAAGACTAGCGATGACAATAAACGACGACGAAAGCATGCAAAAAGAGAGGCAAGGGAGAAAATATGTCAATCAAAGTAGAATGATACAGCGAACAGGGAGAGTAAGTAGGGTGTGGCGGCAAGTACGGAACATGAATCCCATAACTGGAAGGAAATAAAGAAAAGCACAGGATAAGATTACTATGAAAAAGCAGGTGGTGGGCGCGATGAGCCGTTCTCCCTTGGAGGCTTGATGCTGAGATTGGCTTCGAGGAAGATATGGCTGGAAGCAAGTCCGTCAGTCGTGCTCGCACTCGTAAAGGAAGAAAGAATGCTCACTCTGACGGGAAGTTTGGGTCTGGGAAGCCCACAACCTTATCCGTGTACGACCTGTCAATCTCGCCACGCACAGAATTCAGGGCGATGGTCGCTGGCGAGTACCAGATGTAGTCAATGACCCCTTTGAATCCAGGTGTAAAGTTGGTCATGTCCATGATCTCCTCCGGCAAGCCACCCGCGCCCGCTCGCGTGTATGCGCTCTTGAGACCGAGCTTGTGCCGAAGCCCCTCCGAAGTGTACGTACCATACGTATGCGAAAGGAAATCAGGGTGATCCGGGGCCAGAGTGCCATTCGCCAGGAAGTCATAGACGCCAGAGGAAGGCATACTGTTGTAGTCGCCACAGACTAAAAGCGGAATCTTCGTCCCATCAGAGTACACCGGGGCTGGCGGTCGCTCCATTTGGCCATTGACACCGGGGGTGTCCGGCGGTCGCGGTGGATATTTGGCAAACGCATGCGCGATCTTCTCCAGTTCCTCCATCATCAGCGCGGTCTGGACGAGTTTTACATCGCAAAAGGCCGCGTCCCAGGTCAAATGGGTGTTGGACACGATGATGCGGCTGCCCGTTGAAAGGTCCTCCAGCAGACAGACGATCGCTATGTGGTCTCTTGTGAGCACTCGATTGAACATATCGTCCGTCTTCTTGAAGTCTTGACGTTGCATCGCAATGGAGTTGAATTCAATGAGATGCTGCTCCACCAGTTGAAAGCTTGAAAGTGCGGACATAAGCAGCCATTACAGAAACGACTTGGATAATGACACACCGGTTCTTTTTGAAAAACGTGGCGGACCCATCAACGTTGCGGCGATCGGAATCAGTCATCGTCTTATAACGCGACTTGACACCATGCACTCCCTCGTAACCCAAGTCGCCCAGCCGCTGAGTGAAATACTCCTCGAACTGGCGCATATCCACCTCTTGCAAGCAGACGATATCCGGTTCGTTGGCAGTGATCGACTCCAATATGTGCGTCTTGCGGTATTCCCAGGCCAGCGCCCATGTCGGTGTGTACCCGAACACCTTGGTCGTCGCCGCGCGCTCACACAAGATATTGTGCGAATACACCCTCAGCGTCTCTGCCCCGGGTTCTTCGGCTGACAACTGAATCGTAGGCCGCGGAGCTGGCGCAGGGAAACCGGGGCCACTGTCGCGGAGCCAGTTAATGAGCGCCTGAGTTCCGTCCTTCTGGATGATCGACTTCATCGTCCCATCGAGTGGATTTCCCTCCACACCGAGTGTCTTTAACCGGTGAAGCGTCCCATACTCATACGGGATCGTCGTGAGGTGGTTGTCAAACAGATACAGCTCTTTCAGGCTCGTGATCATCCCAATCTCCGGCGGCACACTCGACAGGTTGTTGCCCGACAGATCGAGCAGGTCGAGGTGCTGCAACTGCGCGACTTCCGGGGGCACGCTCGTGAGCGCATTGTGGTTGAGGTAGAGGCATGTGAGGAACGTAAACGTGAAGAGCGCGGAATTCCTCGGTATCGACTTGATGTTCACACCGCCCATGTCCAGCTGTGACCATGTGTTCTCAGGCGGCCGCGGGGCGGCTTGGGGCCGCATCGCGGGGTCCGTCGTCGGGGGAACGGTGGAGGGTGGGTGTCCGACAGCCAGCGCTGATGCCAAGGACGGAGACGGGGGCGCCTCTTCCTCGACCGGCTTGTTGGGGTTCGTAATCGTCACCGCCGCCTTGCCAACACCCCTCGACGCCATGGCACTCGCACGAGCCCGATGATGCGGTGATCTCGACGTCCGGATCGTCTGCGGTGGGATTGAAAAACGGCTCCCAGGCAACCCGTCACGACTCACCTCGTATTTGATCAGCTGGTGCTGCCAGTGGGTGTTCATAGGCTGGGCGGCCGGCGATTGTTGGTGGTGCGTGGGTGGGGACGGGTAATGGCTGAGGGAGTTCTGGTGGTGATGGTGCGGCATGGGCTGCATATGCGGGTGTTGCATCAGCGCGCCGTTCGTAAAGATGTAGCCGGGAGACGTAGGGGGCTGCGCCTGTGGGGGGACGCCAACACCGAGGTGTTGTCGATTCCAAGGGTTGTTCTGGTCATGTAGTGCTGGTAGCTTCTGGGCCATTCCGGGGGATTGTTGTGGGTAGTACATTGCATACTATCCCTCTACGCACTGGGTTCAGTGGATCTGCGCACACCAAGTGGTCGAGCGATGGAGCACATACCAAGTGTCACAACCGATTATGAACGGTGATGTTGTCTGCGAGAAAAAAACAGTCAAAAGACGCCAGAGTGCGAAGATCAGCAGGGATACCTCAAAAACCAAGTCCTGGGAGGGGGATGCAGGAGTAGGGGCCCGCGCACAGCTTGGGATATACAAAATCCTGTACGTCGTCGAATCTCCCCGCAGCTGACACGGACTGCAAACAACTATCGGTCGTAGATCCGGGGAATTTTACGCAGGGAACGAGGAGGACGTATGCAGCAAGAGCAGATGAACAAAGAGTGGTCGTTCACCAAGAGCGGAGTGGCCGATCACGTGTTTCCTTCCACCCTTCTTCTCCAGACCACCTCCTTGAATGTCGGCATCCTCCTCGCTACCCCCCTGTGTCCTATCCTGTCCTGTCGTTCTCTCTGTCTCTACAAATGGCAATGATCATATTGTTTCTCGCACGCAACCGGACTTTCGGGCCAGGATCCCAGTCCACGTCCCAGCCATGCCCGGGACTGTGACGCCATTCTTACACAGGCCACGTCGTCTTACGTCGTGTTAGGCTCGTCCACTCATATTCCTCTAAACTGCCTTCGCAGTACATTCATCCGACGTCGTTATGCGACCGGGCCACGCAGGCTTTTCTTCCCCAAGTGTTGCAAGAAAAGCTTGTTCATTTACGCCTATCGTCCTAAAGGTTCCTACTTTATGTATACAGACTCATGGCAGGGAGCCGGAAACTGTATGCACGCTGGCTACGCGAAATACAGCTAGCCGGCCCTTCAAGTAAGCTCTTAGCTCCGCCCTGTGGCCCGGTGCCCAAAGTAGCTAGCTGCGCGAAGCGCGCCATAGTGACCGACGCCTAGAATGATATAAGTATACACGTATTGATTGATACATTGGCCCTTGGTGTGCTGGCGCCGGCGCCTCCCACTCCGCCCAGGGATCAGTCCTGGTCGTTCTGATCTCTCGGTCGGTACTTGATGCCGCGCGACTCCAGTTCTTGTTCGACGTCCTCGGGCACGCGGCCGCGTACGCGGATGGCGTAAATCCCCCGCACGTATTTAGCTGGGGGCCTGTTCAGTCCTTTCCGAAGGAAGGTGAAAGCATCAAGGGCCACTGACACGTCCTCTGCCATTTGGCCACCCAGCTGACCTCGGGTTGGATCACGGCGATGCACCCATCGTAGTATGTCGTCGTGCACGCGCGCACGCGCTCCGTAGAGTTTTTCATCTGTGAAAGAGCGTCAGTTCGATGCACGCAAGCAAGGGGGGAGCAGCCGGCAGTGACCTGCATCACGTCTTCGCAGTTGGGACACCCGTTTCTGCGGAAATCGAGAGGCGACTGGATGAGCGAGCAGAGGAGACAAGCGCGGAGCTGCTTTGCGCCTCTCAAGGTGCCGGGGATGGCTGCCGATACCGATGGTCCAGAGGTGTCTTCCATTGCACTCGATACAGGCAAGTAATGAAGGCGCAAGCAGAAAAGGTGTGTGTGCGCACAGCCACCCATCACACGACTCTTCCACGCCCAATCAATTCCCACTTCCGAGGGTATGAGCAATGTCGGACAGCAACTCTTCTCCGGTTAGCACAGCGCATCCTGCCTCCGCACGTACGTGAACGAGACCAACGGACGGATAGGCGCTCTCTCTGGGTTCGCGTCCAGCGTATTCCTCCAACCATGTACTTACTCAGCCCGTCAACATGCCCGTCCATTCACTGACGGCGCCATCGCAGTTGATTTGTTGAAGACGCGCATGCAGCAGGGCGATGGTGCGGTGCACACCCGGTACGCTCTCAGCACCGGCCCAAGTACTCGACTCACCTGGCGCAGAAACACGATCGCACAAACTGCGAAACAGGTCGTCGCGTCGAACGGTGTGTCGGGTCTGTGGCGGGGCACGAATGCGACACTCCTCAGGTACATCCTCCCCAAAATTATAGAGATAGGGAGAGATCGCAGCCTGCGCTAACGTAGCGCAGGAATGTCCCTGGGGTGGCGCTGTACATGACCAGCCTCACGCAGCTGCGCGCCCGCATGGCACGGGTCCCTTACTTCATCCAGGCGCAGCCCACCCAAAACAACGGCTCCGGCTCCGTCCTCCCGAAACTGACGAGCCAGGGCAACCTCATCGCGGGCGCGGTCACGCGCGTGTCCGCGGGGTTCGTGCTGAACCCTTCTCTGTGCTCAAGGCCCGGTATGAGGTTCGTGTGCAGCCGCACTGCATCCGCCGCCTACATCGTTTGACGTGTCGTGTTCCAGAGCAACATGTACGCGTATACGAGTCTGGGGGCGGCGTTCACGTCGCTCGTGCGTCTGGGGCCCTCGGAGCTGCTCCGCGGCTTCATCGCCTCGTCCCTGCGCGACGCCCCGTACGCCGGGCTATTCGTCGTGGTCTACGAAGGCGTCAAGAAACGATCCAGTGCGTTTCCACCCCTCCTCGTCCCACCTCAAACTGAATACAAAACCACAGGCCATCTGCTTGAATCTTCCTCATTCGCGCAGTCCTCCGCGCTGCACACGACATCGGCGGCCTCGGCGGGTGTCATCGCGACGCTGGCGACGCACCCATTCGATGTGATCAAGACCAAGGTGCAGGTGCGCACGGAGGACCGTTACCGCGGGTTCCTCCAGACTGTGCAGACCGTGTGGCGGGTCAGTCATTCTCGTTTGCATACTTTCCAAATCTCATGTTATGTATTCTTTCTGCAGCAACGTGGCCCGCTGGGGTTCTTTGACGGCGTGTCGCTGAGGATGGGCCGCAAAGTTCTGAGTGGGATGATCGGCTGGACTGTCTACGAAGGCATCCTGATGGTCATTCAGAGGTAGTGATGCCTATACTTATCGCTCTTGTCGCATGGCACAATACACTACCCTGCTGCTCACGATATACTCAACGGACTTTTGTTCAGCGAAACTTCACCATATATGCAATATCTCAAAAATAAACAGATCGCGGGTACGTGTATCAGTATCTTATCTTATCTTACGCATGGATGCCAATGGCCGGGCTCAGCCAGCTCTCCCAGTCCGCCTCGTTCGTGGGGTCGCCGGTGATCTTGAGCGCGCGCACAAGCACCTTGTACGTGCCGTTCGGGATGACCGTCCCGTTCGCAAACGTGTTCGTCAGCACCACGGTGTTGTCCAGGTTTTTGTTCTGTCGCGCGCCAGTCAGCCTTCAGATCACATCACAAATCATCAGCATCATCGCATAGCGCACCTCATCGCTGCGGGTGATGTAGTCCAGCTCAAGCAGCGCGCCGACGATCGGCACCTTCGCGAACGAGCCGACCACCGGCTTCGGGTGCCCGAACGAGTACACCGGCGCCGCGCGCGCGCTGATCGTCGGCGCGAAGCTGATATTTGCCGCGACCAAGTCCGCGCGGAACGCCGGGGTGCCGAAGTTCTGGCGCCACAGCAGCGTCGGCGCGTCGCCACCGACGAACGTGTAGTTCTCCGGCCCGGACTGGAAGTTGCCTGCGGTGTCGATGAGCGCGGGCAGGCCGACGCCGAAGATCAGGTCCGTGTTGTCGAGCACCGCGGCGTCCCTGAGCGACGCGGCGAGGCCGAGGTACGTCGCGTGCACGCGCTCCGCGCCGCTCGTCGCGTAGATGAAGCCGGAGTAGACCGGGAACGTCTTGGCGTCGACGCCGTTGGGCGGCGTGATCGTCGCGATGATCTTCTTCGTTTTGCCGGGCTTGAGCGTGAACGTGCTGTGCGTGTTGAACGAGACGCTCGCGTAGGCGGTCGACAGGGGCACCGGGCCGAGGGACGGGAAGATGTCCGTCTGGGGTGGAACGAATCAGTGGGTTTATCTCCAGCAGAATGCGCATGCTCTGCTCACGCTGTCCACAGTCAGGGCTGTCCCGGCAGGAACATGGCTGAGCGTGTAATCCTTCTCCGTCTTCCCGTTGTTCGTCACATAAATGGGGATCCTGCGAAAAGCGTCTCAGCCACACGAACGGACTGAGCACAATCACAGGCCACGCACGGTCCAGCAAAGTGCGCCGTGTCGTTCAGGAGCAGCTCCGTCGGCGTGATCGTCGTCTGCGTGAACAGCGCATCAAACACCTGGATCAGGCCCGCGCCCTGCTGCGTCACCGTCTGCAGCGGGCCGCTGTCGTCCTTGGTCGTGCCGATCGGGGACGCCGTCGACTGGAACAGTGTCCGCGCGTTCTTGGCAACGGCCGCGTTTTTGCCCTTGTACGCGAGCAGCAGCGCCGAGCTGCCGGCCAGGAAGGGCGTCGCCATCGACGTGCCCGAGTCCAGCTGCCAGCTGCCCAGAGGGACCGGCCACGTCGAGAGGATGCTGCCACCAGGGGCCGTGATCGCCGGCTGATCCACGTCCATAAGCTCGTGCTATGTCGGTGTCGCAGCGCAGAACATACCTTGAAGAACAGGTCGTTCGAAGGCCCGTACGAGGTGAACGTCGACACCAGGCCGCCGGTCGGGTCAGGGAAGTTGACGCTGCCGCCGACCTGGGGGAACGAGACCTGGATGGGGACGCCGGCGGCGTGTTGCTGTGCAAGCTGCGACTAGTCAGCACCAGGTCGCACTGATACCCGCACACGACTCACGAAGACGCCGTCTGCAGCTTGGATGAACACAGCCTGGAAGTTGCCGACCTGCAATCCCAGTCAGAGGCAGGTCGAATGGGAGGGCCCAGCACCCACAGTAATCGGAGCAAAGCCATTGCCGTTGCTTTCCCGTGCGGTCAGACCGAGCCTGATCTCAAGCAGGAGACTACTCACTCGTAGATGATGGACACATTTCCGCCAAACGCCGCGATATTCGCCAATTTCACGACCTGCGCCCACGCATCAGCCTCTCCACCCAACGCGCCACACGGAGCAGCAGCAGACGCACAAAGTTGCAGGTCCCACGGCGCACGAGCACGACGAACTTGGACAAATCAGGCGTGCTCGCGGGGAGCGGGTTGCACGCGTCGTCGACAACGGTCGTGTCATTCGAGATGACGTACAGCGGGCGCGTGCCCGTCACGGGCAGCGGGAGGCTGTCGAAGTACACGATCGGCGCGTGCGTGACGCCGGTCACCTGCAGCGTCTGCAGCGGGAGCAGCGTGTTCTCCGAGGACGCGACCGAGATCGAGGTGATCGAGTTTCCGGGGCTCGAGGTGTACCACGAGCCACTGGCGCCCTGTCGTGCGGTGGTGAGCGACCGATCAGATGGGGGGAGCAGCAAAAGCGCGAAAACATACATCGTTTCCGGCGGCAATCGTCACAATACGGCCGGCAGAGGAGATACGGCTGGAAACGACAGACGCCGCGCCCTCCGTCCAGCCGTCCGGGCCTCCGAGACTCATCGTCAGGATGTCCATCCCCGCATTATATCCCATCAACAGCGCCTGGATGATCACTGGATTTCATCGTCAGAAGCAGCGACGCGGATTGCTGAGCGACGCACCGGGATCCTGGACGACACCGGTGCATCCGAAGATGCGGTACGCATAGATGCTCGCCTCGTACGCAACACCGCTGATGTTGAACGGATTGCCCGGGTTCGCGCCGATGATCCCTGCCACGTGCTATGTAGTCCGCGTCAGCATCAAAACAGACGCAGCCATGGGACAGGACGCACGGTACCGTGACCTGCGCACTGATCTGCAAATCCAATCCAGTCAGCCCCGTGCTCGTGGAAGATCAGATGCATTCACACACCCAGGGGATCCGGATCAGGCACGGGCGTGTTGCTGCCCGTGTACGCATCGCCAACGAAATCGTATCCGCCCGCGATCTTGTGACCCGGCCCAAAGCCAGGGCCAAGGAACGGGTGTGTGTAGTCGACTCCCGTATCCAGACTGTGCAACAAGGAGAAAAAGAAGAAGAAAAGAACCCCAGTCAGCACACGAGGGCGCCAAGCCAGCCCGCAGCCACGCACATTCCGATTTTGACGCCCTTGCCGAAGATGCCCTGCGCGTGCAGCTTGCTCACACCCGTGTCGATGTGCGTCGACTCGGGATCAGGCAGGCCGGCGTCCCCCGGCGAGGCCTTTTTGCTGGCGACCGGGCTGCAACAAAAGTCGTCAGCGGAAGCGTCCCCGCTGCACCGGGTGGCGACGCGACGTACACTGGCCGACTGTACGTGCGCACGGGGTGGATGAACAGCACGCCGGGGGCTCCGAGCAGATTCGCGACGTCCTGGAACGAAGGAAGGAAGGAACGGTGTCTCAGTCAGTGGCTGGCTCCAGCTCGGCACCCGACGCAACGAACCTTGCTGTCCTGTGTCATTCATCTTGTCAGCCTATCGCACCACCACCAACACCACCACCAGGGTCAGACAGACTCACAGTCAGCGTGAGAGACGCGCCGACGAAGATCCCCGGGACGTTGAACTCGTCGTGCACGTCATACGAGATCTTGCGCTCCTCCAGCGTGCGGTACAGCAGTTGGTGCGCCTGCAAACACGCTCAACATGGGCGGCCCTGGAGAGATACAGTCTCCCGCACGCACCGTCTCGCCGTCGCGCTTGGTGGGGATGTTCGCCGCGTCGGACACCTCGACGATGAACTTGTTGCCGACCGACGCGCCCGCGACGTTCGTCACGCGCTGCACGTCCGCGAGCGAGAACTTCGCGGCCTGGGCCGCCGTGGCGGCGGCGCACAGCAGCAGCGAGGCGGTGAGGGGGAGCTTCATCGTATGCGGGGCCAGGCACCGGACGAGCGATGCAGAAGCATGTGCGGAAGGCGTCCGCGGGCTTTATAGCCCTGGCAGACGCAAAGACGCAGACAGATTGCGGCAGAGATCCCATGTGGACCGTCGAAGTCGCGAAGATAAGTGCAGAAGCGAGCGCGTGATAATTGATTGTTGTTGGCGAAGCCGGCCACTGGGTGCTCGCCCCTGATTGGACTGTTTCCGATGTTGACCCGCCGGGCACTGATGGGTGGCGGCGGGTATCGTGGGTGGACAGACAGCCTGCTGATCGCCGCTGCGCTCCAGATGCACCAGGAACTCCCCGAGATAAGTATGGAAGGGGAGGGGGAGACCGTGCCTCCTGGTTTCCATCAGACGCAATAATCGCTTGCTCCCATGTGCAAGTCAGCGCAGATGAACGGACGAAATGTCCGCTCAAGGCCTGCCAAGTTTCTGGGCTGCATGCCAGGCTCATCATCGTTTCCACGCAAGTCGTGATCAGTGCCTTGTGCACGCTCGGTGGCGGTGCGGGTCGGACCGGATGGAGGTGGTAGATCAGATCAGATGAGCACTATAGATAAGATGAGATAACAGTTCGTCTGCCGACCAGAGTACAAGTCCGTGATACTTCTACAAGATCTAATAGGTGATATTCACCCTCTTGTTCTCGAATTCGCTCCACCGCCGCGTGAGCGCATCGACAATAAAGTGCGCGACATCCCTCCGCGAGATGCTCACACCCCGCGTCTCCTCCTCACTAACACGATAGCTCTTCCCCCTGCCCTTCGCCGCCACCGCGTCCGCCGTGCACTCCCCATCCGTCAGGAACCCCGGCCGGACAATCAGCACGCGCCGCAGCGCACCGGGCGCCGGGAGCCCCTCCGCCGCCTCCCACCCCGGCGGCAGGACCTGCGGCACGGACGTGCCATGGACGGCGGGGTCTCAGCGCCAGCCCGCGCAGTGCGCCGCGACGCGCTCCACGCCGATCTTGTCCTTGTGCGGGCTCGCGAGCCCCGCGTACAGCGGCTTCAGCACGAGCGGCAGCGCGGCGGCGGCGGCGGGCCCGAGCCCCGTCGAGGAGAGCGCGACGATCTTCGGCCCACTGGCAGGCTGCGGGGTGCCCGGGCCGCGCGGTGGTGGCGGCGGCATCGTGCGCAGGAGGTTGGTGAAGCAGTGCGTGACGAGGTCCGGGGGGTGATGACGAAGCCTTCGCAGAATTTGAAGTCCTTCGGGACGGTGCCTGCGACGCTCGTTCATCCGTCCGTTCCGTCGTGTGCGAGAAGGAGAGCGGGAGACGCACCGACGGTGAAGACGACGGCGTCGACGGCGCCGGCCTCCTTCCATGCATTGCGGACGTCGTCGATGTCCAGGGCATCGCCCTGGACCAGCCGCGCACTGCCGAGCTTGACGTATCTCTGGATGGTCTCATCGCGGTCGAAGACGGCGGTCGAACGCAGCAGGAACGTGACCGTGGCCCCTTGTTCTGCATCCAGCGCGTCAGGTTAGTCTGGTGTGACAACGACAGCTCGCGCGACGGAATGAACGCACCCAGGAGGCGAACAGACGCCAGGTACCCGATGTTGCGGGAGCCCCCGAGAGTGAGCACATTGAGGGACTCGGAGGGAGCAGTCATGTTGGGTGGTCGATTTGGATTGTGAATGCTGAATGGCCTGGGAACCCCCCACTGCTACGCCTTTTGTAGTCTGCGATGGCTGTGGACACCGAAACAACGCGACAGTCCCTCTTCCGCGGTCCCATTCCGCATATCCGTATCCGCACCTTCGCCGACGCTCTTGCCCGCGCGATCGACGATGGTGGGCCCTGCGCCATCAGTTTCAGTGCCTCGAAACGCCCATCAGTGGAGTCGTAGAATTGGCAATGGCCCAGTCGATGCGACCGCAAACGCAAAATTCAATTGAGGCGTGCGTTGAGATGGGGAGACGTTTCCACGAACGCGATCTGGAGCCTGGGGCCTGATTCGGCGGCACAGAGCGCAGTTGCGGCACCGGATCAGCGCATAGACGGCCCCGCCGATCCGCAATATGGAGTTATGATGACGTCACGAGCTGTGCACCGCTCTCAGGCCAAGTAATGTGAGGTAATGTAACCCTCCAAGTCCTGGGTTAACTATGCCACGTCGTTCATGCAGCGCATGCAACCAGGGAACTTTGGCGTCGCTGTGGGGAACGACGTCGGTTTTGCTTTCTGCGACTCTCGCCCATGCTCTTCTGAAGGTCTTGACTCTTGGAAAACATTGGCTACCATGCCACTGTGCGCCTCCTCGACGCGATTCCTAACCCACAAATAATTTTACATCCCTGGTGGCAAATCAGCGATGCTGATCTCGAGTGCAACGGGTCGCCTTGCTCCTGCGCTCAACAAAATCTGGGTTCGCTCAGGACGCGGTGACCCAGAAATACGTCCCGGCTGGGACTGCCCCTCTTTGCCAAGGCGATTCCATGATTCCAGAAAATGTCTGGCACGTGTGGATCCAAGTGGGTCAGGTCTGTGCATTACATGTAAGTATGGCTTATATGCGTGGAGGTACCACGTCTAACCCCAACCGCAGGCGCAACACCATGATCCTTCAGCTTCCGCCGGGGACTCGCCACCCACCCCGCAGACCTACTGGTCGCATAGTGCCTCCCAAACCTGCTTTGTGCGATGCTTCCGGGCGCATTTCCGCCCAAGATCTCAGCGCTGCCCTGACAGGCATCACGCTGGTCAGTCGCTCGCCCTCGCAGCCAGTCTATGCGCTGATGTTTGTAAGGCTAGTCCTGGGAACCAAAGTCAAAAAGCGACGGCTTGCCTGCTGCATGGGGCAGCGTGAGAAGGGCATCTTCTCGGTGTCTTTTGTGAGGACAGCGGCGCAGTCCTCTGCCTCGAGTCCCCCCACGGACGGCTAGTGCACGCAGACGATCCTGACGCCGAAGCGAGCTGCCGCCTGAATGGCATTTCGCTGGACACGGCGTAAATGCCCTGACAAAGCGATAGAGTGGAGTCGGTGGCAAGCGGTGCAATAAATCATCGCCTGTGAGCTGGGTGTGTCTTCTCCCCGTGCCTTGCATTATTCCTACCCAGATCTTCGGTATTGGGAACATCGGGCGCTGGATTTTCCCGGTTGGCGCAGGCTCGGCTTACCTCCACTCCCCATAATTATCCCAAGTTTACGCCGAGTCGCCGCAGAGATCCAGCGTCACGTAAATACCATAATGAATTTTCCCTGGCTCGGAGGACAGGCAGGAAGCGAGGCTCTCTCTCCACTCGCTGACGTATCGCGTTACTTATTACCGACATGCAAGAGATCTTGGGCTCGGATCTGAGTAAATTCCGGCAAGTTGCGACGTGTGCATCCACGATCTGGCGCGCTCACGCTCAAAGAATGCAGCTCGCCAGGTTACGAGGGGTTCTCACCAGTCCGCGATCCGAAATAGCGAGTGGCGAATATAGCTACCCGATGTCGCCTTTGTTGGCTGGGCGCGCTCATGGCTAATAATATGCACGGCGGCTTAAATTTCAAGCTCAGCGAAGGGTGGTTTGACAGAGTGTCAGCGAGCTTGACCTAATGATATCTAAGCGAAGACTTGCAGAACGCAAGCCAGGAGTCGCACGTACGTACGCCCCTCATGGAGCAAGCCGTGCCTCATGCACCGACCCTTGCTGTGGGTCACTCAATACACGCCGCCAAGTCAAGTCATCAGCTTTCATCAATTATACCAGCCACACGGTGGCGGGCTACTACTAGTTCCAGTTAGAGTACAACAACAATCCTATGCCGTCGTCAGTCCTGCAGCGCAATCAGGACGTCGATCGGAGCAGACGGAGCGTCTGATCGTCGGCGGGATCTCGCCGATACGGGTGCATTCGCGTCAGCGAGTGCAGCGGCGCTAGATCGCGGCACGGCCCGATGCCACCCGGGCGGTCGTCCATCGGCACGGCCAGCGGATCCGCCTCGGGCGTCGGCGACGCCACCCGGGGGAGCGAGTAGCGGCGGCCTGCATCATCGTCGTCGTCGCCGGCCGGGTACGGCGTGTAGATCATCGGCGAGGGCACCAGGGGGTAGCTCGACGGGGACGACCCGGCGGACGACGACGACGCCGGCGACGAGGCGTCTGAGTGCGGCGAGCCCAGCGGCGGCGCCGCGTACGACGCCGGGAACCACCCACCGGACACAGCCGTGAGCGGCGCCTGATAAGGCATCCGGCGGGCGTCCGAGGGCAGGACGTATTCGGGCGGGACGAAGCCCCCAGGCACAGGGGACGCGGGCCCGCGCTCCGCCTCCGGACGCGCGTACCGGTGCGGCGTCGGCGTCGGCGTCGGCGTGCCGCCGCGATAGGCCGCCGTGTCGTAGGGGCCCGCGCCGCTCTGGGGGGTGGGTGCACGTGCACGGGCGTACGGATCGTGCATCGTCACCGACGGCGAAGGCGGCCCGCGGGCTGGATGCGGCGCCGCCGATGAGGTCGACGCTTCCGGCTGCGTCGGACGCGGGGCGAGCGGGGCGTGGGGCGTGGGGAACGGGGCATACACGCGCGCCGGGGCCTGCTGTGCGCTGCCCTCTGCGTCGACGGTGTTCTTGCGCTTGCCCACCCGAGTGCTCGTGAACATCCCCCGCGGCACATTTAGGGGCTGCAGCTCGGGGATGTCGTCGACGGTGCCGAGATGGTCGACTGTCTGCTGGGTGAAGTACGCCGCTGCGGGGGCTTGAGTAAGAGAAGCCGGCCTGCGGCGATCTGAGACGTACTGAGATGCCACTTCCTCTTGCCCTTGGGTGTCTCCACCCAGACGGAATATGTTTGCTTCACCAGCTGCTGCCACCCAGGCGGTGGAGTCGGCGGGGCCCGCGATTGGGCCTTGGACGCGGGCAGACTGCCTTCATCGCTGTTCTCCACTCAGAACCTGCGGCGATCGCGAAACAAAGAGAAGAAGACACACAGCGGCTGGCTCGCGTCGACTCCGACCCACTTCTCGTAGTAGAACAGAAACTCCTGCGACGATAAGCGGTCGGTGACGGGCCCGAAACACAATAAAGCAAGACGCGCTGACGTACATCCCGCACGCGCGACGCACTCCACCGTCGTCCCTCTGTGAAGCGCTCGATGCCAATCCCCGTGATCTCGGTGTTCGGGCTGCGCTCCTCCCAGGCGTACACACACCCCGTGTGCAGCGCCGCGCGCTCGTCCGCATCGAGCCGGCGGGCGACCATGGGCAGGAGGCCGGTGTGCACGGCGAAGAATATCTTGTGCGCATCGCCGACGGAGCGGATGCGCACGTTGGTGCAGGTCGGGCGCTGGGGTCCGGGTGCAGGTGTCGGTTGTGCCCCGGGAGGCATTGTGGAGGGATATCGACGGCGACGGCGACGGCGACAACAACAAAAAACAAAAACAACAGGGCAGGGCAGGGCAGAGATGGAGTGGCGGGCGCGCTGGATATGTACAGGTAAGTGGTGGTGTCTGCGGCGCGGACACATGGAAGGAGGGTCCTTCGAAAGCCCGCTGTCGACAAACGCAGTACGGCTAATTTGTCTGCGGCTGCTGATAGCACGACCCTGAAAATCTCGATGCAAGTCTGGTGCTCCCACGCTTGCTAACCTTAACCAAATTCTGATGGATGTTCTCCGTGCGGCCGCCCTCCATCGAACAGGAACCGAAGCGTGCCCCTCTGGGCCGGCAGCTCTCCGCGTCCCGCCGCTGTATCTGCGCAGCCGCCAATGCGCCGCCCCAGCAAGTCTGGCTCACTCTCCCCGGTTGCATCGCATCACGTCTTCTGACTCTGATGCGTAAAGTTTGATTTACTATCTCCTTACGGCTCTCGCCTGGTAAACCAAGCACTGGGAAGGTTGCACTCCTCGGAAAAGCGCACACTCTCCTCCGATCTCCGACATTCGCTCCCTTGGCAACGTGGATCATCTGTAGCAGCAGCGAGCTCGAGCGCGCATCTGCAGGTCGCTGTTCGATATATAGATCATCTCCGACGGATGTATTTCAGCTTCCACGGACCGTAATTCAAATGATATGTCAGCAGATGTCATTGTCAATCACACTACGCATACGCAACGGGAGACGCGCCTTTTGTCTTTCTCGTGTGCCAAGCTCGCCGGCTGTTTCCACGGGTCATATCCAGCCTCGCTAAGCACACAATATAGTATAGTATAGGCTATCCCTATCTAAGTACTTTATATAGAGTGGGGGGCATCGTCCCACCGGCGTTATCCCTGCAAGATCAGAATGCGCACTACTGTACGTCGACTGCATTTCTGGCCACCTCCCTGGGATCTCGAGGCCAGCACGCCGTTTTGGGCATAGGCCGGAGCCATGTGGATGGACGGCGAAGCGAGGGAAGCAGCTCGCCGCACCACCACCCACTGCATCGGCCGCGCGCGGTGCGAGGCTGCAGCCCGGATCGCGTGCACAGGCCGTAGCAGCAGGCCCACCCCGTGCGAGGCAGGAGAGAACCGCCACGCTCGAATGATGGTGGGCACTGCAGCCCACAGATCGCTGTGCAGGGGCTTTGGTTGGCAGCCGTCAGATCGATCCGAAGATAGCATGAGCCAGTGCTCTTTCTGATGTGGATTGCTCCAGAGAAGACGGGGAACACTGGATATTGAATAGGTGTGGGATCAGTCTACTAGATACATACTTGGTTATTTTATCAGTAACATGCTGGGGTATACATAATATCGGAATCCAGTCGGTCATATGCCATACATCGAGATAAGAAAAGAGAACGCATCGGGTGGCCTGCTGCCACTCAGTCGAGGCCGGGAAAGAACGACATGAGCGCCTTCTCGTCGAGAGGGTGCCGCCGCGGCGGGGGGACGTTCTCGAGGTACTCCAGCGGCGCGAGCACTTTCTGGAAGACCCCGTTCACGTGTATCGGTGTGTCGTCTGGGGGCTGCGAGAGCGGCGGCCGCGGGTACGGCGTCAAGGGCTGGTCTGCGAGCCGATTCCGGATGCGCCCCGGGCCCGCGCGTGCGCTTTTGTAGAGTCCGGGTGGGACCCGGAGGCGGGACAGACACGGAATGTCCTCGATCGTGCGCAGGTAGTCCAGCGAGTCCTGGGTGAAGTACGCCGCTGTGACGGTGCGCGTCAGTCGGTCGGGTCATTTCAGCGGTGTGAGGAGAGATCCTACTGAGATGCCATTTCCGTCTGCCCTGGGCGGTCTCTACGAACACCGAGTACGTCTGCTTGACAAGATTTTGCCGCTCGAGGAGCATGTGGGCAGGTCCGTAGCCCAGCGGTGAGCTAGAGGCAAGGTCAGATCCGAGGAGCAAGGACCCAAGCAGGCGCGGACGTGCCCGGTCTCCGAATCGTAACCCAGATCAATCTCAATAGGGTCAGGGTCCTTCTCGTGGTAGAAGAGAAATTCCTGAGATGAATTAATGCTCGGTTCACAGAGCCGAAGGGGGGGAGGAGGAGGGGATGGGCTCCTGCTTACCTCTCGCACGCGACTGGGGCCCCAGCGGATCGAGTCTGTCCAGCGCTCAATGCCGAGCTGGGAGGAGACTCTCTTGTCAGCGGTGGCCGCGCGAGACAAGACGGACAGACTGACCCCCATCGGCTCTGCGTTTCCCGTGCCGCGCTCCTCCCAGACGAAGACGCAGCCGGACGTGATGGCGCGCCGCTCGTCGGTGTCCAGGCGGCGGGTGATGATGGGGAGGATGCCGAGCGTGACGGCGTGGAAGATGACATGAGCATCAGCGGTGGTGCGGACGCGGAGTCCGGTGCAGGTCGGGTGCTGCAGGGGCATTCGCGGGGGGGATTGAGGCTAACTAACGTGCAACGGGATGAAATCACATCGCCTTTATACAGGGATTCCATAACTGGATGACGCCCACCGCTTCCAAGGTTAATTCTAGCGAGTCGATAGGTGTGAAGCACGGATCCAAGGCCATGTGGGAATCCTGCTGTCGGGGCAAATCAATCTTCCAGTGCATTTCAATCAAGAACTCGATCACACCAGTTAGATTGAGTTTTAACGCAGTCGCCAGCGTGTGATGCGTTTCGCCGGATGGTGGAAGTACCAAACAGACAGCGGAAGAACCGTCACAGCAGGTGCTCCGGCTATTTTTCTCGGAAAATCCCGCACGACCCGGTCGAGATCCAGGTCAGTAGCGCGAGCCGCGGCCGCACTTGCCGAGAGATGGATGCACTAGCTATGGACCCGCTGTGGCATCGCCTCGACAGCGAAAAAGAATCTCATCGGAGAATGTACTTCTTCTCGCCCAGCTGACCTCCGTCGTGCATTGCTGCGCAGGAAGATGGCCAGAAGGAGCTACGGATTCTATTGTGCCATCTGCTCCAACCTAGAGCACACAGCTTCCAGTTCCAGATGCGGTGGGGACGCAGATAGGAGCCGCAAGCGAGGCCGTCGAGCATCCGAAAAGCATGGTAGACCCCGACGTCGTAAGTACACGACATGAAGCCTTTGACTTCTCATGCTCCCAAAAGCTAACACAACACCTTGAGCATAAGAAGAGAGATCTGCGGGTGATTCTACAGCTTCAATCATGATACCCGAGTGATTCGGTTCTCCGAATGCACCGGGGAGGAAACCACAGCCGCAGGGGGGAGGGGACGGCTAGTGGCGCCTTTAGATGCGGCAATAGCTCGTGCTCACCACGAGCCATTAGCCGGAAGGTCCACGCTATCGACGTGTCGGAGCCGGTAGTGGTACCACTAGCTGCGGGATGCGCATTCGGTGGTCGCGATTCCCAGCATCACGCGATCCACGGGGTTATTGAGGAGATTGTCCCAAGTGTCAGATTCGATGCAAGGCTTGGTACTCGATCATCCTTCCCAGCAAGAATGACAAGTGCACAGATGGGGCACAAGGAAGCACTACCGGGTCAGATGTCGGCAGACCGAGGAAGAACGAGAGGTCTCCTGAGTCCTGAGATTGATGGTGGCGATGGTGGCAAGACGGGTCTCTCTCAACACTGTTTCAGACGTGGACAACCGGCGGCCAACATGGCGCGCAAACATGTTTCATGCGCCACAGAGGGGAGGCCAGAAATACTGGGTGGTCGAAGAAAATGGCACAAAACCAAAATAGTCACTGTCCGCGTGACATGGACACAGCCATATCGCCAGGTCGCCAACTGATGAATGGTCTTGACTCACATTGGTGCCCGCACGCTCTCTATATCTCGACGATCGATCGCCTTCAAACTCCATCGATCCGTCACCATGTCTGTGCAACAGCCCCCCTGGTCCCCGCCACAAAAAGCACGCGAAGAACCCGTGCTGAAGACCTACAACTCCCTCACGAAAACTAAAGTCTGCACGCGTTTCGGCCTTGCAATCGCGATATACGATCGACTTATGTATCTCCCCCTCCGAATAGACTGAATTCGTTGCTCGGGATGGCCGCCACGTGAAGTGGTACAACTGCGGGCCCACGGTGTACGATGCGTCGCATATGGGGCATGCGAGGTGTGTGTCCGGCCAGGACGGGGGCGCTCCGTACCTAACGCCCGTACAGGAACTATGTCTCGCAGGACATCCTCCGGCGCATTATGACCAACTACTTCGGCTACGACGTGCATTTCGTGCAGAACATTACGGACATCGACGACAAGGTGCGGTGCGCTCGATGCCCGTGCATGTTTTCCCTTCGCGTTAGAACTGACACGCTCGACCCCCGCAGATCATCAAGCGCGCCCGGCAGAACCACATATTCGACAAGTTCCGGGACGGGACCACCGCGCTTTCCGCCGAGCTGATCGCTCAAGTGCACGACGCATGGCGGATGCACGTCCGCCAGCAACTGAAGAAAGGTCTTCCCGCAACAGACGTCCCCGCTGAGGGCAGCGAAGACGCGTGCTGGCCGCGCCTCGTCGAGCTGAGCCAGAATAAGGATTGGAAGCAAGAGTGCGTGCGAAGGGATGAGAAGTTTGACATGCATTTCTCGTCCGCGGTGTGTGCTGCATGCAGGACAGCCTGATCCGTGGGATTAACGACGTCTTTTTTTGCCAGAGTCAAACCTTTGCAGCACTTCAAGCTGCCCGCGCTCACTTAAGCGCTGGACACACGTCGGGCGAAGCTGCGCACAAACTCATCTCAGACGCGAAGGATATCCTTGCTCCGGTTCTGGATGAACAGGCATGATCCCCGTGCTTTCTCTGTGGGGGAAGCTGAGTTTTTGCTCTAGTTCAAGTCTACTGTCACGGACCCCAGTATCTCCCGGTCGCTGGCTGCGTACTGGGAGGGCAAGTTCTTCGAAGATATGGACCGACTGAACGTTCTCCGACCAGACACTGTCACCCGCGTGACCGAATACGTGCCGGAAGTCGTTGCCTTTGTCGAACAGATTCAAAAGAACGGATTCGCCTACGAGTCAGAGGGCAGCATCTACTTTGACACTGAGGCTTTTGACAAGAACCCGAATCACGATTACGCCAAGCTGGAGCCCTGGAGCAAAGGAAACAGGGAGCTTCTCGAGGACGGTGAAGGTGAGTAGTTTAGCGTATCGACAGATTCGTGGACGGGGATCTCAGTGAAAACACGAGGTGCTCTATCACAGAACACCAGTCGCCGGCCGGCCGATTTTGCGTTGTGGAAGGCCTCACGGCCCGGTGAGCCGTCCTGGCCTTCCCCCTGGGGACAGGGCCGCCCTGGGTGGCACATCGAGTGTTCCGTGATGGCGAGCGCTATCCTCGGAGACAACCTCGACATCCACTCTGGTGGTGTCGATCTGGCTTTCCCCCATCATGATAATGAGATTGCCCAGTCGGAGGTGAGCCAGAGCTTCCGCTTGTTAGCATCGGTGACGAACGTGCACAGGCTTACCATGAGAACGACTCCTGGGTCAACTACTTTTTGCACAGCGGGCATCTACACATTGAGGGTCTCAAGATGAGCAAGTCGCTCAAGAACTTTATCACAATCGATGTGAGCGCGCGGTCATCTTCGACTGCGTGGATGCTAAGACATGCCCCAGGAAATTCTGCAACGGTACACCGCACGGCAGCTGCGGCTGGGATTCCTGACGCAGCTCTGGTCTGCCAAGGTGGATTTCAGCGATTCTCTGATGGCTGGGGAAGTGCGCAGCGTGGAGACGACCATAAATGTGCGGGTCTGCGTTGTTCCCGATTTGGGCTAACACTGCCCGCAGAACTTTTTCACGAATGTTAGTGCCCTTGTGAGCCAAGCCAAGGCAGACGGGATGAAGTTAGACGCATATCACCATTACGAGGAACCAGAGCGGGAGCTGCGCGTGGCGTTTGTGGTTATTTCGATCCTTGCGTTCTCGCGTTTACACATCTATCAGGCTCGATGACAGTCAACACGCCTTCCGTGTTGCTTTGTGCGACTCGTTCAACACCCCGGCAGCCGTGGGTGTGCTGCGGGATCTGATAGCGCGAACGAATGTGTACATCACTGCGCGCGGCAAACTGGCCAATGTCGAGCTGCTGGAGAACGTCGCCCGATGGATTGGGCAGATGCTGAGGATGTTCGGACTCGGTGCTGGGCAGACGGAAGAGCTCGGCTGGGGAGTTGACGATGCGGCCTCCGCGGGAGTCAATGTGCGTGTTTGCGCTTTCTTCAGTTGACGTGGCAGCTTATCCGATGGATAGCGGGAAGAGGTGCTCATGCCATACATCAGAGCTCTATCTGTGTTCCGCGACGGAGTGCGTGGCTTGGCCAGGGCCAAGGGCGACGCTGCTCTCAAGGATATTCTTGCATTGTGCGATCGACTGCGGGACGCAGATCTCATCCCACTCGGTGTCGCCCTTGATGATCAACCGGGTTCGTGTGGTGTTCGTGTTTTGAAGACCGCCTGCTGATTCGCACGCAGATGGCAAGGCCCTGGTCAAATTGGTTCCCCCGGCCGAGCTCATCCGCGCACGCGACGAGAAACGAGCGCAGGAGGAAGCCAAGGCCCAAAGACAGGCGGCGGCGGCTGAGGCTGAGCGGGCAAAGAAAGCTGCTCAGATGGAGAAGGGTCGCGTGCCTCCCCAGGAGATGTACAAGCCACCGAACGTTCCAGAAGGCACTTATGGGTCGTGGGACGACAATGGCTTACCCCTCACCGATGCCGAGGGCAAGGAGCTGAGCAAGAGCCAAGGCAAGAAGCTGGATAAAGACCAAAAGACGCAGGCGAAGCTGCACGAGAAGTATCTGGCCTGGAAGCAGGAGACCGGTGGCGCTTAGAACGACGTATGATACTTTCACTGACTTACATCTAAGTTATTCTATTTTGCATCACCAGTCGCAAGCGTCCACGACGAACTGAGCGATCTTCTCGAGTCCCTCCTACGTAGCACAGATTGTTCAGCACGTGCCAAACGGTGCTCTGACGTGAGACTTTATGCGCACCTTGTCTTCATCCCCAAAGCCACCTTCGGCAAGACAGTCCAGATCGAGCACCCCCAGGACGCGGGTCGAGTCCCCCTCGCGCAGAACAAGCGGGCACACGATCTCGCTGCGCGTCTCTCCATCACACGCGATGTGTCCCGGGTACGCCTCCACGTCCCGCACGACCACCGTGCGTCCTTGCAGGTACGCGTCGGCGCAGACACCGCGCGCTTTGCCGGGCACGGTGGCGATGTACTGGCACGCTGGTTTGCCGTTGAACGGGCCTAGCAGGAGTCGCTCGCAAGCATCGCTTGCTCCTGCTGCTGCGTGGCCAGGCCCCCGCGCATTCGGGAACAACCGCGAATCGAGGTAGAACCCTGTTTTCGAGGTCGGATGAGGACGGAACAGGCTACGCAGCCGGTGCAGACGCACCACACCAGTTGACTTGGCGCGCGTCCGCGCCGAAGTGGGCGGGGAAGGCGAGGAGTGAGTTGTATATCAGGGACGACGCGTTGGACATGTTTGTGACCTGCGGAAGGGGGTGAGGAAGGTGTATCCGGACGAGGGTGCAGGTGTGCATAGGAGTGGAACGCACCCAGTTCCGCTGTTCCGGGTCCAGCAAAAACTGCAGCTGCTCAAGAACATGCGCCCAAAACTCGGCCTTCGTCGTAACCCTTCCGGAGGGAATGTCATGTCTAGACTGGCGCCAGAGGTGGGCGGACTCTCACGTTTCGGGGACCAGGGCGGAGTCGGCGTGCGGCATAGTGTTGGTGTTGGTGGGTGGACAAGCCGAGCAGGAGGTAAGATTTTGTAAAATGATGATGACGAAGAAGATTAGATTATCGATAACCTGGGACTGTTATGTCGTGCTCGATCATCGATACCCAATCTCTCTTGTTTTGGTCTGCGCGGGAGAAACTCGGTACGGCCTCGGTCGTATTAGGCTCAGGGATCTGGAAGGAGAAATCGAAGTGGCGGGTAAGACCAAGCTCGGCGAGAATCGAAATGGTACATCTACGTCGAGTAATTCTGTGGGATTCGCCGCAGCTCAATAACCGTTGTCGCATGTTTTTCTTCATCAACTCTGAAGTGAGTACAGTGAGTACAGCTCAATGAAGGAACAAAAGGCTGAAAACCATGGCGCAAAGTCTAAAATGCATTGTGCTCGGACGAGTTTTGCAACGCTGGCGAAAAAATGTGGATCGGAGTATCGGTGACGGAAACTACGCGCGACTTTCGAGATCACTGAACCTGACTGTATAAATCTGAGTCAATTGGAGACTGCTTGGTCTCCAACTCGACTTCCGTCCCAGGGACATGAATTTGCGTTGCTCTGGGCTATGCATTAGACAATGGCGAATGTGCAGCAGCTTCTACAGACACCCTCATTGCGATTGTAAGGACAAACAATCGTTGGACAGCAAATTCAGGAGAAGAAATAATATCCGAGAGAATGGCAGTGATACTAGACACACATAAGTACGCCTTGTACAGCGAGGATCAGATTCCGCCTGTCGGATCCCTAAGCGTGCGCATGTCCATTATGCGCCAGATCGTAGTTCTGATCGTGTTATCCGGGAGTCGGCGGCTGTTGACGCGAGCAAGAGCGGGAATGAATTGAGATTTCAAGCCCCGAGGCGAGGGGTCAACGCTACTTGGTTTCACTCGTTTTGTTTCAGGCCCTGGTTTGAGACTTGGAACGCACGTCTGTCTCCACGTGAACCGGCTGTTCCCAGTCACGTGAGATACAGTTTGTACTCAAAACGTTCCGTCCTGATCGTGACATACTGTGACAGCACAAGGAGTGGGTTAGACAGATCCTATTTATGGGAGCCGGATACTGTGTGTAACTCGTATAACTCGAGCACATGCGGATCGTCCACAGACTGTGCATTTAGGATCGGAGCTGTCATACAGTACATACATACAGACCGCGAAAGCCACGCAGGCGAAAGTCGTCAGGATCGGACATTTGGTCCGTTTCCGCTCCCCTGAGAACGCCATATCGGGCTAGCATTTGTGCGCATCAAAATAAGATTACACGGCTGCCAGACAGGGTCACCGTCCCTCGAGGCGCGGGTTCGTATCACGAACACTCTTCACCTGGAAACACCCACCCATGGCGCCTTACCTCGAAACCGTAAAGGTGCGAGTGGGACTGCGTCTGCCTGTCTCCTCATAAATACACATATTGACGAGCCCGCAGTCGTTCGCTGACGTCCCTATTACGGACGATGGCGTCGATACCGTCCAGTTCCTCGCGGCTTCGGATGGACTGGTAGGCTTGTTCGGTGCGTGGCATGCCATGTATGGCTAGGCAGGGCAGTATCGCTAACCTGATTGGTGAAGATCTGCTTGGATCAGCCGCGTTCGCCGTCGTCCAGACCGACCTAAAGGGAAACATCGCTGTGCGTCCGGGTGCCTTCGCCCGCTCCTGATCGGCGATCTCACATCCCTCTTCCCCTGCCCCTCCCTTTCTGGGTGCACACAGAAAGTCCGCGCCCGGTATGACGCCGCGCCGGAGCTGTCGGGCACGCTGGAGAAACTCGTCGAGAACGAGAAAGGGGAGAAGAAGCGCACGGCGACGGAGGGCCTCATGTGGCTGCTCCGCGGGCTGTCGTTCACCTGCAAGGCGCTGCAGAACGCGCAGGCGAACCGCACGGAGGAGCTCTCCGCCGCGTTCACCAAGTCGTACGAGGGCACGCTCAAGAAGTTCCACAACTTTGTCGTCAAGGGCGTCTTTGCGGTACGCCCGGCTGTTGCCTGTCCCTACTGCCCCCGCGTCGCTTCCCGCTGACGACGATGCGTCGGCCCCTCCCCCGCAGGTCGCGATGAAGGCCTGCCCGTACCGTGCCGACTTCTACAAGAAGCTCTCGGCGGATCCGGCCGGGGGCCCGGACGCCACGCCCGAGAAGCTGAACGAGGAGCTGGACAAGTGGCTCGCTGCGCTGTCCGAGATCGTTTCGCGCATGGAGACCTTCTACGAGAAGGGCGGGTACGCCAAGGGACTCTGATCCAGGCGTAGCCTCTGAAAAGCCTTATGGCCGGCCGGATCCCCCACTAACTCTGGAAACCATGTACCAATAAGATACGACCCAATCAATGCATGCTTGATATGATCCTAGATCTACAGTAGTGTGCGGGACGCTTGGTCACTCCGATTTGGCACCGCTTCGGCTCTCGGCCCGCGGCTGCATACGCCCTGCTTTGAGTAAGCACTAATCAGAGTTCAGCCTCTCAGCGAAGGCACCGATCGTGACGGCACTCTGCCTGAAGGCTAAAGCCAAAGCCAAAGCCAAAGCCAAATCTTGTTCTTTTGTGCGAGGGCACGAATGATTGACCACGGTGACAAGTATCGCAGTGCCGTTCGCGGTTGCTTGTTAGGCCTGTTTCAGACAATCTCCCCAGCGGAACATATTCGATTCGACGCGGGATTTTCCGCATCGCCGGCACTCTTGCGCTTCCGTCGGACGGGATGCATGTCAGCGGGAATGGCCCCAGTCTCGACACAACAGCTGAGTCGTATTTGAGTCGAATTGGCAGATATGTCCTCGGGATGACAGTGCGCAGGGTCAGCTGAGTGCCTCTGGTGATGTGCATATTTTCGGAAAGAAATTATACTAGAGCAGTCCTGCTTTTCATCGCGACCGGCGGTTGCTGTTGGACACAGGGTCGTAGGAACGAACACGGTCGAGATGTGTTTCATCACGAGCGAACAATGACACTTGACCAGGTGGTTGACCCTGCGTCGTCAATGAAGAACAGCTGCGCTGTGAGATAGCAGACTCAGAGACCGAGAGAGCCCTGAGCAATCGGCGCATCAATGACCCAAAGGGCATCGGACGGGGATTCAGGGACCTCGCAGGATCCTCAAACATCTGGTCGATTTCCTTTCAACGTGAGCCTTCAGGTGGAGCATCGCAGGTGACTCTGAACTCGAGCGGGGAAGATTCTTCGTGATGGGCGAGGGAAACGTTCCAGAATAAATCCCCAGGGCGCCCGAGAGTCGGGCGAGTGCGATGTTCGAGAAACACGGGAGGGAATACTAATAGGCTGCATGGGAGCGGGATCAGACGCAGAAGTCCATTGCCCGGATAGATGCGCGCTATCACTTCGAGCGGATTGGGCTGAGCGATGTACGGGGTCAGAAATCAGCGGGTTGCCCTTTCCCATTGGAGCTCTTCCTCGATCACGGCCACCGCTCCGTCGTCGGTGTCAGTTGGAAGTTGCAGCGATGATCGAACGGGGCCAGTCCTTGACGTCGAAGCGACTTATCTAGTGGGGAAAACCCCCGGGTCATTGAGAGTCAGGAGATGCATGCGTCTGGGAGCTGTATGCCTTTCGGGGCCTCGCACACGCCGAGAAGAAGGGCCTGGGCAGCGGGAGAGCCGCGACGATCGCTGGCAGGCCGAGGTGGGACTGCGCAGCGATCACGAGCCATAAGCGGCACTCCTCAGAGCATCCGGTTCAGGCAGAGGCCCATCCGGGTGCATTGAGACCCAAATACAAACAAAGACGGTCGTCAGACAGAGAGTGCGGAAGAGCGACCCAGCAGACCAATGGTTCTAGCCCATTCACAGCGCCGGTCGAATTCATTGCCCATGTACTACAAGGCGCTTCTGAAGCGCACGCGTGCAGATGGGGCGCTCGTGCTGCAGCGCGTGGCGTCGCGAACATGCATCCCGCCATATGCATTCGTTGAGATCTGCGAGAGAAGGGGGCACCGGTTCCAAGTGCGCAGCGGCTGACAGCAAGAACGCGCCATCATGTCTCGCGTGCAGGGTGAAACATCAGCCAGCACTGTGCGTAACGTGCACGATTAAGAAGCAAAGAGTGGGGAAATACGTACGCGTGGGGCGGGTTGGAGTCTGGGGTCAAAAGCGTGGGAATACACGCGATGATCTCACTGAAGACTCGGTAAAAGATCTACGGGCGTTGCCCTGCAAACAGTCGCCTCGTATTGGTGGGTGGAAACTTGGAACCGTCAAATCGTCGGTCACGTGATCGTGTTTGATGCTCGCTCAAGTTTGTTTATTCGTCTGATGTCTGAGGTCTAATGAGCAGGCATTCCTTTTAGTGAGTATTCACTGTAATGAGAGCCGCGAGTTACTCTCTTTTGCAGTGTATAATTATTCAGTAATCAGCCAACTACAAAATTGAGAGCCAAACGTGGCAATCGGAGATGAAGCGTGGGAATTTCTAGAACCGTAATCCTTTCGGAGCCGTGGGTTCTGTGTCTCGACTATCCTTACTGCTACTTGCTGAACTGCGTAGGATTCAAACCATCTCTCGCACAAGCTGAAGAACTCTAAGCGAATGGACGCCAAGCGCCCTTGTCTTCAATCGCGCCAGCTTGCCATCTAACACTCGGAGTTTTGCACTCGAAGACCGAGGACCCGCTGCACTTTTCACTGCCAGTTGGATGTCAGTACGCGACGGTATCTCCTTATCCAGTAAGTATCAGCGCCCGAGGATCCCACAGCCCTTCAAGACTGCTTTCACCGCCGCATGCAGACGGATCGCAAGACGCACAGTTGACCGTGACTTTGTAGCGCCGAGCGTTGGAACCGCCCACGGTTGTAGTAGAAACAGCAGAAGGCGCCGGCTGCTTCGAAGTCAGTCAGCTCCTGCCGTCCGAAGCCGCTCTCGAGAAGCACCGCGCCAAGTCCGCCATGGCCGTGTCCGCCCGCGCACGAGCTCACTCTTGAGGAAAGTCTCGGAGGGCCCGCCCGTCTATGCTTTAGACCAGGAATCATTGCTTGTGTCGTGACGTACTGCGGCATAGCCAAGTGGTGGACGAGTGTGCTTCTTCTGCACATCCCAAGACGAGCGCGGAGACCTACCCCAATCGGATATGAAGCATTCGCGCTGAGCCTTCCTGGGTAGGATATCCTTGGGCTCTGGTTCGATGACGACAACGCAGCAGTCGCGCTACCGTGATATCGAAATCAGCCGGCCGATGAGGTCTCGCTTCCGCGCTGTGGCAGCAGCCTCGATTCTCGGATGCGCGGCGCAGGCGCGTCTCCTGGCGACAGCACGAAGCCCGGAATGCTCGTTTCTGACAGGGGCCCAAACACATCCCGACCCCGGCGCCCCACAATGGGGCTATCGCAGTGGATACAGACTGGCTTCGCGGGTAACCAACGATGGGGTGCGTGGATGTGACAGACCGCGCCCTCCAATTTCTCGTCTTGTGCTCGCGGGCTTTTTGGCGTCCGGGTCTCTACACCGATTTTCGGTGGTGACAGCATGAGATTGCAGCTGGGATAAATGCGCGCACCCGAGAGGATTGGATTCTCAGTTCCTTCCCCCTCTCCACCCACCCTCCCTCTCCTCTACATCTGAAATGGCTGGCCCGACATCCGTTTCAGCAGCTAACTCGCCGACTCAGCAGGCGGCGGACAAGAAGGCTGTCGACGACGCTGTCTACGACAAGATCCCGGCGCATCGCAAAGGAATGATCACCTTCGTCCTGGCGCTGTGCGGCTTCCTGGCCCCGTCCTCGTCGACGAATATCCTGGCTGCCGTCCCCGAGGTCGCTGCTACTTTTCATACAACCGGGTAAGTCATTCCAGCGGCTGGCTCTCTAAGCAGGGACTGACGATCTCCTCTCAAAGCACTGTCATTAACCTCTCAAACGCTATCTATCTTATCGTCATGGCATTCTCGCCGTGTTTCTGGGCGCCCATGAGTCAGGTATGTGCTCCCGCCCGCGGCGATCGACGACGCAGATGCTGACTTGCGTGTCCAGGTGTACGGGAGACGCTGGGTACGGGCTTCAAGTTTGCACGATCTGCGCCGAACGCACACTCAATCTTATTTCGCAGATCTGTGTCTCGAGCGCCTTCATGTTCTTCGGATTCTCGCTGGCTACCGCATTTAGCCCTAATCTGATTGCGTTCTTTGTGTTCCGAGCCTTGACTGCGTTTCCCGGCATGTCGTTTTTGACGGTCGGATCCAGCGTCATTGGGGACATCTACAGACCGGTGCGTGTGTCAAGCCCTGCCAGCGGCTTGTTTGGTTTCACTCATCCTGGTTGTAGACTGAGCGAGCCACTGCGCTGTCGTGGTTCCTGTCCGGGACTCTCGTTGGGCCGGCCGTCGGGTATGTTCGCGTCGGCGTTGCTCGCCCACTTGGCACTTGCTAAATGCATCGCAGACCGTTCATTGCGGGTGTGATCGTGACCTACGAGAGCTGGAACGTCATCTTCTACGTCCAGGCAGCTCTCAGCGGCATCGCCACGCTTCTCGTGATCTTCGTTATCCCGGAGACCATCCACCACAAGCGCTCTGCGGAGCTGGTGGGCATGTCTGGGATCCAGAAGACCAAGAAGATCATCGAGTGGTCCAACCCGTTCCGTGTCTTCAAGCTGTACAAGTACCCCAACCTGGTGCGTGGCTGCCGTGCTCTCGTTGGCTACGATCGCCCGACGCTGACTCCCACCCGTGCAGCTTACCACGTCGCTCGCCGCGGGCGCCCTGATCTGGAACATGTACACGCTGCTGACACCGATCCGGTTCGTCATCAACCCCCGATTCCACCTCACCTCCCCGATGCAATCCGGGCTGTTCTACCTCGCGCCTGGGGTGGGGTACATCACCGGCACGTTCCTCGGCGGTCGGTGGGCCGACCGCACGGTCAAGAAGTGGATCGACATCCGCGGCCGGCGCATCCCGGAGGACAGATTGCGCAGTGGGCTTCCGTTTATGGCTTTTGTCATCCCCGGGTGCATGCTCATCTACGGCTGGAGCATCGAAAAGAAGAAGGGTGGCATCGTTTTGCCTGTTATTGTTATGTGGGTGCCATCTATTTGGATGCGGGGAATACTACTAACAACAGGTCCTTTCCAGGTTTGTACAAGGTGTTTCACAACTCTTCTGTTTCCCCAGCTTGAACACCTACTGTCTTGGTGAGTTTGTGGTGATGTAATATCAGCTGCAACAGCTTCTGATATACAATACCAGATGTCATGCAAAGCCGATCCGCCGAAGTTGTTGGTGCGTTTCTAGCCATGTGCACAGGGAAATTCAAGACTAATAATCTTCCCCAATTCGCAGCTGGCAACTACATCACTCGTTATACATTCGCCGCCATCGGCTCCGCTGTCGTTCTCCCGGCCGTCAAACACATCGGCGTCGGCTGGGTCTCGACCATCAGCGCCCTGTTCGTCTTCCTGGCGGCCATTATGATCCACTTCACCACCCTGTACGGTGAATCGTGGCGTGACTGGATCGACGGGACGCCCGCGACCGCCGTGCCCGACTCGCAGTCGTCCAGTGTCACACTGCAGGACAAGGAGAGAGTCTGACGCGTGCGCAGGGTGCAAAGCCTGAATCAAATACAAATAATCTGTTTAATAATTAGTTGGACTAGTGTATGTATGCACTATACCCAATGGAATGACGCCCCGCTTTGTTTGTTTGTACATCACATGACCGTACCTCACTTCGACCTTGTTGCCGTTCACGCTCATGAGTAGCGCTAAACGACCCCATCAATCCGTACGCGACCTGCCTTGTAGGCTATCTATATTCAGCTCAGCGGATCATCGTAGGAAGATGCCGCGGACACACCGCGCGCAGGCCCAAGCAAGCGCCCCCGGCTGCCCACAGGGCCCGATGGCTTCTCCAAGCCCAAGCCGAAGGTCTTTCCCAAGCCCGTCATGCCCAAGTTCACCTCCGCGTTTGGGGATGAGCCGGTGAAGCCGCGGTCTACTACTACTCCGCGTCCGCATCCGAAACCACTCCCAAGGCTAGATGTCGATGCGTTCAGAGACTTCGTGGGAGGCGGCGCCAAACCCGTTCGCAAATCCCCGCTGCTGCCGCCGCCTCCGTCGCCGCTCATGCGGGCCCTGAAGCCGCCGGTTCCTCTGTTCGGGGATGCCGCGACCGAGCCGGATCGACCGCGCCCGCCGCCGCCCCTGCCACCACCCGCCGCGGCGGAGCGCGAGACGCCCAGCCCGCTCCTGCGCCGTCTCGCTGCTCCCGCTCTGCCGAGCCCCACCCCGGCGCCTGCATTCGCGAAGAAGACCGACGCGCCGCTGAGGCTGATCCCGGCGCCGGCACTAGCGGCGAAGCCGCGCGCGGCGGTCCTCGCGACGAGCATCACCACGACGCACGTCGCGCGCGCCACGGACCCGTTGGGCGGCACCGGTGCTGCGGCGGATTTCGCGTCGATCTTCATGCCCGGGTATGCGCCTCCGGACGAGGTGGATGAGGAGACGCGCGGGGTCTTGATGAGTCCCGAGAAGACGTCTGCGAGGCGGGCCAAGGACAAGTATCACTCGAGGTGTGTGCTGCCATCGACTGTCACCTTCTCGATCCGACAGCTTATTCGACCAGGACGGGCCTCGCTGCGTTCGCAGACGCCGTCTACACCCGCCACCACGCGTCACTCGTCCTCTGGGAGAAAGAGCTTGCGCACTCCGCTTCGGCTTCGACGGCGCGCCGGGGGCTCACCTGCGCGCCAGACATGCGGCTCAAGGTCCTACGCGTCCTGCACACGCCGATCCCGTCCGCCTCCGCCGCGTCCATTCCCGGCATCGCGCTCTGTCACGTCCTGTCCGACGCGACCGCGTCGACATCGGGCATACACCCAGTTTTGTTCTCGTTTTCCGCTACTGCTGCTGCTGCTGCTGCTGGCTCGGGACCTGCGTCGCTGCGCATCCGCGACCCCGCGCGATTCGCATTACCGTCGTCGGCCGAGGGTGCGCATGTCTCGGTGTGGAAGCCGTGGCAGACGCTGTCCGTCGAGGCGCTCCCGGCCAGCATCCTCGAAACAGACGCGGAGCTGGACGTGCTCGATCTGTTGGCCTCCCGTATGAAGACGATATCGGACGTCGCGCTGATCTGCGACCGGTTTGCGTTTGTGGATGGGTGAGATGGACGCGTGTGGGTGTGTGTGCTATGTATGAATGAATGCATGTACTGTATGTAAGATATTGCTGCACTTGGTGTATATGCTGATTGATACAGCAGCAGCAGCAGCCTTGCCAACCAGGAACTCTGGATCGCCTCATGTCTTCTCTGCATTGTCAGACGGGATCATCGGAAGACCCCGATCTGTAACGAGGCTTATTTGTGCTGATGCATCACGGGAGATGGGCGCTGCTTGACTTAGAAGGAACAAGACATGCACTCGGGGTACGGAACAACTAGCGAACGGCGGCACAAGACACGGTTAATCTAACGAACGTCCAGGGTTCTCAGGGACGATCCTGTCCAAGCCACCGCCGGATGTCTTGCGAGCCGTCGACGAAGAAGCGCATATATTCTTTGCGGTTCCACTGATATCTGATGTCGTAGCCAAAGCCCCAGCCCTGTCCCCCCGTCAGTCGGCTGTGCAAGCGCTTGGCGGTCGATGTGTGCGGGTGCTCACCTCTCGGAACACGGCAAGGACGGCGAGGACGAGGACGACCTGCCACGGCGACTGGGCATCGAGGCGCACCTCCGCTTGTTGGTTCTGCGAGACAGAGAGAGTTAGAGAGAGGCTTCAGCGGGACAGTTGCGGTGGGCGTGCAGCGACGCGACTCGCCTCTAACGCTACCTGAAGGTTCTTCAGTCTCAGAGAACAACGCGGTTCCGAGCGCATCTACTCACAGTCACATCCAGCGTCTGCTCTTGGCCCATTGGAGGGGATCGTTGCTGCCCCAGTCTTTGCGGCCGCGGAGGCTCAAGCGGGCGTGCGGGTCCAAGCGGAGATCGCTGCATGTGGGCGGAGGGATAGCAGTGCTGGTCGTTGTACATGGGCATGGCTGGGGGATCTGAGGGGAGAGGGCAGGGAAAGGGATCGGCCCCACTGTTACTGTACAAGTATTTATGCCGCGGAGCGGCCGTCTCTCCATCCCTCAATTTTGATGTTTTGGTGGTGTGTGCATTTGAAGGCTCGGTGCTGTGCTACCGCTTCGATCCCGAGAGCTTCGCACACACAAAGAAATATATCAAGAGGCTGCCGCTGTACTGCGAATCGAAGACGATGGCCCGGCCGTTGCGTAGAGGCCGTGGGCCGAATGCGGCTCCCACACACCCAAGGTTCTTTTCTTTTCTGTGATTTTCATCTACATCGTTGGCCCATCCGACATGGGAACACGGAATAGGAAGTGTGAATGCCTGAGTCATCGAAATCCCCGAGCCACTGCCGCGTTGCGCTTCACGAATGTCCCGGAACCTCCCGCACGCACGCACACGGGCGCGCGCTGCGGCTTCCATACTTATCCCTGGTGGCTGTCACCTGTTCGAAATCCTTATCTACGAAAGTTTATTTTATCAGCGGCTGCCTTGAGCCCCCTGGTAAGTGCATGCTCCCAGATGGGACTTAAAGCACTGACCGGTGCCCGGCCACCCGATTGCCAGAGACGGAAAGGCCGAGCGCAGGGATCTAATCCAAGCTTGTGATTTTCCACACCGCGATCGACATAGGAAGATTATTCCATTTGCGCTGCTGCTTCTCCATCCACGTGGTGGTGTGTACATGCTTAGGCCCGTGGACTTGTATTCCAGCCTTCCATGCTTGCCGATGTCAGCGACTGCCTTCTTCTCAGTGACCCAGAAGGACTCAGATTGGCTGCGGTTGGACGCAAAGATGGCAGCTGCTGCTGTAAACAAAACCGAATCAAGGGAGTTTCGCAGCGCGAGCGAGATCGCTCGTGCATGATGATGATCACACAGCGAGTCAGCGCGTCCGACAGACACCCAACCAGCTTCTGCGAGACACCTGCAGCGATGTTCTCTCTTGCTGTCCCTAGAAACACGGAAGGATCATACAGATAAGGGCGTGCCGTGAAGGCCTATTAAAAAAAGACTACAGTATCGCGATTCATCTAATAGATGATTCATTCCTCCGCCGCGACCTCACGCCGCGCGCAACTCGTAGGTCCCTGCCCTACGCTTCTCCGCCGACAGAGCAGCGGCTGCCCCCCGGCTTTGCGATCCGTCTCGGCGGCGGCGGCCGCGGAAAAGGAGCGGGACCACAGCAACGGATACAGCACCCAGGGTCGACGAAGCCAGAACGAGAGATGGCGGTGAGGCTATGAAGCCCGTGGCCGATGCCGCCACGATTACCGGTGCTGTGCGGAGTGCAGCGCGGTGAGAGATGCGAGACGGAGATGGGTACCTCCCAGCCCAGCGAGACCCACGCAAGTGAGGAACGTGCACGGAATGAGTGCGGCGGAGAGCGCGAGCGCGAGGGCCTCTACATCGGCTGGATATTCATCTGCCGGTACGATATTCACATCGGTGATGCCGTCGAACGGGGGAGCGGGACGCGACGTACTGGTGTGGCCGTGATAACCCGCGGGAGGGAGATCCATTGCTGACACGAAGGTGCGCATGCGATCGGGGAGTGGTGGAGACGGAAGCAAGGCGAGTGAGCCCCCACTCACTTTATTTCATTTCCGGGCGAGCTTGATCGAGAGAGAGCCGATTGAGCCTGCTCTGTTTCTGCGCCTCGTGACAAGATGTCAGAGGGAATGGGACGAGTTGGGCCCGTCGAGCCTAGTTGAAGGATGTAGATGGGTGTTCTGATCAGGACGCGTTGGGATGTATGCCACGATCACATGACTGATACTCTGGCTCACAGCAGCAAGTAGAGTCTGGCAGCTGGATAAAAATGGAAACGACGGGGCGAGATGGAAGGAATTGGGTGTATTGAATATCAATTATCCCAAACACCTTTGGCTGAAGACTCTATCATAGTTTGGTCCTCGAATGCAGGTCGCTGATAAGCCTTGATCTCATGTAGTAATGACCTTTAACAAGGTTCCAGTAGCTCGCAATTCAATGTGAGGCAATTCCCAGTCTCTCAAAACTTCGAATATGAGACTGACGATGGAATTGTCTCTGATCCCCTCTTCAGCGGCCGCCTGCTTCCATCATCTTCAAGGCGAGATGAGGTTTCATACCGTTTTTGCGGACGTCTGCACTTTTTTAGCATTAGAATAAAAGTTATTACTATATGAATCAGAGGAATTAAGGAACAGATCCAAGCACTTCGTTGTATACGTACTGATTGAACCCTCCCATGTCAAAGGCCTACGCGCATCGATTGCCAATTACGTAACTATATCAGGTGATCGTGTCTTTCCCATTCTCTGCGCGTCCGTCTTTCAGCAAGCAACGAGTGGTTCGCTCGGCCAGCCCACTGATGACCGTGAAAACTATCCTATTCGACGGGATTTTGAACCACGAGCGGATGCAGATGACACCCGGCCTCGAATGCGCGATAGGCCATCACAGTAACGATCGGTCACCTGATAAGTAGTCGCGCAATACTCCTGATTCTCCACCATGCCCTCTGGGACCATAGATTGGGACAAACACCGCGAAGACTTCGAGCGGGACGGCTTCACCATCATCCCCGGCCTCATATCTGCTGGGGACCTGCCGCGCCTGGAGGAAGCGTGCGCGGACATCGTGGCCCAGACGCGGGCGGGATCGTGGCCTTATCGGCGCGTGGTCGGGAAACAGTTCCCTCCGTGAGCGCAACCGGTTCATTTTAGTGCGACTGACTGACCGAGTCTGCGAGCAGATACGGCGACGACGATCCTGACTCTTGGGGTGTCCAGCATGTCATGAATCCGAGACTGGGGCCTGCGGCGGGTGTCCTGGCTCGGTGGTATACCTCGCAGCGCCTGATAGATGCGGTCACTGAGCTTCTCGGGTGTCCGGAAGAGTCTCTACAGATGGGTGAGGCTGTTAGCTCGTGGACTTCACACGCGCTCATTATCGCCATGCTTCGCAAGAGTTATTCAACTTGTTGATCAACCCAACTGCGCACGATTTTGCATTGAGCTGGCACCGCGACGACGTGAAGAGCGAGGCGTCGGAGGCTGACGAACAGGTTGCGTTGGATGCGTGGAAGCCGCATGGGGTGAGTGCCTCCTTTGTCGCTCCTTTCTGCCCTACTCATATACGGCCGCCCAGATTCAATGGAATACGTGAGTATCCTGGTCGCATGCGGGTCCAAGACAATTAATCAACATTTTCAGTGCGCTCTACGAGGACTCGTGTCTGTTCGTCGTCCCCGGCTCACACAAGATTCCCCGGACCCCTGAGCAGAGGCTTCAGTCTCTGGGACACGATGCGCCTCTGGATCCTCTGGGCATGCCCAATTCGATCCGAGTCACACTCAAACGTGCTGCTGGCAACCTCATTGTGACCGCATGCTAGCTGACTGTAACTGACAGCGGGCGAAACGGTGTTCTACAACCAGAACATCCTCCACTGTGCGTCGTACAGCTCAAAAGCCCCGCGCGTGACCCTTCATGCGTGCATGGGGAACATCGCAGGGGGATTCGTTCGCGCGAGGAACATACTGCAGCACGGCCTAGCGTGGATGAAGGAGCCGGCGTTTATGGATGGTTTGGACGATCGCGGCAAGGTGATGCTGAGGCGACTTCTGGCGCTGTATGATGCGGTTGGGGCGAAGCCGGTCGAATACTCACTGAACGGGTAACGGGACTCAATTGAATCTACCCAAGATATCCACTACTGAGCAGTCCCATGCCGAGCACCAATCCGGCCACCTTCCATCTCCCGACACCACCGAGGGACGATGAGGCTGCGCTCACTTCTGCCGTGGCACAGATCGACGACGCGTTCATGTGCCCAACGCAGTCCTGGAACACCGCGGAGGTGTTGGGCTGGAACGAGCCAAAGTTGTAAGGACACCCGCACGTGCTGTTGGCGAAGCCAGGTGTGCTGCCGACCGTGGCACAGCATGCATCAAGAGCTGGGAGAAGCGAGGTGGTGCAGCCTGCGGTGCACGTAGACGGACGGATCAGAAACACAACATCTGAGCACCTGGCAGCGCACGCACCGAAGTACCCGCCTGATAGTACCCCAGAGCCATAGCCTGTGAAGGAAGCAGAAGCGCAACCACTGGGCAAGGGTGCGGTGGACGAGGCAGATGGCGACGCCGCCGATGTGGAAGGAATATGTGACGTGATCGAGGCTGAGGATACATTCGACGGCCTCGCTGAGTGAGACGAGCTAATCGAGGGCGAAGGGAACGAAGTAACCGACGACGAGTGCAGGCTGGACATGGCTGTTGCTCCGACGGGTGCACATCGGACGAGCGCGCCCTATACATACTAAGTATGCTTGCTGGGATCATGCGCCCAGGACAGTTGGCATCGATCATCGGCAGTGAAGCTGTGTTGCCCGTGTTTCATGTGTATCACGCAGACTTGAGCCCAGGCTGTTAGTACTGAATAGAAGGGGGCAGAGAGCGAGCGAGGCTGCAGCAGTTTCCGTGGGTTCTGATTTTCGGTACTGTGGTAGATGAATTGATTGTGGCCTTGGCTGGCTTGGCTGGATGTGAACCAACGGCGGTTCACAGCATGAGGAGAGTAAAGCTCTTCAGGTGCGACAGTACCACATTGCGTATGACGAAAGGACCACCGTTGGATCGAAGAGAACGACTGCCGGCCTATGTCCTGATGGCATCACCAGCTCTTTCTGGCTGTGCTCTTTTCCTGCGAGCACAACGAGACCTGATCTGCCCAATCGACATGCCTTTCGACATCCACTACGTGCTCTTCGACATGGATGGTGGGGCCGCCATTCTCTCCTCTGACATCTCCCATCTCATCGCGCAGGCCTCCTGATCGATTCCGAGTCCATCTACACCCAAGTGACCAGTGAATCCTTCCCCCTCCCGCTCATATCCCGGCCCGAGTGGTAACCTGTGGCGCACACAGACAAGATCCTCGAGCCGTACGGCGAGGTGATGACCTGGGACATCAAAGCGGGGTGCATGGGCAAGCCCGAGCGCGCCGCGGCGGAGCATCTGCTTGGCAGTTTCCCGGGCATCGCGCTTACGACGGAGGAGTACCTCCGCCAGCGCAACGCACTGCAGGACACGCTGTGGCCGACCGTGGCCTTGCTTCCAGGGGCCGAGAAACTGGTGCGGCACCTGAAGGCGCACGGGATCCCCATGGCGGTCGCCACGGGGTCGAAGCGCCGCAACTTCGAGCTCAAGACGGGGCATCTGGGGCACCTGTTTGGGCTGTTCGAGGGTGTGATCTGCGGCGACGACGCCGCAGGCGCTATCCGTGGCAAGCCGGCGCCGGATGTGTTTCTCGTCGCGGCGCGGGAGGTGCTGGGGCGGGACGTCGGGCCGAACCGCGGGGCGTCTGCGGTGTCTCCGGAGCAGCAGATGGAGCGCGCTCGAGGGTTGGTGTTTGAGGACGCTCAATCTGGGATGCAGGCTGGCAAACGTGCTGGGATGAAAGGTCCGTTGTGAGTATGCGCCCAGCCGCCTTTCCGCTGAAACATCTGTTAGTCGTCTGGGTGCCAGATCCAAATCTGCTGGATGTCCCACTGGATGGTGATGAACGGGCGGACAAGGTGTTGGTCTCTTTGGAAGATTTTGTACCCGAGGAGTGGGGTCTTCCTCCGTATTGAGGGCACCGTGACGGGTGTTTCTGCCTGCGCGGTCGCGAACCTTAGACAGCAGATACCCCTACTACTATACAGGTTACATGTTAACATGTACGCTGTGGATGGTCAGATACTCCATCGTTGTTTCGTGAGGATGTTCCTACAAGTAGTGAAACGTAAACTGCTGCGCACAGCTTACTTACCCAGGCATGGACGGTATCAATCCGGTCTACCACAGCAGTCTACCAAGTCATCAATCCTCTGCGTGTACAGCATGAGAGATGGAAGTATCGGCAGAGTATCATCTGAGTCCTTGAAATTCTCGAGAACATCGTTTGCCAAGTGCGAAGCAACTTGAGAACAGATTGGGTCCGCCACGTGGACCGTCTCGTCAGTGGTGTCCGTGAATGGCCGGACTGCTGTCACGCAAGAAGTTCTCCCCAGTCGCCGACCGTGACGGATGCCCCGCTCACTCGCATACATGCACTTCATTTTCCGTCGCGGACCGGTACAATGAAGAGAGCCTGTCACACATGAACGACCGAGTCCGGTTGCCATGGCGCGGCGCCGCTATAGCCATTGTGGACCGGCGGGAGCCCAACATTACCGATACTCGATGGGGCATCGCAGTAAGGTCGACGACAAAGGACATGGTCTGTTTCGACCGATCGATCGATCGGGTGTGCTGGGGTCCTGGCACTCCGTGACTTGAGGACGTGTATGTGCTTACTCGAAGCCTCCGATGACCGTTCCCGACGTCGTAAGCGTGCTCGTTGTTGATGGCGGCGCGCTCAAGCCCGCCAATTCGCGCCGTTTTCAGTGGAATCTCCTGCCTTTGTGGCTTTTTTAAAAAAAATATACACTCAGTATGTAGCCGCTGGACTACAAAGAGGTTTTTAAAAGTTAAGTGACGGCTTCCCGACCTTGTAATGTCAATAGCAACAAAGAAACCACACTACACGCCAACTGTAAAACAAGATCCCTCCACGTGTTTGCTCCCTTTTGGCCCCCCTCTTTGACTGCCCGCTTGGACTTGGGTCAGCGGTCGGAGGTCGCACTGGAGTCTCGCCGCCCCGCATATCGCTCCAACACCCACCGCGTCAGCTTCGATTCTCAGACTGCCGTCGGCCTCCGCTCCCTTCTCCTACTCCTGCCCACGGAGTCTTCGTTCACCGCGTTTCTACAGCCTTGAGTCAGCAGTCAGAGGTCGAACTAGATTTTTGCCGGCCCGCATATTGCTCTGACACCCACCACGTTAGCTTCGAGTCTCACACTGTTGTCGGCCTCTGCTCTCTTCTCCTACTCCTGCCCACGAAGTCTTTGTTCGTTGCTTTTCCACAGCTCATCATGGCTCTGCGGGCAGCGATACCGTACTATAAGGTCAGTGAACTTGACACCCTCGAGAACGCATCTGACTTCTGTTCAGCATTCCACGCCCATCTCTTCCAGCTCTACACATGGCTAACGGAAACACGACGACCTTCTGTTGTAACTCCCATGTAAGTACGCCCGTATCTCTGGGCATGTCACCTGTGTGCTCATGGTTCCTTCGACCTGTCACAGACTCCCAATATGTCGGATGACTGGGAAGATTTCGGTGATCTTCCTGGTCTCGCTAGCGTGCCCACCTCGTCAGATGGCAACACCAATAGGGCAAGCAAGGTGTAGACCGCCAGCAAGGGCACCAGTGAGTATCGCTGTTGTGTTTTTGCTCCCTCTGACATTGTGTTAGTTGTCGGCGTCAACACCCAGACTGACAGCACCGGTGTCGAGACGGGCCAGCTCACCCGCAACCACGACCTTCCTACTGCCGATGCGCATATTCCCGAAATCCTTCCAGCATCCCGCAGCACTTCGGCTGCTCAGGCATCGTCAACGTACCTTGTTAATGTACTAGCTATGAATTTGTTTGTATGTGGCAGTGTAGCCACCACCGCCCGACTCTGTATCTAGTTTGATTTAAGCCTCGGTAATTGTCTGCTCCTCGACAGTATATACTATGGACTTCAACCGCAATCCGACTGGGAGAAACCAATGGAATCTCGGTGAGCTCAGTTACATCTTTTTCTTGTCATCTCTGAAGACGGTGTGTCTAGGTCTCGAAAAAGAATTCCAGATCATTCAGCTCTTGAAGTACTGGCATGCGAAGGGCACCACAAATTATCAAGACTTGGCAGGTCTTCTCGAGAAGAATCTGCAAGTTACATTCTGGTGAGCGATGCGACTTGCAGTCAGCAAGATGTTTTTACTCAGTCTGAATTCCAGTGCAAAGACTGTGCAGCGGCGGCTGAAGAAGCTTGAGCTCCGAGCTGCACGAGGGACTATGGCTTCGATTGACCATAAGCTTGCCGAGCAGCTGGTCCTCGAGCAGATGGAGAAGGATCCTGCAAAACGAATGGGCCCTGCAAGTCTGAAGGCGAAGATAGCACTAGAGAAGGAGGGTTTGCACATTTCACGGTCGGTTGATCACACCCAATCCTCGTCATTTGGTCCCAGTTCTAACTTCTTTACCGTAGCGATTTCGTATCTATGGTCATGCACATTCACGACCCCGGAGCGTTTGCAGAACGTGAGCCGACCGCCAAGAAGATTTTGCGTAGCCCACGCTTTCCCATTGGCCCGAACCAGCGTTGGTCGTCCGATGGACATGACAAGATGGCGAAGATCGGGATGCTCATCTACGGTTTTGCTGATGAAGCCACGCACAAGGTTCTGGATACCCGTGTCGTGCCTAGTAACCGGGTCCAAGAGATAGTAGCCTATCTTTTTCTGTGTTTGGTGGAGTTCCACGAAGGTGCGTCTTGCACATGAGTCTGCGTTTGCATGATATCTGATTGCTTCTTCAAGGAATCCCTCTCCAATTGACAACGGATTGCGGGTCTGAAGTAACGTTGATGTCCACTTACATGCATCATCTGCGGTGCGCATCCATAAACTCTGCTTTTCACAATAAGCTCTAACCTGGCTTGGCGTGTACAGGAACGTTTTCCACCCCCACATCGATATCCAAGAAGTTCCGGCCCATGTCGAGCTCAAGAGCGTCCACAATGTCACCATCGAGAGCAGCTGGTATCGCCTGCGACTCGACATTGGGGACAACATCATCATTCGCTTCCAGCAAGGCTACTACGATGGAATTTACAACCCTAATGACCCAGACCACGTGTATGTGCTTTTGCCATGGCGGTGAATCAGCTACTGATCTGACTTAGGGAACTTGCCCGTTGGCTATGGTCTCGTGTCACGCAGAAGGAGGTGGATGCTGCTGTGGAGTTGCGCAATTCGACCCGGATACGAAAGCAGAAGAACAAGAATGGACCCTCGGGAATCAGTCGCGACATGGCGTATACACTCTATGAGAAGTGGGGGGGTAAAGAGTGCAAGCTCCCCGTGAATGTTGAGTATGTTCGCCTTCTCAAGGAGAGGCTTGGCGGTGAAGCCCTCCTGGCGTTCACGTCTGAGGAGTTTACGTTGCGAGCTCAAGACACCTACACTCAGCTTGGACTGGAAGACGTCACCAAGGAGAACGCATGGATAGTATTTGGTCAGATGTTGCCCTTGCTGTTCGCTCCGGCTTAGTAGTTGCAAGATCCACTATGTACATGTTTCGCAACTTTTGAAGCTCGAGTATGTATGTCTACAAAAGTAAAGACCCCTGTAACAGCGATAAGACATAGGATACACAACCATGTCCCGAACACGTACCACATCCATTGGCCTCATCCGCTTACGCTGAACCGGTGATGCTGACTTGGGGTGGGGGTGATGCCGCTGGTCGGGCGGAGGCGTCTTGGGTGACAAAGGCGGTATCTTTGATCCCTGATCCACTTGAGGCAGGGCAGGCTCGAATTCCATCTCCTGGATTCGCATCTGCGAGCACACCACATTTTCTGCACAGAATCTCAGATGATGCTGGAGGAAGGATTTGACCGTGCGTGGTCCTTTATCCCAGAAGATCCGGTAAGATGCTTCGGGCTGAGACCTGCCATCCGTGAACTGATGAACAAGACTGCCAGACAGGAAGATGATAGAGTTACACACGTATGCATTTGAGGATCAAAAAGTACTGGAGTGCCCGATTCATCATGCATCCCTACATGTGGAATATAAGCATAATAAGATTCAAGGCCTGACCCGTAATCAGAACCTTGTAGATCGCAAACGGCCACGTCATGAAGTGTGTAGACAACACAGAAATGACTAAAAGCATGGATTGTTGCAGTGAGAAGGTCGCGCGGACCAGGAGGGGGTCCACAGTCATCATTCCCCGTGAACTTCTTAACAGGTTCATCGGCAGCGCTGCACGGGAGAAGTCTGGTAGCGATAAAATGCTTATGAGGGAGCGGCTGATTGACCAATTCGTCATCGGGATCCAAGGCAAACTCTCCGATGAATGAGTCCTCGACATTGAACTTGAAAGCTGAATAATGATTCAGCGCTTGCTGTCTTTCCCGAAAAGAGCAAACAGACTAGGAGAAACACGCACCAGCTATATTGACCTCATCCTCATCTGCGTATCGCTCAAACTCCTTACGAGCAAACTCCGCAAAGTGCAGGACACGAAATTCTTCTTCTAAGATTGCTAGCTGCTGCTCAGGTGTATACGATTTGTCGAGCATCTGAGTGATTGCAAACTCCCGACGCTCCAAGCGTCCCTGAGATGCAAGCGTGGAATAAGAGCATGGCATTGACCGAAAACAAGACTCACGTAGACGCCAACCTTGGTGGACCCTCTACCAAGAAAGCCCGTACTCTGAAACGGCCGCTTCTGGGCTTGCAGCTCAACACCCGTCTCCCAATCGTCAGCAATGTACATGTCGTGGACGTCCACGCCCAAACGAAACCTCATGTTCCGATTTTCGCCCTCTGGGATGAAGATGCGAAATTTTTGTAGAGCAAGCAACGGCTCGCGACTGAATCGGGGAGGCAGCAGCGCCGGAGGTACAACCGGACCAGTCTGCTGTCGAGTCACGTATCCGCTACGGCGGCGACCACTGCTGCTGCCACTCTTCAGCGAATTGGAGCGGGGTGGAAAGGATCCCTGAGCTTCGGAGCTGGAAGTCTGCGCTGTCAAAGCGGCTGTGTCACGTCGGCAAGAAGTTTCAGACACTCGGGCCGCAGATTTGGCGGCTGAAAGTAAGAGGTTGGGATCTAAAGTGGGAAACTGTGCAGCAATGGTCACGAATATGCTACTAATAGACAGAACACATACTAAGACGCTCTCTGAAACAGTGAGACGAAGATCAGCCTTCTTCTCGTCCTTTTGCTTCGCCGTGATTGAGCGATTCAGGTGACACCTCCGAAGAAATTCAATAGCCGTGATTTCTCCCGTCAATAAATCGAGGGCGATGCGCTCCATCTTTGTACTGGTAGCAGTAGGAACGATGTACCAAGTAACATGCTGCCTGATGCCGCATCTTAGTGTCTCAAACCTTAAAGTGAAACACAAGTGACTCACATGTAGAACTTGACGGCGCCCTCATTCTTGAATGACTTCTGGTGGTAAGACTGCGCTTGCTGAATAATTTCGTGTTGAACATTGTCCATTGTATTGGTTTCTTGACAAGTGTACCCAAAGCTGACCGCCTTGACCTGAAATCAGAGTAAGACTGGATTAATACTTGAAGAAAAAAAGAGAAGCACCTGGCGGAAGACCGTTTCCCCCCGTCGATTATCATTCTTTGAGGTCTCCATAGACATCGAAACCGAGAACCTGACCTGCGACTGCATCTGCTGCCTGTCTCGCATGTTCTGAACGATCTGATTGCCGACACCAGAGGGTTTAGCCCCCGTTCCGACGCCGTGGACTCCTGCCGCAAGTTTTACGGCCTGGGCCTTTTGAAGGTTCCGGCTCTGTGGATGACGGGCCACTGTCACAGAATACAAACTTTTCAGACTCATACGGCTGAGATAAAAAGTACTCGCCAGTGTTCAGCTGCCCTTGAATCTGTAACATGACTTCTGGATTCTCGCGCAATATTTCGGGAGGAGGATCCATGTACTCTGATAGCCAATTCCGGTGAGCGCCATGTCTCCTGGGTGCGATGCCTCTACCTACTTGCAATCTTGTGGCACTCAAAGCACAGCGGAGCGGGAAGATGTTCGTAAATGAGCCCACATCCAGCGCAGTTCGGAAATTGCTCAAAGGGATGTAAGTGTGGTATGACTCAGCGTAACTTTTCGATGCGAACCTCAAAGTTAGCAGGGAGGTTACCTTCTCTTCGCCGAAAGCATCGACCACAGATCTTGTCTGGGTCAAGGAACGGAAAGGGGACACTACAGCCAGGACATCCTCCCATTGTATCTGAGGGAAAGCGAAAAAAGGCTGAACGCAAAGGGTCGGCGGGGCAATTATATCGTAGCCAGACCATTTCCCTTGATTTAGTGATGTCCCTGGAACCTCGATTTCTGGAATTAGGGCGACATGCCCCGGGCTTTGATTACAAATATTCTCTTTTGGTGTGAATATTACCACTTAGAACACGTCCGTGTGCATCCAAAATCGGGGAACGCTTGTGTCTACTGGGGCACGCGAGGGTCCGTCTACGGTAGTCGTTACCCACCATGATGATTTTCGTCGACTCATGATCAGTAATACACGCGGTAACCGTGGCTGTGCCTGTCATTGTTTCTGCTCTGCTGTCCCCACTGAGCGCCCGTCATTGCTCTCACAAAGCGTTGATAGGCTGGCTACCAGACGCGCTCTGCACCAGCTCTGCAAGGGCGTATTTTTGCGCTTTTCTTACAGAGTTTACTCTCGAACCATTCGGTGTATCGTGTCGCGGTTGACGGTGTTGCGCTCAGTAGGACTTAAGGGTCTACTGCCCAGTCGACGACGGTGGGTAGTGTCGACGATAGCAAGGCAGTCAGACCACTACTGTGGAACTGGTCTTATGAGTCTACACCAGGCTCAGGGCCATTAGTGACGAACGCTTGGACCGCGACCATTCCCCAGAAAGGGATCTGTCGTTGCGTCGACTTCTCAAAAGGGTCATTCTCTGCGGATGGGAACTTGGGCTGAAGGGCTGAGCAATGCGCGACGTTCTCAATAATAGAACTACTACTGGACAGGACTTGGCGTTACGAGACTTAAACCATCTTGTCGCGGCAACTCCCGGTTTTGAGTTGGACGTTTCCTCAGATCATGCCACGACGACGACTTGTCACATGTCAGGATCCATTCGATCACGGGACGTTGTGGACGCGTCGCGGTGACACTTCCAAGTGTCACGGCGAGTCGCGCCCATACCCAAACACACTAGAAACCGACACGGTTAGATCCGTGAACCGAACCATGTGGGGGACGGCTGGCGTGCCTAGGGCCATACGGCTTCTTGGGGCGCCCACGTTGGTCTCACTTGCCAAGACATACCCGTTGGCCAATCCAGCACGTCGTATTCCAAAAGTATGACGCGGTGGGTTGACCCACATCAAAAGTATCATATGGACTATGGGGCGGGGTCCTGATCACTCAGGACCTGTCCGATCGTTCAACTTTTCAATTACCCTAAAAGGCAACCGATCTTAGATAGCGTAGCTACTATGCAGTTGTACAGGACTTTACTAAGCAGCGTCGTAGACAGTATAAGTAGCACGTCGTCTCTTTGTATTAGGGAGGCTTTCCCCCGGACTGTGAATCACTCTCATTTCAGATTGTTTTGTACAATTTGCGTGCCGCGTGATCCCACCCTAAGAAGTTCTGCTACCCCTGCCCGGTCGCGACGAGTTGCTCCCTGAGCACTTGTAGCTACTGTGATTTGAGTTTGAGTTGAGACATCAGAAAGTCGGATTCGCCGCATCTGGTTTAGTCGCGGCATTTAGTGTCGTCGCCTTCGGGCTTTGTTGAGATCGTTCCACACCTCTAGCTTGGCAGTGCGTCGACTAGTTGTGCTCGGGTTGTTTTGGTCAGTTGGCAGTGCGTCGACTTGAGAACTTTGGTTCCACACTTCTTGCTTGGCAGTGCGTCGACAAGTTGTGCTCGGGTTTTGGACATTGGATATTGGCTGTTAGTTGGCAGTGCGTCGACGCGGCATTTTGGTTCTACTAGTTGGCAGTGCGTCGACTCAGTACATTGGTTGTATCAGTTGGCAGTGCGTCGACTTGATATTTGGGCTTTGCGTCACCATTTGGACGCTGTCGCTACAAGGGATCTTAATACTTCGTATTAAGTTCTGACTTGTTATATTGTTGTTTGTGGATTGGATTAGTGTTGGTTGTGTTCGTATAGAAGATATTGGTTGAGATACCATTGTTTGCTATATATAAATTCTTGTCGTCGACTTCGTCTCCGCGACTATTGGATCTGCGTCTATTGAGAGTTGTGATACTGGTGCTCTGTCCACCCCGAAGCCCTCGCATCTTTCACACACTGAGAAGCTGATTACGAGGAGTGTGAACGTGTTTTATATTTGGGTTTACTTTCATAGTAGATTCACTTGTGAGCACGCCCTCAGCATTTCATCTGGAGCCCACCGCGAGGGGCTTCTAAAGTTTCATAAACTTTAAAAATCAATAAACCGGGTTCTTTACCGCGACGTCGGATAGAGACCAAGGGTTTATCCCGCGAAGCAGTTTATTTCGATCCCAAGCTCCCGCGCGACCTCTCGAGGACCAAGCGGAGATTGAGACTGAAGGAAACGCTTCAACCTCAGGACCTTTCGAAAAACCACGAAGGTCTGCAAGACATAAAACACCTTTGTATCTACCACCCTTGCCTTCCAAGGCAAAAGGAAAACAAAGAGTGAATTTGACGTCGAAGCTTCCAGCTTTAGACACAGCTACTTCGAGTTCGACGACAATCAGTCGATCTCAGACTAGCTCGCAAACCCTCTCAGAATTGTCAAGTAGCGTCACCGCTACAAACACGAATTCTAACAACATCCCTACTTCCCCTGTGACTTCAGTCGCGACAACTATGGCTCCAAAGACTGGGTTCAAAATCCCTCAACCTTGGGACACAAGTAGACCTATACTTGATGAAAAGGATCCCCTGTCGATTGAGGCATATTTGCGTCACTGCGCGCAGATCGTGGAGGATGGTGGCATCACAGATGTCAAACAGGCAAAAAGCATGTACATCCGTTATTTGCCGTCGCGGCAAGTGATGGACGTATGGGAAGGTCTCGATACCTATTCCGACGACACGAAAACTGTCGCGGAATTCGAGGCCGAAATATTAAAAGGATACCCTGAGGTGTCCAAGCGAAAAACGGGGACCATGGCAGATCTAGACAGGCTCTGTCGCGAGAACCGTGGAATCAAAATCACGGATGAGGGAGATTTGAAGCGTTTCGGCCTTCAAATGTATAGTCACTACAAGCGACTGTCAGTCCCTCCTGCCATTATCACCAACAAAGTCGCGTGTGAACGCTACATGCGTACTTTGGACTCCGAGTTCAGTACCGTCTTGCGAAATGCTTTGGCTACGAGTCAAGTATTCAATAAGCGCTACCAAACTCGCGCCGGGATAGCAAACGCTAATGTCCCCGCGACTGGAGTCAATCGGCAGGACGACCCCATCCAGTTGAAAGAACTAATGACAATGGCGGAAGAAATGGCGTCGACGTTGAGCAACGAAGACGAAATTCCCATAATCGCGCGACCTCCCAAGGTTCGTTTCGACTATGAGACTAGTCCACCCAACCATGCTAAGGTTGAGGAGTTGGAAAACTCGATTTCCAACTTGAAGGATTCATTTCTTCTACACCAAAAAGAGCTACAGACTCAGTTGCAGGAAGCGCTGAAGACGTTCGTACAGACTGCTCGCGAAGCGCCCATACAGCGGTCGCGGCCAGTAGGCAACAACTCTTCTGTGCCCCACTTTGAAAGTCGCGCACAAGGAGGAGCTGCCGCACGGAACGACGACTGTCGCTACTGTGGACAAACTGGTCATTGGTCGAACGAGTGCCCACTCAAGAGGTCTCACATTGAGAAAAACCTTCTCAAAGTCGACACCAAAGGGATGTGGAGGCTCTTCGACGACAGCTTCCTACCAAATGGAGAAGGGACTCAGGGACAACGAGTAGAGGCTTATTGGAAGAAGAAGGGCAAGTCCGTCAACTTCCAAGACTCCTACTACTTGGATCAGTTCGATAGCCGCGACAATGATGATATGTCCGACTACCCTGAAGAAGTGGCAGATGAGATACGCTCCCTTCGAAGTCAACTCATCCAATATGAGAGGAAGTCGTCGCGGCCAACCCCAGAGAGTCGCGCTGAGCCAAAGACTCAACGAACTGCATCTGGTTCGACCAGCAACGCAATGGAAAGTGCCATGGGCCAGTTCATGCAGAAAGCCATGACCGACGCCATGGCCGGCTACTTCAACAACATGAACAGTGGTTATCCTCAGACTCAGGAGCAGTTCATTCAAACCCGTCGTGGTGCGAATAGCCAACCTGAGCGCGACGATAACAACTCGGGTTTCTAAATGGTTCAAGGAAGGGGGCTAAACCCACAAACTCAGCCAAGCCCTCTGAGGACCATGATAAACGAGCTGAGCGACGAGAGAAACCGAGAAAACCTGTGATTATTGAAGAAGTTAGTGATAGCGACGATGATGAGGAATCAGTGCGCGACAACGTCGAAAAGAGAAAGGAACTACTGTTTGAGAAAGTCAAGCCCGTTCTACAAGAACCAGTACATTCTTCAAAAGCGCGCGTTCCAGATAAATACCAGTTGCGCGCACCGATTCAAAAGAAGGCTGTGGCAGAAGCAGTCTACGACAAAATGAAAAACGCGTCAGTCGACGTCACTGTGGGTGAACTCCTAGCAGTTTCGGGAACTGTCCGCGACTCCATTCTGAAGGACTCTTCGAAGAAACGAGTACCGGTTCAGAAGTCCATGCTTCAAGA